TACATTTTTGCACTGAATTAATAATTATGTTATCTGTACGGAAAGGAAAAACAAAACGGTATGTAAAAGTGACACACGGTGTAAATCATTCAAAGGTAATGAATTATTATTTTATACATTTTTCAAAGACTCGCCTGCAATATCGTAAAAAAACTATCGAAATATTAGGCAAAATACATATATTAAAACTTGTTCAAAATGAGCATTATGGGTGAAAAAATGTGGTCGAAGTGACAAATGTTTTGGATCGATTGATGATATTACTGAAGGTACTTATATTTGTTCACTATATTATCATAGAGTAAGTGGTTCAACATCCTCATCTGGTATTACACAATATTTTTTTAATATTAAATACTACTTCGGTATACACAGTAATATTATTAAAAATGTCATGTTGATCCTTAAAATATTAAATAAGTTATCTTATTAATTATACTCGTAATTAACTTTCATGTTAAAGTGTTTTTGCAATTACTAATAGTTGGTTGGCATAATTAATTAGAATAGAGTTATAATTATTATTTGTTTTTATTAATTTTTTACATTAAACACTTATTGAAACCTAACCTCTCAATCAGCACACTTTTTTCCTTCTTCTGAACGTCCACGATTTTTTCTAATGATTGATTTGTCTGTAGAGATAATATTGCTTTTCCAGCCATTGTTGATCAAAACAGTACGAAACTTTTGAATTGGCACTATTTCAACATGACGGTTGCGCTTGCGCTAATCACATGATGAAAAGGCCTATTTAAAATCATTTTATATCCAAATTTTAAGCTCTCTTAGTGCTCTGTGAACTGGCTTTTACAGAAATAAAATATCTCTATTTTTACCAAAATATCCGGCCTGGGAGTTTTTATAGGACTTTCTAAATTATACCTATGTACATAATATAACAACCATAAGTATTTTTTGCTATGCAGGTAAAAAACATTGATTTTTTGATTGTAATATTATTACTACCAATTAAGTAATAAAACGTATTGTAAAAAAACATAAATAATTTTATAATAGTTTATAAGTTTTATGTAATATTACTTGACGCTAATTTGCGGCCGAATTAAACTCATTAAAAAAAAATATATATAAATATAACTTTGATCATATCACTGCAACTGATTGTTGATCATATTTTCAATACCGCATACACTGTAGATATTTACGAATTAATTACGTTTTATCCTTGAAGTGCAAGTTTCTTGTTTACAAAGTTATTTTATGACTTAAAATTCAACGAATAATAATCTTTCAAACGAATCCAATTATTTCAAAGTCACTTAAATACTCTTAGATAAGAGTCTCTGACATTGTCGAATTAATTGCACATTTTATACACTCATATAAAAAGATTTATAGAACAGGTATCTAAGAGTTTGAGTTTATCTCCTGTACACTTACGCAAGAATCTTGAAATAAAGAATTCATAATTTTAAATCGATATATTTTTTTTAAATATTACTACTTTGGTACGCTTGTCTTTGTACGCATTGAAGATGTAATTCCTTTTGTTCATGATGATCCATCTCACGATTAACTACGTCAATATCAAAAATCACGCACGAATTTTATGGAAATTGAATAAGAATATTAAAAAAAAAGGAAACCATTAAACACTAATAAAAATATCATACTTTTACTAACCTTTTCATCAACCATTTCAAATATAAGATTGTTATTCACTGGAAAACTTTTAACACTAAATTAAGGGATCACCGCTAAAATGGTAATTAAGAAGCTCTTGTAATGTATCCACGTTACTGTTTTTTAATAAACATCATTTAAAATAAAGGCATTTTATTAGAATTATTTTTATTTTATAAATATAATTACATTGCACCCCTAGCAATAAAAATATCCCAACTTGAATTCATACATAGAGATACTAAACAACAGTTGTTTATTTTATTTGCATTTAATACTAATTACTTAATTATACAGGGTGTTTCCGAACTTGGCGTCCAAATTTGTAGGGGTGTCTCATAGTGACAGATTTAGGTGTCCCATTTTCGAATACAAGTCTCGAAGAGATGTTGAATAGAATGAAAGGAAACTTACGAATGGTTCCTACGGATAACACATGGAAAATTCGATTTTCCTTAACATAGTTTCCGGCCCCAAAATGCATTTATCCATTCGGGTCATTCAAGCCAATATGTTTTTCGGATTAGTGAATGCATACGTTTTCATACATTCGATAGGCTTGTGTGGAAAAATCGGTTAAAATATCGATTTTCCTTACAAGATTATGTCGTTATTTCAATCCTTTAGCCATTTGCAACATTAAGGCCTTTGCTTTTCCGAAGCTTAGTTCTATTAGTTAATCATTTAGTGAACACGGCTTTCGTGAAAATATGAGCAACAATCACCTTTTAATTTCTGTTAAAAAAAAAAGGATTTTCCATATGACATCCCCAGGAGCCACTGATAAATTTCCTTTTATTCTACTCAAAATCGATGTACTCTGAGGTTTGTATTTAAAAAAGGGACACCTAAACCTATAGGATCTATTACAGATAAAAGTAACTTTGTATGTCTTGATGATAGATCATTCTTAGAGCCAATAGTGCTTGTTTAGTTTAACCAAAGTTGAACCATTTAGAAACACAAAAAAAAAATAAAATCAAATTTGACACTTGACTAGTAAAAAAAAAGATTGTCACTATTGAACACGTTACTAGGCAACGCGTAGTAAGTTGTTTCTATCATGGATAGATAGATTTTTGTAGTTTTTGTTTCTGCATAGGTAATAAAAAAATATAATGCCGTTATTTTAAATGTTAAAGAGTTGAAGTGGTTTCACTAGATTTACGTTAACGTAGACGTAAACGCACACAAGTGACGTTTACGTTGAAGTTCAAAATGTGAGTTGAAGTTGTGAAACGTAAATAGTAAAAGAGAAAAAACTATATGAAAAAGAACAAAAAAAAATAACCTACCAATATAACAAAATACACACAACCAAACTTACATGGAATCATCTATTATTTTTCATAATTTTTGAGATGCATGAACATTTTTTGTTTATGAGTAAAACTCGGTCCTTACCAAAGACATTTAATGACAAATAACCCACATAGCAATAAAAATAATTAATTAGTTGACAAAATAAACACAATGGTATTTTTTTGGTTTCTGAAACGAAATGAGATTTAAATTTTTAATAGCCGAAAAGCAAAAACAGAAAGAAAATTGGTAATTTTAACAATCCGTGTTATCACCTCTAACCCTTATGCAAGTTTCTATTCGCCTTGGCATACTTCTTATTAAATTGTCAACATTGTCTTGGGGTATGTTTTCACATTCTGCTAATGCTGCATCAATAAGCTGTGCGACATTTCCTACATTGTTTCGACGAGCTCTAATCCTTCTTTTGAGCTGGTCCCACAAGTGTTCGATAGGATTTAGGTCTGGTTAACATGCAGGCCAGTCTAAAACTGTGACACCTTCTGTTTCAAGATATTCTGTAGCCCCTCTGCTGGTATGGGGAGGTGCATTATCGTGCATGAAGATAAAATGATCCCCAATTGTAGCTCTCCAAAGCCTTATGACTGGTTCTTACACTAAATCAACATATCTCGGACCGATCAAAGTTTGGTGAAGTGGTAACAATGGATTTTTTGCTTCCAGCATAATACCTGCCCAAAATATTACAGTTCCTCTTTGATATCTTGGGATATATATCTGGCAGCGAGTCTCGATCATCTTCCTGGAGCTCTGAGAACCCGAATTTGATGGTCATCTGATCTTAGACCAATTCTGGTCTCATCCAAAAACAGAACTTTTTGCTAATTCTCAATTGTCCAGTTTTGGTGTTGAAGGCACCAATTTAGCAGGTCAATTTTATTTTGCCTAGATAACGGTGAGACCTATAACTCTTTCCAACTGTACAAACCTCGTGCGCGAAGTCTTTTTCTTAGAGTTTCAATTGAAACATTCACACCTGTAGCTTCCAGAAGTTATCGTTGTAGCTCTAGATGAGAAACACTGGGATTTCGTCAAGTAAATTGGCACACAAAGCGGTCCTGTTGTTCAGTTGTTACTCTTTGACTACTTTGTATGGGCCTGTTCTTGAGAGTTTCTAGTTCCAAGTACCTTTCATATGTTTTCGATACAACACCCTAGGTATCGCTTACTACCTGTGCTACGTCTCATTGGAGCTTTCCTTGTTCAATGAGAGCAATAATTCTCACCCCTCTGCATATCTGTTAGTCCAATATAAGGCATTTTGTTGTTTTTTGGACCGAAATAAAATTACCGGAGGATCGTGATTTTACTTCTGAACACAAAATTCACAAGATAATAAATCTCAGCAGTCGTTTCTTCTTTATTATCATGTTTGTTAAGAACAAAAGGCTTTATCTTAAAGTAAGTTACCAAATGTTTTCCTTACAAAACGTTTATTTAGAAATACACAGTGATTCCATATAAGTTTGATTGTGTGTATTTGTATTTCTTTTTGTACCCAACCCATACATGTAACGCAATGTACATAATATAATTAAGAAAAAAATAATAATTTACTATCTATATACCAATGAAGTAAATATGTAGGTATACTTTTTAGACCATTAATTGTACAAATGTTTAACAAAAATGTTTAGAATGGAAGCAATTCTTAATTTTGAATTGTTGGGAAACTCAGACGTTGACGACGACGATAGGTGAACCATATTTTTTTTTTATGTTCAATGCTATTTTCCAATGTATTTTCCATGAAATAAAGATAAATAATATTGTCAGAGAATGACATTTAATTAGGATGTAGGATTTCTTCTTTTCCAATTAAAAAACTGGTTAAATGTGTGCAGTACGTGCATACGCCAGAACCGTATATACATAAACGTGAATGATAATTTGAATGCGCTTGCGTAGCTGTCAATTCTCACGTTAACGTTTACGTTCATAGCATCACTTCAACTCTCTTTATTATTAAAAAATGTACGCTGGATCCTGTATTTGAGCGGTCTCTTTTAAGACACGTTATTTTTCTGTAGGCCCCATCCCTATAAATTGGTTTCCAAGGCAAAAAACACAGAATGCAAAAATGGAATTTTAGAGAGGATTCTCGTAATAAAAGGCCCGGAAACTCAGATTTCGCTGAAAGGTATCGGTGTCCAACGAATCAAGTTAAATGCCATGGCGAAGTCTTTAGAGGAAAGAGAATTTCTGGAAATTGACCCGTTCAGTAGTAAGTTAAAAAAAATCTAAGTCATCTGCAGATGAATAAAAACATTTCAATCATTTTTTCGATAGTTGTCAAAATAGGAAACACGACACTTTATGACAGAAATATTTAAAATTTTAAAATAATCTACGTCACTGGCTTATTTATAGATTTCCGTGTGACTCCTGCATTCAGAAAGGTCATTAATCCCTAACACCTGCATCTATAAAGGTCATTGATCCGAACATCTGTACCTGCAAAGGTCATTTACACCTATTGGAGACATTACCACCGGCCACATGTAGGTCGAAAGGTCATTAAACCCAAACATCTGTTGAGGTTAATCCCCAAGCCCCTGTGGTCGGGAAGGTCATTAACCCGAGAATCTGTAGCTGAAAAGGTCATTTACACCTATTGGAGTCAATGCTACCCGCCACATGTAGGTCGAAAGGTCGTTAAACCTAAACGCCTGTTGAGGTTGATTCCTCGGGCCCCTGTGGTCAGAAAGGTCATTAACCCTAAACCTATTTTGAGGGCAATTCCCATGACCTCTGTAGTAGGAAGGATCATTGGTCCCAAGCACCTGTTGAGGTCAATGTCCTCGGGCACGTATTGACACGTATTTAATTACGAACACCTGTGCCTATAAAGGTCGTTGACCCCGAACGTCCGTAGAGGTCATTGACCTTGAAATCAAGATAAAATACGTGATTATACAAAGGAACATAAGGCGTTATATCACAGAGTCTACTATTTTTTTAAATATACATTTTTTCAGAAAAATATTACCGAATATATAATTTACATTTATTTAAATTTTACCAATCACAGTAACTGTTACCTATCAGAGTATCGCCCAACTCTACTTTTTCTCTGAATTGACATTTCCATATTTAAGGATTTACACGACAGAGCTGTAAAAGAAAATCAAAGTATGTGGCTAGGATAGACCATGTTAATGATGTCTCAATCATATCTTCCAGTTTTAGACTGTTTGTTTTTGATGAGTATGAGTACTACTAGTACTAGAAGGATTAGTGTAGAAAATAAAATATGTTAAAGTATTTTTATAGTAGGTTGGTATATAAGTTGTCTATTATTTATTTAAAAGAAAGCTAATCATATATTAGTAAACTGTTTAAAATAAGAAGAAAAAAGTACTGAGATGTCAAATATGTTCATAATTTTGTCAACGCCGTTTTCGATTGATTGTTGTTAGTACTAATGTAAATATTTACATTTTATGTAGGTATGTGACAACTTCTCTCTCTGTCTAACGCTACCTCTATCTATTCTAGATTCTAGCTCTGTGATTTACACGTAGACAAATTTGAAGATCCATTATTTATAAATAAGGATTTTCATGCTGATTACAAAATTTTAAATTCCAAGTTCATTTAGCAATAGTATACATTTTAAGGATCATTATCAGCATTAAGTATTTCTTATATTTTAATAATTTAATTTTCTGTTGATGTTGATTAAATAATGTTAACAAAAACGTTATAAAATACAATTAATATCTTAATATTTATTGAGTCACATTATTTTCAGTTTAATTTAGGAATGATTTCATCTAGAATTTAAAATAAAAAAAAAATTATCTTATTTTGATATCTAACAAATCTTCAGTAAATTTAAAGTAAATGTAAACATCCGCTCATACTTTCAAGTCTAAATATAATTCTGACCGTATCTGAAAAATAACATCCATTTTTTTTGATGAAATGTTTTATTTTTTCTTTCAAGATTCTTGCATAAAAATTTAAAATGGTGATATGGGTGAAACAAATACGGGTGATATATTTATACATACGCCTCTTAATAAATTCCAAAACGCGTCATGTTTTCTATCATCTACTTAACAAACATTTTCTTTACAAATTTATACACACATACAGATACACCTACACATACACATACATACGCACCCACATACATACGCCCGCACGCACGCGCAGACACACACACACATACACACACACACGCGCGCGCACACACACACCCACCCACCCACACCCACCCACATATACACACACACCCACACATACACATACGCAGACAAACCCATACGCACGCACTCACACCCATACGCACGCACACACAACAATACGCACGCGCACACACGCACATACACGTACGCACACATACATACACATACACACACGTGCACACCTATACACACACGCGCAGGCACACGCCCGCACGCGCGCGCACACACACACACACACACACACACACACACACACACACGGAAAAAATTGATGAAAAACTGGAATTCTAGAAATTCAAAATAGTAAAAACTGGTTTTAGGTGACAAATACTAAAAAACTTTCGCATAAAATCCAATCTATTACGTCAATATTAATATAGTAAACATTTTGCATTACATGGAAAACGAAAATGGTTTATGTCAAATGTAAAAATGTTGCCCTTGCCTAATTTGATTAAAATTTTATTTAAAATGTCTTGCGTATCGTAAAATAATCCAAATATTTTAAAAAGTACATACAGGGTAATTCATGTTCCATACTAAATAATAAATCAAAGCACGCCAAGAGATTAAACCGAAATCAACTTGATAGCTAATGTCAAATTTATGAAATCTCAAACACACACATGTAATAGCCATGTAATAACATTTCAAAAACAATTATTTTTAGCCGGTTTCAGTCACAGAAACCAACCGACATCAATTGATTTAAACGTAGTTAGGCTGTGTTTCCAAGTATTTTTGGAAGGTGATACTCCCGGAAAATTCTCAGTACCCCTACAGGCTGTCGTCAGCGAGCCTATCTATGACAAAAAGGCCATGTCAGATTTAACAATAATCAAATTATCTGACTGCGTTAGTTATGTAGATGGCGGTAGAAAAGATATTATTCTTCTATGTGAGAAGGTTAGTAAATATTGATAAATATGACGTTTGACGTTTATTTTGACACATTTAAAAATTATTTTGACATATTTGAAGTTTGCTTCGACATATTTTATATTTTTATGTTATCTTCCTTACAGGTAGCAAAAGAAGACATCCAAGTGAGATTTTTCGAAGAAAACAGCGATTGGGAAGCTTTTGCCGACATCCAGCCCGCACAAGTGCACAAGCAGCACGCCATATGGTTCAAAACGCCTAGGTACAAGACCATCGACGTCAGAGATCCCGTGAAAGTCTTCATCCAACTCCGAAGGCCTTCAGACGGCGCAACCAGTGAAGCACATCAATTTGAACTTTGGCCACCAGGTACGCCTCCTTATTGGTCGTTCAGAAGAAACATGACCAAAAAAGGAAATTACAGTCTCTTTGATTCTATATTAGCGAACGATGCGAAACTAATGTCGAAGCGACGATCGAGTGAAATTTCCCAGAAAGATATAGGTTGGAAAGACGCTGTTCTTACTGCGGAACAACCAGCAACTGTTAAAAATAATCATATCAGTAAAGAAATAGTATTACCTTTAGACGAAATTGAAATTACCGACCAAAATGCTAATAACGTTACTGAGAGTGTTAAAGAAGTTATTGGTTGGACTCCTAGTATAGAAATTACCAACAATTTAAATGCGAATAACGAAAACATTGATTATTCTGAGTTAAAATTGAATGAAAACAGTATTTTAGCAGATAGTCCAGCCAAAGTAGAAGAAAAATCGTTTAACGAGTTAATTAATCAAGTAGCAGAGTTGGATGAAATTTATTCAGACACTCAAGCTCGTTTACTGAACCAACCCATAACTGACTTTGACAAACCAACCACAACAGAAATGACTTATAACGAACCTTTTGACGATGCCAAGACTTATTCAAGCCTTCAGTTGGCTTTTAAAAATCCTCTAGATATCATTGTTAAACCAACCATCCCTCCCAAACCTACTCTTACGCCGATTTTATCTAATAAGCGTGAAAATGATAACGAAAAATTACCCCCTCTTCCACCCAAGCGTACTAAAAAGATTGAAACGTTTATAGGAAATACTGATCCCTCACCCCGAAATGAAAAACCGGATATACACAAATCTGAGTCAAATATGAGAGCTACTACAATCAGCAGAAATAATTCCATTAATTTACAAAGGCCCAAATCTACCATGGAATTATCACCACCTAATAAACATTTACCCCCAACTCCAAATTACTCTACCCTACCCAACCCCAAAAAGAGAGGCTTCTTTTCGAAATTATTCGGCAGGAATAAAGCTAAATCTGCTCATCAATCTAGAGAAGCCAGCTTATCCCCTTCCACTAAAACTATCGCCAGCTCTCAATCCCTACAAGTTCAACATTTATCCAAAAGTTCCGGTAACATATCAACGCATTCGTCTAACAGTATACGCATACCTCTCAAAGACAGTCCACCTAATAGTTCCCTGAATTTGACAGACGCAAACGCTAACAGAGACGTAGACATGACGGACGACATTGACATGGGTCTCGATTTGACGGAAGCCGAACATTATGCTCTATACACTGCCATCGCTCCCCATGCTACTCAAAGTGAATTTGATGAAATGTCGTGTTACTACGCCCCTGTTGAGGGGGGCAGATTGTTAAGTAATGCCGAAGTGTTGGCAAGACTTTCAACAAAGACTTAAAAAATATTTTTTTTGTTAGCATTTAGAGTTTCAAATTTATAAAGATAAGTCGTCTATATGAAATTTTGAAGAAATGAACGATATTTTTCGAGTTATATTTTTTATTTCAGGGACTATCTATTTGAAAAGTTCTCGAAATGAACTGCATTAGAATGACGTAATTTGTAGCCGAACGGAAACAAAAGAACAAACCATTATGTCATTGATTATGACACCTACGACGGTTTGAGTTTCTTTAGCTTTCTTGTCACAGTGACGTACTTGACGTACATCTCAATGTGACGCAATTTGTGTTCGAATGACAGTTAACTTTTAACAAAAACAAATCATTCTGTCATTACAGTAGTATAATTTTAAATAAATACGCGATTTTAAAAAAAATAGAAATAAATGTAAATTGACCTTCCTACTTATATGCTTATAATCTCTGAACTTTTTACCTATAAAAAATATCAAAAAAATGCAAAAGAATTACTATACCTATAAACGATGATACATATACTTGATGTTATCTACTTTTGTTGTATTTATGTTTAGATCATATATTATAAAAGTTCAAAGACGATGTAATAAACAAAACGCACTCAAAAAATTCTACTGTCACTGTCAACTTTGTTTGGCTCACAAATTACGTCATCATTAATGCAGCATTTTAAAGTTGAAGTAGTTGGTAATTTTTCTGCAATTGTATTATTACCACAGTGCTAAGATAGAGGTAGAGTTGGATGCTATATTTTTTTTCTATGTCTACAGGGTGTACCAATAAAAACTCCCAGGCCAGATATTTTGGTAAGTAATAGAGATATTTTATTTCTGTAAAAGCCAGTTTACAGAGCTCTAAGAGAATTTCAGTTTTAGATATAAATTGATTTTAAATAGGTCAATATGTAGATGGCGCTGCGCTTAATATTTTTTTTTTTTTTCGATGGGAGGATCTTTCTTGTGTAGCGCATCTTGTAAAAAAATGCATTTTTAAGCAGATTTTGTTTTATGAACTAATTCGATAAATCTAGCCATTTTTCATATACAGAGTGGGTCACTCAAAACAGTTTCATCCTGTTTTTCAGCATTAATCATTGGATTTTAAGAAAATACTAAAACAGGTCGATTTTTATTCCAAATTAAAAACATTTTAACAATACAGACATCTGTCATGTGTCAACCCCCTCCCTTGCACTTCTCCAACACCTTAATTTTAAATAGGTAATGTACCATGTATGGCACATCATTAAAAATGTAATTTAATGGGGGATTCAGAAATATTTCTGTACATTGTGTTACTTAAATTTTATCGCCCTCTAGCAGGATAAAAAATTACTACGTATTATAGAGTGTTACTCTACAATGTGTAGTATATCATTAAAAAGGTAATTTTATGGGGAATTTAAAAATATGATTATTCATTGCTGATAAAAAAACTACGTATTATAAAGTGTGACACCTTATTTGAAAGCAAATTTAATTACTAATTCAATGCACCACATAACATTAATATAAATAGCATCCATATTGCACTTGCAATAGTTTGAAAATTAGTCGTGCATTATTTTAAACATTATTACTAACTTTATTTTGTTGCAAGTGCAATATGGAAATATTTATATTAATATTATATGGTGAATTGAATTAGTAATTAAATTAGCATTCAAATGAAGTGTCACACTTTATAATACGTTACAGGTTTTTTATCCCGATAGAGGGCGCTAAAATTAAAAGTATTGAAATAAAAAGTCAAATTTCTGACTTCCCCGTAAAATTACCTTTTCAATGATGTGCCGTACATGGTACATTCCTTATTAAAATGAAGGGGTTGGAGAAATGGAAGGGAGGGGGTTGACACATGACAGATATGTCTGTATTGTAAAAATGTGTTCAAATTTAAATAAAAATCGACCTATTTTAGCATTTTCTAAAAATCCAATGATTAATGCCGAAAAACAGGATGAAACTGTTTTGAGTTACCCACTCTGTATATCCAAAATGGCTAAATTTATCAAATTAGTTTATAGAACAAAATCTGCTTAAAATGCATTTTTTACCAGATGCGCTATAAAAGAAAGATCCTTCCATCGAAAAAAATATATTGAGCGCAGCGCCATCTACATATTAACCTATTTAAAATTAATTTATATTTAAAAGTTCTTTTAACGCTCTATAAACTGGCTTTTTTACAGAATTAAAATATCTCTATTACTTACCAAAATATCCGGCCTGGGAGTTTTTATTGGTACACCCTGTATAACACGCTGCTGCTCATTTTTAATTTATAAAATTAAAATGACATATCTCTCATAGATAAATGTTTGACATTTCATGACACACATGATTTACTTAAAATAATTAGTCAATTACTACTTTGTGTTATCAGATAAGGATCCGATACGGAAATGATTACTTTGTGTTTCAGAATTATCAAACAATAGTTGTTGAGAAAGTGTAATTTTGTATTATAGTCGTAAAAAAAATATAGTCTAAACTACAATACCTCGTTAATCAACGAAATGCAGTGGCGTAGTGAGTTAGAAATATAATGATGACCGAATTGTCTTTATAAATTTGAAACTTTTAAGTTGGTTTGGGTAGTACTTAAATTGTTTGTTTTGTTTTTATACTTATTTTTTATTATTTTTAGAGCGAAAGAGAAAGAGACCTAAATATCAAAATTCCGAACAATTTGTTAGCGAAATGCAAGATAGTAAGTTTAATTTTTTTAATTCGAATAATTTGGTGTTGGGATATACTATAATGTAATATATATAAACAATTTTTTTTTATAAATTTAAATGCAGTCTTTCGACGAGGTGTCTCGATGTATTACTTTTTATATTTGTATACAATGAATGGTAGAAGTGTACTAACTGACCAATAATTAAATACCTACTTTTTGTGATCGCTATGAAAGGGATATTTTAAAACCAGCTATTAGTTGTTTTGACGGTCATTTAAATAGGTTATAAATCATATTTTAAAAGTTGTCTAAGAGTTCTTGTACTACAATTATAAATATTTCATTAAAACTTTTGATTTTTTCGAAGAAAATATTTGTTTAATTAGGTATACCTAAGTACTTAATTTTCAATTGTTTCTAGTTAACATAATTATTTGATTTCCTAAGTTTAAAAGTACCTACTTTTGATGAGCTATAATTGATTGATTTTATTTGTAAATGTATAAATGCTGTTATCAAAATTTACACAAAGTAAATCTAATGCTGGTACTTCTACGGTTACTGAATTCTCATTTTTTGCAAATAAAATTAAACATTTTCTAAAAAGAGGTGGTAAAAACACGTAAGGTTACAAAATAAGAAATTATTATTCCAAGAGTTATTTCTGCAGATATTATGTTCTGATAGTTTTTGATGGCGAATTCTTTTTAACTCGATTATAACTTTTGTAATAATCGATAATTCTTGATGAATGGATTTTTTTCTTCTAGAAATTCTACTCAAAGTACTATTGAGAGGAAAATTTTACATTACAAATTGAAAGACCTGCGGGGCAACGGTAGTTTAGTAGGTATAAAAATTACAACTTAAGGGTGGAGCCTAAATACTAAAAAATTACTTAGATACGAGGGATAAATATTCTAAATTCTTACGCGCGAAGTTGAGACAAAGGAATCGAAAAATATTCCACAATAGCACAAAATAATATGTATTTTACAATAATTGATTGTCTGAGAATAGAAAAGCGTCCATAGCTTAGCAATACATTCGCTGCTGTACCACCGACCGATGTCCTCGATTCAAAAAACCAAAGTAACTAATACAGGAAGCCAATATAAACGGACAATAAATGGTCTCTTGACATTTTACATTTTTAAATAAACTAGATTTTTAATAGTATATTATTTAACGAGCGATAATGCGGCTCGTGCTGCAAACTTCATCTGCGTGAGTTATGACCATTCCACAAGTTGAATACTATACTTTATCTACGACTATAACAATAAATACTAAGATGCAAGTATCGAGAAAGAACTTTATTCACAAATCTTAATAGTTATAACAATTATATAAAAGTTGTACGTGTTTTTTATTTTCTGGTAATTCTGTATTGCATTATTAGCTACTTCTCTTATTTCTGGAGGTGTACATAATAACTCATCTTCACTATCTAAATTAATCTTTTTTAGCACTAATATTAGAAATTGATTTTAAAACTTCAAAATAATCTTGTTAAAATATAAAATGACATTACTCCCCTTAATTATAATAATTGACTATTCCGCCTACTGAGAGGCGTTGGCAATTTAATAATTTTAAAATCTTTTGCACAGTTAAAAAAATTTATCCATTTGGGCAAAAACTACAAATGAATTGAAAAACAAGTGAATGATAATAAGTTTTTTTTTTATTTCACAATGTCGGGTTTAAGAAGTTATATAGAAAAAGTTAGTATTCAGTATCATCTAGACAAAAAACAAAAAGATATATAAATAAATATATTAAATAATGATTCTTTAACAGAGATATACCTATTTATTTGTATTATGAAAATAATGTTTATGTCGACAAACTTATGTTCAGTATATGTAACAATTTGTAAAGATCTCTTGTATAATGATAATATTAATATTTAAAGGTTTTAAATAAGGGCTTGAAGATATCACAGTTCGAAATTCCTTTTATTGATCAAAATACTTTTTCTTTGGAATTCTTAAGAGAAGCCGTTTTACGAGGGAACTACCTTAAGGAATAATATATGGCAATCCATTTATCTTTAAAAAGACTGATTTAAATGTCACCAGTGGCGCATCTAAACATTTTTGTTATTAGTAAACCTCTTTAAAAATTCCACTCATTCTCATCTTATTAATTATTTGAGATATCGAATTATTTTTTGTTTTTCTTTGAGAGCTTCGAACAAGAACTTCTCATAACGGATTCAATTATTCTGTATATCGTCATGGCTTACTACCGGTTGTTATGGAAATAAAATTAGTAAATATCATTTTCTTTTTAAATTATTTATAATACCTCTATTCGCTCCGTGCGAAGTCATGGAAAGGGAAGCAAAAGCGATACTAGCGCTAGCTGCGGATAATTCGTGCATTTTAGGGGGATATTTTGTAATTTTGGCATATCAAATAAACGTATACATTTTACTTTTTTTCAAAAAAGTAGGTAAAAACAACACAATAAGCAACCGGAGTTGCTGTGTTGAAAATTGTACAAATACTAGCAAAAAAAAAACAGTGAAACTTATATAACAAATTTCACTAACAAAGTGGAAATTAAATCAAAGAAATAAATGGATAGGTGTACAATAAGAAGAAAAATTACCTTTATTTTTGTGATAATAACAGTAATGCTGGAAATAGTAGACATCAGAAACTAGAAAGTTTTTAAATAAACAATAAATTATCATTTTACGATGTTCTTTAATATCCCTTTATTCTTAAATGTTAATTCAGCAATGACTAGATTTCAAGATTTCCGCCGTTGATTATAATATTTGGCTGGTATGCAATTTTGTGACTTACTGATCGGAAACCAGTTTTAATCATTCATTCTATGTTTTCTTTAGAACAAAAATGAAAATATAAGTAGCGATCCTTTTTATACATTTTAACTTCACGCTATTATAAATAGTTTCTTCAATGACAACTTATTAGACTTAGGCAACTTCTCATACATTTTCCAGTAAATACTGTTGCCTGCCTATATTTTATTATTGATTTTTAATGATTATACATAATTTTCTTCAATTTAAGCGTGAAAAATATATAATAATAATAATAATAATAAATTAATGTTTTAATTGTTTTATAAATCCATATACTTTTATTAAAACTAACATATATACTTTTTATTTACGAATTCTATTAAAAATTGTATTTGTCAGTATAGGCAGAAATACTCCTTTAATACCAAAACAAATTGGCGCTGCTGTCGCGCACGGAGCGAATATATTTTTCTGATTTGCAGAAGTGTATTTCGACACTACATTACAGTTATTTTAGAGTTTTCATCAGAAGCAAATTGCTATTGACGCGGAATTATCTCACACGAATATTTATATAACTATTTTTTTCTACACCCGTATTATAATAACACACTTATATGCCCATAATCTGTTTCATAATGATACCCATTATGATAGATTTTTCATAACGATACAGATATTTAATACATAATTTTTCAATCAAGCATGCTGTGCATTTGACGTTTGTCCTAGGTTCCTATCTAATTGTTTTAGTTGTCAAAATCAGTACGTATTAAATTTTCGTAGATATTCGATAATTGTATTATCAAAATGTCTGATATCAGCGATATAGAAGACTCCTCCACACATATCGGAGAAAGCAGAAAATGCAGTACAAAATATTTTCCCCCAAAAATCTATGGTAATACCATTAATTACAATTTTGTAGAATTTTTTATAAAAATACGAGTAATTACTGTTATTATGTTGAATACAAATATAAATATATAATATTTGTAGTTCTTGATTATTTATCGGGTGTAGAAAAAATAGTGTATGCAACTCTCATGTAATGGTTATTACATGATCGTTGCATAATATACTATTATAGCGTTATTATGAGTTTAAGAAACAGTTGTATCTGTATAATCAAAAAGTTGTATAGGTGATCCAAAGCAACAATATACAGGGTGTAACTAAATAAGTGTAAAACATTTAAGGGAGTGATTCCTCATCGAAAAAAAGATAGGATCTTTCATATAAAGAAACTTCATTGGAGCATCCCTTGTTAAGATAATAAAATAATTTTTTGCTGCGAACTGGTTTATTTTGGGCAAAAAATTCAAGAGACATTTTTTGTTTAGAATGAAACAGGCTATCGGAAATAAATTTTTAAATGGTAAACAAATAATAAGACAAAAAGTTACGTTGGAACGAAATTTTAGGAGTTGCGTTTTCCACCCCTTACAACCATGGGGTAAACCAAATAAATTACTGGCTAAGGGTCTTTTTGGTAGTAGAAAATGTCAGGTTAATTTCAATATTGTAACTTGTTTAGTGCTTGTGAAAAAATTGTTAAACAAATTTTATGTACCCCCTTTAAGGGGCTGTATCTTAACAAGGGATGCTCCAATGAAGTTTCTTTATATGAAAGATCCTATCTATTTTTCGATGAGGAATCACCCCCTTAAATGTTTTACACTTATTTAGTTACACCCTGTAGAATCATTATAAAGCAATTTATTTTATTAGCCGAAATGTTGTATAGAATGGTTGTATAAATGTTTATGTAACAATGTTATAGTTATTGCGATAACTATTTTATAATTTTGCTGTAAGAATATTGTAAAAAATAATTTATATAACAGTTTAGTTTCAGAGAATAAAATAGTTTTGTAAATTAAAAATTATGAAGCTACTTTGTTAGTTGGGCGTTCTTAAAATTCCTTAGCTCTTTAATAAAAAACGAGCAAGAATATTAAATTAGTCTTTCAACTGTCCCTTACGTGTTTTTCCCACCAATAAGGTGCCTATATCGTCATTTCTTTCTAATTAAACCAAAATTATCACGTGCTACTTACTTAAAGGTGCTACTTTCTGTTACCGTAACAAGAATTTGTTGAATAACTTCTGTTACATTTTGTGATTGTTAAATCTCTTGTTTATTTATCTGTTTTTGTAAGTGAAATAATATACAAGTTTGTTTCTCGTAGTTTAAGACTTTTCAATAAATCAATTGTTTTTCTATTTCGTTGCTATACCTACCCGGTAACATTTCATAAGGGTTGTCTATTGAATTAAAGATTTAAAAGTGTGTTAAACCTGGAGAGTTTTTTACTAGATTGTTAGGTTTTGTGGAGCTTTATACCTTTGTATTTGCTTTTATAATATTTAAAAAATATACGAGTTTTCTACCCACGTGCTTTTCTTTCACAAAAAAATAAGTTGACTTTGGTAGTTTGAGGCTGAGTAACAGGGGAATCAACTCAAATTTAATTGATTACATCTGAAAATCGATCTCTGTTTTCGGCCTCAAACTGCCATAATTGCTAATAAAAATCACTCCCCCCGCCCTTCAGAATTTTCAGCTTGCAGGAAAATATTGGAATAAGGTACATAATTTACGTGTGGGTGTTATTTTTTCTGCATGGCTTAATGAACAGTTTTTATAGAATATTAGACAATAACACAATACGATATATATGATTAAGTTGTTGCACTAATTTGAGTTTATTACAGATACAGCTTATTCAAAGACAGATAAAAAAACAGTTTTTTTTTTGCATGAATTGGGGTGTTCGTTTATTTTTTATTTTTTACATTTTTTCAACACAGAAATACGTAATCTTCCACTACGACAAGCGGGTTCGAATTCTACGGCAGACCATGTAAATATTGATTTGACGATTCATCCATGATACAAAAACCAAATAAGTCACACGTCATCTGTTGAAGTCCATGGTGAAACTTAAAGTTGGTGCAAAACAGTCTCTGATTTTTTTTTTTTTTTTTTTTGTTAGAGTATTGTTACTAGTCATTACTGACTAACCTACAATTTTAATCTAAAAATCTTATAAACTAATTACTTATCTAAGAAGTCCCCATTGGGCTGTCTTAATTGTTTCTATAGGAAAGCATCACAAGTTGGCGTGACGATTTATTACTGTTTTACACTACTAACATTGACTTTCACTACACTAGCTCAAATGGCTTCTTCCTTTTGAGCCTTCTGTTGAGTGTAGAGTTGTCCAGTAATTGCAGCGCTTCTTTGTTGACGTTGGAGCGGAGTCGACCCTCATGTTTCGCAGCAAACCTCTTTATTTCTTCTTCGATTGAGGTCTCTATGAAAATAATCGTTTCGATAGAACCAAAGTGCATCAACAAGGCATCTTAGGACTTTATTTTGGAAAACTTGTATCATGTTGAGTTGATATTACTCTTGCTGGCACATCCCCATAGCTGTATACCATAAATCCAGATTGGTTTTAGGATTTGTTTATAAATCAGCAGTTTGTTGTGCACTGACAATTTGGATTTTCTTCCTAGGAGCCAATACATTTTTTTGAATTTAATTTCAAGTTCTTTACGCTTTTTTTATGTGCTCTTTCCATTTAAGTCTTACATCTAGGTTCATCCCTAGGTATTTGGCAACATGCACTGATTTAGTTTGATTTATTTTTATTTTCCACTTTTTTGTCCATCGATTAATTCTGTTGCAGGTTTCCTGAAGTTTTTCTGAGGTCTCTGTATTAGTTCCGCCAACTGCCAATATTGCAGTGTCATCCGCAAATGTCGCTATTTTAACAGATTGTTGTTGAGGGACATCGCTGGTGTATAATAATAATAGCACACTGCCTTGTGGGACACCTGATTTAATTTCTTTCATTTCGGAGTATGCCTCGTCTTGCTTTACTCTAACATTCTTCCCGTAAGATGGGATTGTAGAATGTCGACATATTGTCTAGGGAACATTTTTCAAGTTTCTGTATTAAATGTTGAAGTCCATGGTGAAACTTAAAGTTGGTGCAAAAAACTTACTTTTCAAAAAAATACATCTTCTCATCTTCATTTGTCCTTCGACAACTAATTCTATAATGATCACCTCTGCTTAAAAGATAGTAGCTAAAGATCCGATGTTTATGATATTTCGAACATTAGACTTTCTGATGCTCCTACCCTTATTGCAGTCTTGTAGGTGAAACATTAATAAACAGAACATATTTAGTTATGGAGACAGAAATTGAAGCCTTGCTCGTCTCAGTGACGTATTTGTCTTACGCGCTTACAATTTTGTGGTTGAAAGACAAGCTGCTTCGAATCATACGGCAGACCATATGAATTTTTAATTAATTTACATGGTTCGTTATGAGATTTGATGAATGCCGTATTAGCAGAAATTTAATTTCTGTTGATATGACAGCCATATCGTAAATCCCCATGTGTTGCCGTTTCGATGATAATGGGTGTGGTTATCTGGGTTTTCCTCGCGTCAAATGGCAGCATCAATTATCTTTAAGTCGCCCCGGAGCGCCACGGCAAATAATAATAATAACCGTCCCTTCCCCAGACAAGCTCAGCTTTTTGGTTTAAAATTCACTCGCAAGGGGGTGAATTAGGGAGAGTATAATTATTATTATTCTTGTAGAAATAAGATATTTGACTAGAACATCTGGAGTAATTTTAACTCGCCAAACCATGGAAATTGCAGATTTATTTGACTGTTAACTGGAAGGAGTATTTTGTATGTTGAAAAAATGTAAATACAAAGGCGTAACTTTCTTTTTATTTTATTAACACAATTATGCTTAGATTTCAAGTTATTAATAATATTTTTAATCAGTTTCAGGCCCCAGCCAACAACAATATGGGACTCAAAACTACAATATGGATCCTATTAAGGTTGAACCAAGAAGTACGTAATTTTATTTTCAACTTATAATAATAATAATAATAATAATAATAATAATAATAATAATAATAATAATAATAATAATAAAAACTTTTATTAATAAAGAAAATAAAAACAGATTACAATAGCTATTTATGCAACCAGTTACGAAATGTCTTATTTTATGTAACGAGCAGAGCGAGGTTCCGCAACGTGAACGAGTTACATAAAATAAAGCATTTCGTAACTGGATAAGTTCTCTCTTCCACTCGACCTATTTAACAAAACTAATTTAATAAAATAAGATAAATGAGTAAAAGCTAAGTTCAAGTCATTCAATGTTAATGACGTAAAGGTGATAATATCATAGATCGAGTAAATACAAAGAAGAAGTTTAGAATGTTATAGTATTTTTAATTTAGATGTTTGCCTTGTCAAATTCATCAATATTACCTACATAAAAAATTTGAAAACGTCAGATTGTGTTAATAAAAGTTCAAGTCATTTATTAATGAGGTCCCACACCTGTTGCATTTGTGGTGACTAAAACATTTTCTTACGCCCACTTTTGTCCACGTTTCCGATCACTTTAATTCCGAAATGCGCCGGCACGATAACTCTAAAAAGAAAGCTCCGATCGACTTACTGTTTTGACTTTATTACAAGTCAAGAATCCTATTGATTTTCATAATTTTCGGTTTAACTGTAATGCTTAAAATATCAGTGTTTTTAAAATGCAATGCATTTCTTATGGAGCTTATTTTATACACTACGACATTGGCATTGAATGTCACGATTTTAATAGATGGTCATGCATGTCAACTCTGAAACCACACACATTTGTGTTCATTTTTAAACGTCAAACAAATTAATTTAACATTTTTTTAAACAAAGGATATTAAGTGAAAAGTGATAGATACTTGAAAATTTTTGTTTTAAGTTGAAATAAATGCGATCTTGTCCGAAGAACATATAAGATGGTGAAGTAACGGGTTTTCCACGAGCTGGATTTGATATTAGAATTAAAAAGATAAAGGACCCAAATATTATTTTTACATTGACAAGCTTAAAGGGTAAAGATCTCAAATATTTTTACACAGGCGAGACTTTAAAGGGTAAAGGGCCAAACACTTTTACATGGGTAGACGTACGTGGTAAGGGGCTTAATATTTTTACTTGAACAGGCTTAAAAGGTAAATGGTTCAAATATTTTTAGATGGACATACTTAAAGAACAAATAGCTCAAATACTTTTAAATGTAGATTATAGGCGTAAGTGGTAAAGCGACTAAATATTTTGAATTTTGATACTGGTTGGCCCATATCTGCCATCCGAAGCCGAAAAGCGGTATCTCAGTTAAAACGAGTTTCGAGAAAAAACATTTTCTAAAAGTTGTTTTTACGTTCTCTAGAGTCGATTAATTTAAACTATTTTTTTTTTTTTTTTTTTTTTTTTTAATATTAATTTTAAAGTTCTTGTGTCGTATATGGATATGCAGCTATTTAGCTTAATAATAATGGTACACCCATAAGCCTTTTAATAATAATAATAATAATAATAATAATGAAATGACTTTATTTGTACTAAAATAAAAAAGTACAAGTACTGGGCGAGATTTAGCCTGAGGTTATTCTTACACCTAAACCAAAAAATATAATGTATAAAATAATATAAGTTATTTAAAACAAATTACCTATAAAGTAACTTTATATAGGTACATGATTTTTAGATTAGAGCGGAACAAACATTTTATAAATTGTTTACATAAATAATAGATAATTGCTAGATAAAGAGGGTAAAATTTTAAATATTATTTTGTAACCGTAAGAACTGTCTTTTAGGGCATTTTTGAAAATTTCAACTGAATGTAATTGCTTGAGATTATTATTTAAATTATTGTACAAAAACACAGTGTTATACGAAAAGCTTCTTTCAAAAAATGTAGTGGAGTAGCGATGCATATTCAAAACAAAATTGTTTCGGATGTTAACATTATGCATTGCTCTTCTAAAAGTTAATTTGTAGCAGAGATAAGCTGGTGTAGAGGTAAGTAGTATTATGAAAAGCATGGAAAAGAATAAATATTTGAAGAGATTATTTACATTTAGCCATCTTGTTTGAATAAAGACATGAGAGATATGATCAAACTTTCTAAGACCATTGACGAATCTACATAATTTGTGACCGATGACGATTTATTGCAGTTAAACACGGGTAGTAAATAATGATACCGTAAGTAAGTTTAGATATGACTAAGCTCTGACAAAGTTCGCTTTCAACGATTTATTTCGAAGAATGAAAGTGTTAGAATAAGTAATCTTAATGCACCATGGCATTTTTGTAGTACTCAAAGTGAAAGGCCTAGGTTTTTTGCTTCGGTTACATGCGGAATAATTTCCCCAGATATTCTCAAAGCTGCCTTAGATGGTATTTAAAATTTTAATTTTTTATGACAAAAATCATTAATTTAGACTAAAGAATACTCATTTATTTCATTTAGGTCATGATTTATAACATTCATGAAAATAAAAATCTCGAAAAATCAGAGTGTCATCAGCAAAAAATTGTATAGCGCAATTATTAACCTGTTTGTATAAATCAGATGTGTATATTAGAAACAAAAGTAGGCCCAAGACAAAGCCTTGAGTTACACCAGGTACATTCAATATGGACCGAAGAAGACATTTGTTTTAGTAAATACAAGTGAAGTTGAGACATGATAAATATATCATGTTTTTTTTTAATGTTCAGAGTGAGATTTTACTATTTTTCTTAGATCATCTGACGCAGAATTTTTCAAGCTATTCGATGCGTCAAAAAATAAGTCTTTTTTAGATACCGCTTTTAGGCTTAGAAGGGCAGATTTAGTCGGCGCGTCCTCTGCTTATTAAACTCGTTAACAAAACTGTTTCATATTATATTACTTTGTTGGTTTGATACACTTGAACGAAGTTTGTTTTTTATTTCAGCTACACCATCTCCTTATGGCGGTTCACTAAGTCCTTTCAACCATTACGAAGTCAATCCTGGTTATCAAATGAATATTTTATCACCTCAAACTCAGGTAAAAATGTTTATTAAATTCACATTAAGTACTGCATCTTTTACCATCTTTGATGATCTCATATTCAGTCCATGTAATCCTAATAATATATTTTTTGAAATATAATAGTTTAAAAGTTATTTATCTAACAGAAGACAACTAATATAAAATTATCATATAAATTTTTAAAAAATCGAGTTAAACAAGGTGTTTCACAGGGATCTGTGTGGAGACCAATTTTTTCCAAATATATGTCAATGATTTAACAAAAATTAACATTTCAAGAAAATTTACCATTCTTCTCTTGCATGGAAGACACAAACAAGACAAACGTAATATCTAATTTATATATGATGACCTTCGTCTTGGTGAGCACTTGCTTCATAATAGAGCATGCTCAAGATTTTTAGGCCACTACATTGATAATCAGCTAAAAATTAATAAACCTAAAGAGTAGGAAGTTTATTGACAAGAAATGTCTTCTTTTTACTAATAAACACTCATTTAAGGTGTGGAATTTTATTATTATGGGGAAACTGCGCACAATATCTCTTATTTTAGAAAAAGAGCCTCAATATTCTTAGTCAAAGCCGGTTATAGATATCTTTGTAAACCACTATTTAATAATTATAAAATATTGACTTTTATTTTATTCTAGATAGACTGTATGTTGCATAAACAAATCTTAAATGTGAATATAGAAAAAAAATACAAAAAATGAGAAAAATAAAAAAACTTCACAACTTAGTTAAATTTTATTGAATTTGGTGATAATTATTCGTAATTTGGTAAACATACCTTAATAGTAGGTACTTTCTCCCGAAACAGAAAAGGTTCATGTAGTCGAGCTGTTGGGACCGAATTTGCCTACATTCGACCTCGCCGGCCCACAAGCTTGCCCGTTCCTAGCCAGGCCATAGTTTGTCTCTAAAATTTTTGGCATCATAGTTTGTCTCAATATCAAATATGACACCAATTTTTAAATAAACATTTGGAAATAACTAGGTTTTGTGTTTTATTTATTACTTGGGAAGTAAATGTAAAACCAGGATCACTAACTAATTTTAAATGAACCCAAAAAAGTTGCGGCCTGTGTAACACAGCAAACATATGTATGTGGCCCGAAGGAAAAAGAGGTTGAGTATAGATAGTTTAGAAGAAATGTTGCTGCATCCAAAAAAATATATTTTTTTAAAAAACACTGAATCCGTTATTTTTTCCTTCATAATTTCGAAAAATCGTCTTCGAGAAGCTCCTGAACTAAAAAGTAACTTCACGGAGATGCTACGCGTTCTTTTTTTAGCCTTCTAAAAACTGCTGAATGGTTGATGTTATAATCTGCTAATGCTATTTGCCCTGCATTAGTATGGGGATTCTCTTCAAACGATATAGTAGAACATCTGTTTTTGTTTCCTGTTATATTTATGGAGGTCTTACATGCCCCATTTTCTCAGAATTATATTTACGGTGGATTGCGAAATTGGTTCTCGGTTGGAATATTTTAATGTTGAATAAAGCACAAACCTCATCTGTATCCTTTGTCCATTATAATCAGAAATTAAATTCTTTACGTTTCAGTAAGCTTAATTTTGATAAAAAGACTTTTTAAATACAATGCAGATTTGGGCAACAAAGCACTCGAAAAAGTGCTTCGAGCATCAAGCACCAAGTCCTTTGGAAAAGTAATTGCCAGCACCAAGCACTTTGGAAATTCTAAGTGCCTTGCAATTACCGAGGAAAGTAATTCAGTTATCAAGCACCAATTACTCAAAAAAGGCTTGAAATTATTGTTGGTTACTTGCAGGTGCTTGGAAGCACTTTTTTAAGAACTTTCGAGGCAATTACTGCCCAACTCTGAAAACGTATTACCATTTACATTTGACCAGCTAAAAACGAGTTTTAATTTGAATGATAAGAACCACACTTTTTGTGACTGTACCAAATTTACTTTTGGGTAAATTAGAGTTTTTTTATCTTTATCTTTTTGGGTTATAAGCAGGTAGGGTTAGGTTTGGCCCAGAACACTGCGGCCTCTTGGGTCTATTGTATTCCCCTGCTTTCCCCGTATTCAGGTACTATCTTTGGAATAGTCCTGTGTCTCTGGTTAGTTTTAATAAATTCCCTACCAAGTGTTCTTGGAGCGTTTTTTCCGGTTCTAGGCCGAAAAGGATGAAACGTCACGTCGCCTAGTAAGAGCTTCGCATTCGAAGATCACATGGTTATGAGGTTTCTTCCTCTTCCATGCAAAGTCTACATGTAGTGGGATCATTGTGTAATCCCATCACATGAAGGTGGTTCAGCAAGCAGTGCCCCGTTAGTAATCTCACAATGGTGGATATCTGAGGCCTTGCGAGTTGTAGTGCCTCAGTAGCCATGCGTGGGTTTGGTCCCCTTAGCATGAGCTTACTGATTCTGTGCTCTCTTGTCTGGTGCCAGTGAATTTAGTGTTTTGTGGTTATCCCTATTCGCTGCCTGACTAGCAGAGGTCTTCCTTCTTAAATTCTCTCGTACACACAATTAGATTGCATGTATTTCAGCCTGAAATACAGTGGTATGTTTTCCCAGTGAAACGATGATGTCGCATTTGGGTTTAACTCCATGTACGCCAGAGCTTGTTCCCTTGTTAGTTTTAGATCCATCCGTATGCCATACGAGAGCGCTAAGCAAGTATTTATCTCTCTCCTTATTTACCTCGTTCCAGTTGACCTGGAAGAATCTGTTGAAGGTTAGGAGGGGTGTCATGTGATCTAATCCCATGTTTAATATAAAAATATTTACTTCATGTGTTATTCTGGTATGTTTTATATGTCCCAGTGGGTTCCAGTTGTTGGAGATTTCCAGCCTTTGAACTCCTGAGAGGGTATTGAGGGCTGTTATCTGGTTTACTTTTGGCCACCAAACAACCGCTCCATAAGTTATCATGGGTCTTGTTATTACCAATTATAGCCAGTGGACCATTTTTAGTTTTAATCCCCATGTTTTTCCAAATGCCCGTCTCCCTACAATGAGAGACATTTTACATTTGTTGATCACTTTTTGTAAGTGTTGGTTCCAAGTAAGTTTGCTATCTAGGATTAGACCCAGATATTTTCCTTGGTTCGTTTTGTTTAGCCTTCCTCCATCCAACCTTGTTTTCCGAGTAAAGGTTATGAGTTGTCAGGGTTTACCAAGAGGTTTTCCCTAACGCACCACATTTCTGTCCGCCTAAGAGCTCTTTGCATGAGTTCAAGGACTGTGGTTTGGTGTTTCCCTCGGATAAGGATGACTATGTCATCGGCATATCCTTGGGCGTACAGCCCTTGATTGTTCAGTGTGTTCAGCAGTTCATCTGCCACTAGGTTCCACAGTAGAGGAGAAAAGACTCCACCCTGTGGACATCCCCTATGGATATTCACCTGCATGGTTTCACTGAACATTTGTGCCTGTACTTGCCGTCCGCGTAACATATCTTCTATCCACCAGCAGATGGTGTCTTCTATTCCATGTTTGCGAGCGGCAGCTACCACTGATTTAAAGGAGGTATTATCAAAAGCTCCTTCTATGTCAAGAAATGCTCCTAGGACTATTTCTCGGCTACTGAGTCCCCCCCCTCTATCTTGGTTACGAGATGATACAGAGCAGACTCCCAAGATTTTCCTGATTGATAGGCATGTTGGTTTGTATGAAAAGGCCTCTATATTAGAGTGGTTTGCCGGACATACTGATCAATCAGTTTTTCCAATCCTTTCAATAGAAATGACGTCAGAGTTAAAAATTAATATATGAAAAGTTATCTATTGTAATTTTTTAAATATTTTTTGACATTTTACAAACCTCAATTAGGTACTTAAATTTTTGATTGGTTGGATATAGGTAATTAAATGAATGACATTTCAAATAATGTAATGCATGAACCTCATTTCTATTTAAAAAATAATTAATTATGTCATCGTGCTCGCACAGATGACGTCACGAATAAAGACAACGCGCGTTTGAAAATATTTACGGGTTTCAGGATTTTTCCAGATGTCAAGTTACAAAATAATAAATTATTTACTCCTTTCATTTGCACCATATAATTGATTATTAATAAACTTTGCTCATGAAATCTTACATTCTCTAAGTATATTATTATTATTTACAGCCAGCTTGGAACTCTCCTGTGGCAGGGCAAGCTCTACCATCGATGGGAATGTGGAACATCAACACCAACGAAATTTCGAATCTTAACCAGATAGACGTACAAAACCTGGACAGCGGCGAGATCGTCAGACAGTTCACAACAATCGATTCTCAAAATTCTTTACCCAATTTGGACATTTCGTTATCGGACATCGTGCCTACCACGACAGATAATATGACGGATTCGATTTCAAAGCTCGTGAATATGAAAATCGACGAAATAGGACCTTTTTAACACAAGGCTCAACTTTCAAGAGATAATGATTGTTAATCTCTCCATTTGTTTACTAAATATTAAAAGTTCAAAAGACTTTATATTCCACATGGATAATTTTAATATTCAAACTTAGATCTCTCTTAAAAAATCGTAATTAAATGTTACTGTACTTATTAATAAGATTTTTATAAGTATTGCTTTTTTTGTGAATATAAATTCTACCAGTGGTTAGATGACCATAATGAATGATAATTTATCAATTTTGATACGCATGTAGCGTGATAAAAAATTGAAGTTTGAATTAATAAAAACGAAATTTCGAATAATTTTGTGTTTTGTGATATTTCTCAATATTATTAATAAAATATGCATCACAGTAAAAATATACATGGTGTTTTGTAAAGTGATTTAACATTGTTTTAATGAAAACCGTGAGATGTAGAGAGGTGATTAATGACAAAAAAAAGGTGATTACAAAATAACAAAAAAATTCCTCAATATGCCAGAGGGGGCCAAAAGGGGAAAGTTCTCTGCACTTAAGAACCGAAATATGCAGAAACATTTTTTAAATTTTCCTTAGTGAGTCACATAAAAATCTATCTATATACATAAAATTGTTTATCCTGACTGACTGACTGACTGACTGACCTATCAACCTACAGCCAAAACTACTGAGCCTAGAAAGCTGAAATTTGGAACATAGGTTTACTTTATAACGTAAGCATCCGCTAAGAAAGGATTTTTCAAAATTTTAACTTTAAAGGGGGGAAATTGCCGGAAATGGGGGGAGGGAGCTTTTAATGAAACTCTTTGTTCGTTGAAGTTAGAAACATGAAAATTGGAATTGTAGCTACTGACTACAAATTATTAATCACGTGTTTCAGGGTTTTTGGATTTTCACATTTTAAGGGGGGGAAATGGGGGGTGAAAATTTATTTGGGAGTATCTGTTTTTGGTTCTCTTTAAAGTTAGAAACATGAAAATTGGAATTGCAGCTAAAGAATACAAATTAATAATTACGTGTTTCAGGGTTTTTGGATTTTCACATTTTAAGGGGAGTAAATGGGGGTAAAAGATTTATTTGAAGATATCGATTTTTTAAAGGTAGGAACTTGAAAATTGGAATTGTAGGTTCTCATCATAAATAAATAATGAAGTGTTTTAGGATTTTTGCATTTTAACATTTTAAGGAGGGAAATGGGGGGGTGAAAATTTGTTTTATAGTATATCCATTATATTTTTTTGTTATTTAAAGTTTGAAACAAAAATTTGAATTACAGCTACTGATTAAAAATAAATAATGACGTGCTCTATTGTTAGATTTTTGTATGGTAGTATCTTAAAAATAAACTAAAATTAAAAAAAAATAATTATTAAAAATTAATAAAAATAATAAAATTAATGAAAATTTTTAAAAATTAATAAAAATTAATAAAAATTAATAAAAATTAATAAAAATTAATAAAAATTAATAAAAATTAATAAAAATTAATAAAAATTAATAAAAATTAATAAAAATTAATAAAAATTAATAAAAATTAATAAAAATTAATAAAAATTAATAAAAATTAATAAAAATTAACAAAAATTAATAAAAATAAAAATTATTAAAAATTAATAAAAATTAATAAAAATTAATAAAAATTAATAAAAAGTAATAAAAATTAAAGAAAATAATAAAAATTAATAAAAGTTAATAAACATTAATAAAAATTAATAAAAATTTATAAAAATATTAAGAAAAATTATTAAAAATTAATGAAAATTAATAAAAATTATTAAAAGTTATGAAAAAATAATAAAAATTATTAAAAATTAATAAAAATTAATAAAAATTAATAAAAATTAATAAAAATTAATAAAACTGAATTAAACTGAATAAAAATTAATAAAAATTATTAAAAACTAATAAAAATTAATAAAAATTAGTAAAAATTAAAATAAATGAATAATAATATAATAATAAAAAAAAATAAAAAGGAATAAAAATTAATAAAAATGAATAAAAATGAATAAAAATGATTAAAAATGTATAAAAATTGATAAAAATAAGTAAAAATAAATAAAAATGAATAAATATTAAAAAAAATGAATGAAGATCATTAAGACTGATAAAAATTATTAAAAAAAGGAAGTCACGTATTTCCAGAGATAATTTGAATTATTAAACAATCCTAATAGACTGATGGGTTATTAACCTCGTCTAAAATAAAAAAAATTAATCGTAAAGAAGGGATTGCAATAAAAAAAAATTATATTAATAACACCACTACATGCCAGCAAAGTCGCAGGCAACAGCTAGTACTGTATAAAATATAACTCAAAAACAACTTTTTTTTTAACCTGGAATCAATATTTAATTATTATTGATCAATGTATTTAGTAAAACAATGTATAGGATAATTTAAAATTAATTTCTTTCAATAAATAAACTATTATTTGTAAAGAAAAAAAATATTCTAATATAATAGCAAAATATTAGAAGAAAAGGTTATAAGATACGAGGTGAAATATTGTAGTGGACCATTATTATTTATTTGCAAGCGAATTTTGATGAAATTTGGGTATGGTATAATAGAAAATGGTACCAAGCACTTTGTACCTTTGCCCCCTCTGGAAAAAAATTAGCGGCGTCTATGACCGTGCATGAATTATACAAGGAAAATCAAAAATTGCTAATATTTATTTTTCTTTCAAATGTGGACCTGATTTTGTTCTGTTTGTAAAATATTTTAATATTCTATAATTCATTGAGGCAACTTAGTTTGGCAGATTTTTAAATTGGTTTTTACGCCACAAAAATATATTTTGTTTCAGAAAGTTATGTATTACAATAAATAAAATGAAATTTTGATCACCCATTTATTTTTACAATTTCCAAGACACTGATGTTTAATCATATAAAAGAAAAAAAACACCTTTATGTGTATATAATCAACCAAATGTTATTCTGCTCAATATCAATTTTAACTAACCCCTGTATATTTGTATTTGTGAACATCAACTCTATTTCTGAAATAATTTCTAAATATGAGTTGGCAAAGATGTATATACATTTTATTATAGATTTAATTTTTATAAATCACTGATGAATAAATATCTAGGTTTTTAATAGTGATGAAATGTTTATTTTTGTTATTTAGTATAAATTACTATTATAAAAAGTCACATTTGAATTTTGGTGAAATTAAATATTTTTAAAGTAAAAATAAACTTCCAACCATGATGTGGCTTAAAAAGCTGTGATTAATCTTAATGATGCAATGTTTTTTTTTACAAATTAACACATTTTTGTGTATATTTGGAATTTTAAATTGTTATCCATTTGTTTTTATTTGTAGAAAGAAATTTACTTGTTAAATTAACAATATTCTGAAATACGTCTAAACTGAAGAGTATATGTATATAATAATATGTATTGAATAGTGTGCATAAAATTGTTTAGTTTTTCTTTCCAGAAGAAAATGTATCAAAATTTATTAAATAAACAAATTTTACAAATCTACTGTATTCAGTGTTATCTTTTTGTATAGATTTTTCACTATATTTGTAATCTTAGTATAACTAGATAAATTTAGTTTAAATTTATAGTTTTATTTAATAAAGTTAAAATGGTAATTTTCTTTATCGCCAGTCTCAATATTTATTTTTAGTGTCATCTACTACTAAAAGTATTTTATCTGAAAAGATGAATTATTTCTCCCAATCATTTACTGTTGATTGTTATGTGCATATTTTATGCATTTTATCTTTTCATATATGACTCATTAAATGAACCATTTCAATTACTTTTTATACTCATAAAATTTTGAATATATCAGTGTAAAAAAAGAAAAAACAGTGAGTTTTATTTATTATGTATGTACAAAAAAACTTGGTAAAATTAGCTTAACAAAAAAATTGGTAAAAATACTATAACAAATAAATTACAGCATTGAGCCTTAAATTTCATTCGATAGTACCATTGACCTGTCCCTTTTTCCTAAGGGTCTTTTGAAGAACATGGGCATCGGCTGGTTCTATTCTTTTGTAGTAGTGCTCCTTAGTTTCTACAATTTCAAAACCGAATTTCTTATAAAAATCAATTGCTCCTTCATTATTCACTTGGACATGTCTGTAAAATAATTATTTGACTTGTAAGTGACTGAAATGTTTATCTGTAATTCAATTTTTTTTTAATGCATACAAAATGCATCAAAAACTATTGTCATCAATAATTTTTATAAACAACCCCCATGTATAACACTTTGTTACAGTATACTGAGTACAAAGAAAACCAGTGCTCATTTTTTAACATTTATTACATTATTTATTTTGTAATGAAAACCTGAGAACTATTCAGTAGTTAACAGGAGTATATTGGCAACCCTCAAGTGGGCCATGAAAACATTTAAAATTCCTTAGCACACTTTATGAACTTTATACCAAAATTTGTTTTAAAAAATCTGCATTAATTCAAGATTGTTTTAATTTTTTTTATTCAGTAACAAAGTCAATAAAAACCACACCTTATTAGACATTTTTGTCTTAAAATAATAGCAGAACATCTCCCTAAAATCAAAGTTCTTTAGGAAGCCTTGTAAGGTAAGAGCACTAGTAATCAACACTTTATAATTCAAACTCTCCTAATAAGAGCATGTGTTCAGATTTGTAAATAATTCTTGACCAGGATGAAAATCTAATATCTCTGGCAAACACTGTAAAAATCCTCTAAAGTCACAGTTTTAGTTAAGTTATGTAGAGAAAGTGAATTTTATTTTTTCTAAAAAGAATTGTTAAGGCAAGCACTTTAAATAGTTAAGATATGTGAATAAAATTTTATGTAAAGTATCTTTGCATTCTAAAACACATGTTTTTGGTAAAATTTAATTGCTTATTACTTGGAGATTCAAACCTAAATTTTAGGGGTTTTGATAACTGAGTATGGGTATGGTTACCCATGTTATTCTCCAGCGTTCAATACTTTTGATACCATAACTAGTGTATCCAAAATTACATTAAATCACCATAAGATGTTTTACTAGTGTCGATTACTGCTGCTCTTACCTTCCATCCTGCTTTAAAAGTTTCTATGGTGGAAAATTTTGTTGAAAAATGGTTTGAGAATTCTTTGAACATTTTTTTTATTGAGAATAAAGTCTATTTAAAATGAATTTGGGTATATGAAAGAATCTGGTATAAAGCATGCTTTTTTTACATCTCTTAAACCTTGACATATTAAATATATATTTTATATGGGTTGTTCTATTTATAATATACAGTTGACGTCAATATTTTATGGCGGATCGGCCTAAATTTTGAAAAATGTGGTAAATCAAAAATCAATGAAATTATAAAAGGTAATAAATAACTTACAGGAATATACTATCAAAATTGCCATCCTGTTCTACATAATTTAAGACATGCTGCACCATAAGAGTTCCAATTCCCAGCCTGCGATAGGGATACAAACACCCCAGTGTCATAATATATAACCTCCTAGATTTTTCCGAAGTATCAATTCGACAACACACGGCTCCAACGACGATATCATTGTAATATGCGAGTTTCGCTAATTCCCCAGCTTCCAGAACATCTTTATAAAATTTATCATTGTAGGAAACTGGGAAAACCACACTATTGAGGCGTTTAAGTTGTTTTATATTATGAGGGGTTACATTTCCTAGTTCTATACTTTCTCTAGAAGAAAAGGTAATAATATTATAATTGATCAAATCAGTTTGGTATTATTATATTTTACCTGGTCATTTTTAAAAACTTAAATAAATAACCAAAAATTTGAGGTATTTGCAAAAATTAAATGACAGATGAAGTCCGTTCATTTAAGTTTAAATACTCTTGTATTTCTGGAAAGAAACAGAAATAATTTTGTTTGTGTTAATAAAGGATCCGAATAATCAATCGACTAGATTTCTTTATTCAATACATTAAGAATCTCGGTAGTTCTCTTTTTAGAATACTTGAACAATCTGTTAAAGCGAAAAGCATATTTTCGCGAGATTCCTCTTTATTGATTTCAATTTGCTTGTTTTTAACTGTATAAACTGATCGTTGGAAACCTACTAACTAATAAGAAAAGAAGAAATTTTCTGTTGCATGATTGCCACAATGAACTGGAGTGGGGTAGAAAGCTAATGTGCATATTGTATCAATTGAACAAGATGCGACTCTATGGGCGCAGCCATTTTTATTTCTCATCTCACTCGGGAGTATTTATAATAACCATTTTATGTTTCACATTGTTATTGTTCAATCCACAGGCTGGTGGATCAGACAATAACAAAGTGAAATAGAAAATGGTCGTTATAAATACTCCTGAGTGAGACGAAAAATAACCTGTCTTCGCCCATAGAGTCGCATCTTAAGCCTATTGACAAGCATTCTACCCCACTCCAGTTCATTGGATTGCCAGCAAGTGACCAGCAGACAGCAGTGTTGCCAGGCAATATTTTAAAATTTTAAAAAAGAAGATAAAGTAAAGTTCAATAACATTGTCATTCTGTGATTGTCATTTTAAACCTCAAAAAATAATTGTAAATTTCGGGTTTTTAAGTAAAAGAAATGTTACTTGTAGTTAAATTTGCCAAAACTGTGCGTAACAACTGGAAAAAATCTGTGTTTTTTTCAGGAGTTGTTACCTATGGAGTGATTTACACTAAAAATTACATTGATACCCAAGATTTAATGAGACTATACTGTCAGAAAGCTGCTAAATTTGGAAAACAACCTCTTCCTCTTCACATCAACCCACGACATATTACTGTAATATTAAATCCAAGTGCCAACAAGCGAAAGGCCAACGAAGAATTTGAAAAATATTGTGCCCCACTGTTACATTTGGCAGGAATCACAGTTGAAATCAAGAAAACAGAATCTGAAGGGCATGCAAAAACAATCATCGAGGAAATAGGGGGCACAGATGCAATAGTGATTGCTGGTGGAGATGGCACATTATCAGAGGTGGTAACAGGGTTACTCAGAAAAACTAATGATAAGACTAGTAACATTCCCTTAGGTAAGCTGATTTGTATTGTAATTTTCTTATTAATTGCTCAGATATTGTAAAGGGTTAGTGAGTAACAAAAGAGTCAAACTACTAATGTTAGATCTGTGGCTAGATGACAAAACCATGTATCCATTTTTGGTTAACATCCATTATATTTTATGCATGATGTATGTGAATATCTTTAATATTATAAACATGCTATGCTAGTGTATATGTTTAAAATCTGATATGACATATTCAGAATTTGAAAGTGGGGAACATCACAAATATTGCTTACTTATTTTTACCTTTTTCCAACATACCTATCTGGATTTGCCATCTAACCACAGAAATTTTCCATTGAGTTTAAATTGTTTTGTTGCTACTAGTTGTCCAAGCTCTATGTATGTCTACCTAAACAAACTGTTAATTTAAAATACTTATCATTTATATTTCTTTTTAACCTGTTTGATACTACTAATTGAATTGGGTATTTTGTGCATTTTTAAAATAGCCAGTATTAAATCATCTTTTTTTTTAATATGACACATTTATGCCTGATAATGCCATAATAGTCCAAAACTAGTTGCTACAGGATATTATTTCAGGTATTTTGCCATTAGGCAAAACAAATTCAATAGCAAGTGTGCAATTTCCTGGTAAAAAGAAAATTGAAAAAGTAAAAGCACTTGCAGATGCTACAATGGCTATTATAGAAGAATCAATTCGACCTGTGGATGTCATGAAAATAGAATTACTTTCAAATGATGAGTCAGATGATGTTAACAACAAACCTGTTTATGCTGTTAGTTCATTAAAATGGGGAGCATACAGAGATGCTGCAGCAAGAAAAGACAGTTATTGGTATTTTGGTCCACTTAGGAATTATGCTACATACATTTTTAATGGGTAAGTAATCTCAAGTTTTATTGGGAAATGCCCTTTTTTGAAATAGATAAAGGCCACTCAGGTGGTTCTAAATAATCTAGCCCATTTCCTTAACTTATATTTCTAGATTTAAAAGTAAATTATCTTGGAATTGTGAAGCCCAAATCACTTACAGTGCTCCTTGTGAAGGTTGTTCTAACTGTTACAAACGAAATGATACTGTATCAAATGGAGGATTTTTTTCAAAGTAATTATATTTAATAATCTGAAACTTCACCATGCATTACAAATTTTATAATAATTTTTAGGTTTATGAAAGGAGATCCCATTCAAGCAAAGTACTTAGCAATAAATAATCCGGAATGCCAAATATGTCATGAGAAAAAAATTTGCACCTCTGATCTGGCATTATCAACTCAAAACATAATACCACAGACAAAAGAAATGTTGCCAAAACTTGTAGTTGAAATTGGACCTGACCATGTAGACTATTTAGATTTTGTCAAAAACGGATTCAAGTTGGAAAAAGGTGAAAAGAAAGATATTAAGGAAGTAATAGAAGCCAAAAGTATAAACATAAACCCTGAAAATGACAGACAAGATACCTGGTTTTCAATTGACAATGAAGATTTTGAAGTTAGACCTATTAAAATTACTTTGTTACCAAGAATTATTAATATTTTTTGTAAAAAAGATAGCATAAATGTTTGATAAACAAAGGCATTTTAACAACCAAACCCTATATTAAAATAAAAAATTGTAAGACCAGTCAGTGCAACACCATTCTTACGTTATTTAAAAAATTAAACTAACAAATATAAAATTATATTTATTCTTAACCTATTCTTTATCACTTGTTAGATTTACATTGTCTTTAAAACAAACTGGAATTAAATCACCCCATTTGGTTGATCTTGCACAGTGGTACATGACTTTTCCATGCTTTGAAGCTGTAAAAATAACTTCTTCTAGTTTTCCTCTAGGGGAACACATCCTGCAAATTGTATGTTTAGATCTGACTAAAGTTGGACGAACTAATCTAGGCCATTTAATTTCTGTATTTATGGCACCACTCTTACATTTTTTTAAGACTACATACGAATACAGTTCATTTTTTAAATCTGAAGTTGCTCCAATTGGAAGAGAATAATAAGCAACTTCAAAATTGCAAGGGGTACCATCCTTTGATAAAAATCTAGGACAGATATCATCATGAGGGCAAGGGCTGAACACAGTGCATTTTCGAGATTCCTGGTTTGCTTGTAACAAAAAGTCTCTTAATTCATTTACCACTTTAAATCCAGCATTAGTACCTTGTTCCACTATGACTAAGTATTTTTCAGTTTTATTCCACAAATTTACAACTGTTTCTAATCTACTCTGCAAGGAAGGGAGTTCAAACATTGAATAAGCTGAGACCACTAAATCATAAGATAAGGAAGTAGCTGGTAAAAACTGTCTGTAAAATACACCCCTCAATGAAAAGTTACTTGAACCTCTACCACCCTTTAACAACAGTTCTGCTAAATCATTCATCTCTCTTGATGCATCTACATTAAAATATTCGAGAAAGTACTGTTTCCAGTAAAGGTTAGCTGCCCAAGTGGCTGTACCTACTCCCGATCCATAGTCAAACAAACTTTTGGGCTTGAATTCAGGATCTCTAGTTTCAATTTCACCAAATATTTTTGCCAGCACTGCATATTCAGCTGCAGATCTTCCTACTAAATATACCAATGAATTAAACGTGTCATATTTCATTGGTTTCCAGTTGTAAATGTTTTCATTAATAATTTTCTGTGTTTTATTTTGAATCATTTGTTTAAATCTGACTTCGTCTTCTTCAGTATTAATTATTATGTGTTCATTTTTGGATAACACTCTTCTTTGTATCTCCCTTACTTTTTCCTTTAATTCTTCTTTCTCCAATGGAGCGTTTCTACTTTTTAAATGCCTTTTAAGTTTTTGACTAGGTTCAATTAGAGATTTCACCGGATAATCTTCTAAAACGTTTATAGCTGCCTTTATAAATGTTTCAGGGATTATTACTGTCTTTGGTCGCATAACACCTGGATGTTTTCTAAATTTATACACTTTGTTGTTAATGTCATCTATTACTTTGTTATCTGGTATTACTGAAGGTCTTGCTTTTGTAGACAGTTCTCTAAAAAATCGTCGTATATACATTTTGGAAAAATAATTTGTTTACATTTGAGGTTAATTAAAAATTTTGGTTAGATTATTCTTCTTTTTTTTTATACGATTATTGAAACGGCCTTGGCAACCTAAGTTAGTAGCTACATCAGTGATTGAAACCAACCGCTAAAAAATGACTAGGAAGATAATTTCTGGAATTTTCAGGGTTAGAATTCTGATGTCAAAAGTCAACAAATACTGTAAACATTTTCCCGCTTTCTTTACATTTTATTAAAATTAGTTTAACTTTTGAAGAAAAACATGCAAATAAACGATGTACAAGCATTTATTAATCAACAAATGGGACTATGTAAGTAATTGCTATTACCTTTTTCACATTTAATTTTAAAAAATCATGTCAAAGCAAGATTGGTCAGATCTATCAAAGGAAAATCTAAATAGTTGCAATGATAAAACGCCTTTACCTTTATATTAATCAAAGAAAGTAATAAATTCCATAAAAAAGAAAATATTTTCTCAAATGTCCTTACCTCGAGGCCATTTAAACAATTTTTTAATATTAGTCATAGATATTTTATTTCTTGAATATCTTTCACTATATTTTTAATTTCAAGAATCAACAGTGGAGTAATTATATAATTAATCTCTTAATATAAATCTTATACAAAAATATTTATTAAATTTATTTATGTGGTAAATTACCCAGAATAATTTTTTATTTGTGTTACACTTTTCAGCATTTTGGAAACATTGTGATGTTCCAATAAAAAGACTTAGATGTACAAAGCGTCATTCTTATTCACAGTTACTTCCTCAGATTAATCAAGATGAGTTTTATAGAGATACACCTATATTTACTTGCAAATTTAGTCCGAAAGAAGGCAATGAGCATATTTTAGCATTAGCTAATGAAGATGGAAAGTTAGCAATACATGATAGCTCTACAGATTTCAGGTGAATCATTTAAATCTTTGAAAAATGTATTTTTATTCATAAATATAAATTTTTAGGTATGGTATCCAAGCACATAATAATGCTATATTTGACTTGGCATGGATGTTTGACAAAATGAAGTTAGTCACAGCTTCTGGGGACCACACAACAAAAATGTATGACATAGGTGATGGCGATATAGTGCAAGAAAGAGTTTTTTGTGGTCATTCACGATCTGTCAAAACAATAGCTTTTAGGAAAGACGATTCCAGTGTTTTTGCAACAGGTGGAAGAGATGGAAACATAATTCTCTGGGATACCAGAATGAACACAAGCAGTTTTGTTGGTAAAGCTGATAGCATAATAAGCAATTCCCATGTTTCAAAAATTTTCACACCAAGTAAATCAAGGAAAAAATTCAATACTCCTACGAATTCTGGTATAAAATCTGTAACTGGACTTGTATTTCAAGAAAACAATACACTCATTTCATGTGGTGCAGGTGATGGAGCAATAAAAATATGGGATCTCAGAAAGCATTACAATAATTATAAAAAAGAAGCTTTACCAAAGAATACAATACCATATCCTGGGGTGACTAGTAAAAATGGTTATAGCAGCCTTCTCCTTGACAATGATGGCATTAAATTGTATGCAAACTGTTTAGACAATATCATTTACTGTTATAATGTTGGTACATATAATTATGAACCAGTTATGCAGTATACAGGTCATCAAAACAGTACATTCTATGTTAAATCATCACTTTGTAAAGATGGTAAATATTTAATAAGTGGTAGTAGTGATGAAAATGCCTATATTTGGGATACTCAACTATCAGAACCTTTGGTAAAACTCACAGGTCATACTGCAGAAGTCACATGTGTGGCTTGGTGCAACAAAAATATGCTGCTTGTCACTTGCTCAGATGATATGACACATAAGATATGGACTATCGGATCTGGGGAATTACCTGAAGATTGGGAAGTGAATGGTAGGGGACTTGCAGAAGTAATACCTATCAAAAATAGACCTAGAACATTAAAAAGATATATCCCATTGGAATTAGATTTTACACCTAAAAAAGCTTTTACAGAATGCCAGAAATGCAATAATGCCACTTCTACAAGATTCTGTGAAAATTGTGGTAAGAACTTTTCCAAAAGGAAGAATTCTTGTGAACTGGAAAGCGCCAATAAAATTATACAAACTGATTTCGGACCAAGGAGACTATTTGCTAATATGAATAATCCTGTACAAACAGACAAAATTGAAATTTTAGCTAATTATTTAGAGGGCGAAAAAATTTTGATGTCATTTGAAGATTATGAGCCTCCCAGGAAGATGTCTAAGCTAACAGAAGAGGTTAGCTTAGGCAGTAACACAAATATTCAAGAAATGAATCCTACATCTAGTTCTGATTGTGATGATGAACCTCCAATGAAATTTTCAAAATTAGAAATTACTCCTACTAAAGGAAGAAAGCCCGACATATCCTCACCAACAATAAACCTTCCCAATTATGTCCTAGATGGAACAGCTCCTCACTTAACCTATTCTCCTCCAAAGAAAAAATGTCAGGATTGGCTGACGAGGATTAGAGTTGAAAAATTACTCCGTGCAGAGTATGAAAAGACTGAGGGTGTTGGTACACCCAAACAACCTAGATTTGAATCTTTACCTAGAAAAAAGTTTATAACACCAAGAAGTCCCATATTGAAATACTTCAAAGTTACAAACAGCCCACACAAATGTGATGGAACATGTTCCAAACATCAAAATTGTGTGGGGAATTTTAATTCTGGTTTAGAAACAAAGTGACAATTTTATAGAAATATTTCCAATTTGTGTATTTTTATTGATTTTACGCCCACGTGCTTGATTGTTACAGATTAGGATTTCATTTTTTGGAAAAATGATTTTCTAAATAAGTTACACCAATTTCCTTTTTGCATTTATTTTACACAGTTGTAAGGTGTGCTTAATTTAATATTATGTATCCAGTGTGTTCGAAATGCTAAATTGTATGAGATAACTTAATAAAACAAAATCTATGAAAATTATTCAAAAAAGCACATTTGAAACGTTCCCCAAAATTTTGTATTTATTGTTTTTTATTTAAATGACAGATCTGTACATAAATAATGTGTTTAAGAAGTTGAAAATAAATGTTTTTTTTTTTAACAATTTATATTTATTCCAACAGACATTTAAAAAAAATGACAAGTGAAATTTCAAATTGAGTACTTGCTGTGATAAAAGCGAGGATAAAACCCATTCATAAACTTGGAATCCATATGGGAATTTTTGTTAATATTACAATTGGGAAAAAACGTCGTAGGGCATTCACCTCCGCTTTTTTCAAAACTTTAAATCGGCCATATTAAAGTTGACTAGGTACTGCATTAGTTATCTCTCAAATTCGGTATTTTATTGAGAAATCATTAAAAAAAAAAATGCGAATTTGACAGAAAACTAATGTCAGTAGCCAACTTTGGTATGTGCTATTTTAAGTTTTTAAATAAACAGATTATTTCCCTAAAACACTCTTTCCAAACAAGGTATTAAAAAAAATTCTCACATGAATCCAACTGTATGGCACACTCTTCGAGCATATATTACTAGAGCCATCATCCAAATGGGCTTTGTTTTGGTACAGGGGGAAAATAGTGTCCAGCATTCCCATTGGTCTGTTTCGTTTTGCTTGGCATGTCAAATCGTTCGAAATTGTCAGAACTGTCATTTCATTTTTGTTTTTTATTCATTTCTAGCTTATTTTTGTAGTTTATAAGTGATTTTTTGTATTTTATTACTTTACTGATACAAATTTTAACAATGGTGAGAGTTTGTGTAAGTTGTAAATAGAAATAAGAAAAGGCATTGTCAAGGGCATTTCACAAGTAAGTAACCATTAGCGTCTCTACCATTTTTTTAAAAGAAACATAGAACCTACTTTTTTTGCTAAAGTCCGTTAAACATGAATTTAAAATAAATGGCAAATTTAGTAAATTAACTTTAAAGAACTTGTATTATGTATGAGGAATATTGTTTTTGATTTTGGTCATTTTATCATGATAATGTTGAAGATGTTAAATCAATAATTTTTGTTTTTTGTAGGTTTCCAGTTAATCCTGCCGAAAAAACACATTTGGTGAAACATATTAAAACTTACACCAGAAAACATTTCAAATAGTGATGTTTTATGTTCCAATCATTTTTCTGGATATATATTTATGTCAAAGACTGAATGCGGAGGAAGAACTAGATTAATTCCAGGTGCATTGCCATCAGCAATTACTGAGGCCCCAGAAGAAGATGAATCTAAAAGGTAAAGAACCCTGCACTTTTCTTGTGGGTTAATTTTTCAAAATTTTTAATTTTTCAGTTATGATCTGAACCATGCAGAATTAGAAAACATGTAAGTAACTAAGTACTTTTTAGTACAACATAAATTTTATTTTAAAATAATTACCTATTACTGCCTATATTTTTTATAAACCACAAAAATTGACAATAATTATTTTGTATTAAATGTACCTATGTTCTTTAATTAAGTAGATTACTACTCATTAAGAAATAAGCAAAACCTAATGTGAGTTTTTTATTAAAAAAGTCATTTTAAGCTTCTTTTATTTGCACTCCTGGTCATTAAGAAATAATCAAAACAGTTTTCCAATAAAAATGAAGCTTCACTTATTTGTTAACGACTAGCAGTACAAATGTACCTAAGTATTAGCTTGATTTCTATTTGTAGCATATCGTTAGTAATCTATTGAACATTGGTTACGAACAATATTTTTATATTTAATAAATTATTGGAAAAAATTATTGTATTGCAATTCTCGTACACGTGTGTTAAGAGATATCGTAAATATTTATATAATATACCTACTATTTATTTATATTTTTGATTTTTAAATATAAGCTTATCTTTTTTATTGCCTATTATTTCAACCTTCATTTTTCCGTTATACATTTATATTTACTATTACTAGATAGGTACCTACTTAAAAAATGCAAGTTTATAAAATATGTGCATAATTTAAAGAATTTTGAAGGTATGTATCAAATTTATTATTTATATTAATTGCAAACCCCGTAAAAATGATGCGACACTGGTAATAGTGTACAGGCATTTCCCCTCACAACGTAAACAAACCCTATTGAATGCGGATTCTATGAAATATATATGCTGGAAGGGCACACTGTATAAAAAAAGTGATACTGAACTGGTCAACAACTACAGACCCATCGCCTTCACTCTCGAAAATATTTGAGACAATAATTAGGTGTAATAGCTTAATGGTTAAGTAAACAAAAAATTAATCTATAATTTTTAGTCAACATGGGTATCGGAGGAAAAATCAACCCAAACCACCCATTTTTTAGATTTATCACAGGCATATGACGTCTTCTGGCAAAGATGGAAAAATGGAGGCCAGGCTGGTCTCCTATAGACTCTTGAAGGTGGGTAGTCAATGGAAGCACTGCGATGGGACTGATGAGAGATTAATAACCACCATCCTCGGCACGGTCTCAATTTGAAAGTGACATATGGAGCAGGAGAGATAAAACCCTCTTCCTGGCGGACTATATGCTGCACACAGACGGCTCCAAAACTGAAAAAGGAGTAGGAGTGGGAGTTTTCTGCCAGAAGCCAAGAGTTGACATATCAATAAACCTGAGATCTGTTCACGATTTTGATTAATTTGGTCCCCACTAACAAGACTATAAAAATATTTTCTAATAGCCTGGCAGCCCTCAAGGCCCCGAGTTCTAATCAAGTTGACTCAAAGCTGATTTGGAACTGTATAAATACCATTGAGTATCTTGATGCCAGGAACAAAGTTACTTTGATCTAGGTTCCGAGGCACGGTGATGGAGGGCAATTAGAAAGCAGATGCGTTCGCTAAAAGAGGAAGCTAATCTGAGTTCATAGGACTAGAACCTTTCCTGGGTATTGCAAAGAGCACTGCCAAATGAAGTATCTCAAAATGGATGGATGGTGTAACAAGAACTGGAGTGATACTCCAGGGCTAACTGATTTGAAGGCTTTATACTTCCATGAACGCCTCTGCTCAGATCCGGGAATGGAGTAGGCAATATATATTCATTCTCGCGGGATTAATGACAGGACATTGTTGTCTATGTGACCACAAGAGAAGTATATAGGTCTGTAATAAAACATCAGACTGTCGAATCTGACAGTTAATAATTATATAGAATATCAAATGTAAATATCAGAAAGCAGTGTTATAATCTTCTTTTAATCGACGATTATTCGATTACTTTTTCTTTATATAAAAGTATACAGGGTGAATTTTAATTTACTAAGATACTTTTTTTAACTGTGTATAGAAGTCGATAAAATAAACTTCTTTTAAAAAAACTCAAAAGATACATAAAAAATCTAAATCAGGGATGGACTTCTGTATCAAAAATTAAGCTAAATGAGAAGTCTGTTTACGTTTTATACCTTTTTTGAGGTTTTTATCATGAATCACACACTTCATTGGTTATTGTAATTCATTCTGGTGTTCAGAAGCTTGTTTTTATGACAACAATGAACTTGAGAATTATAATAAATGTTAATATAAAATAATGTTATATCTACTAAAAACCAAACTAAAGTTCACATATGGTACAGCAAAAGATATTACAAAATTCAGATATCTTGTTAGCATTACTACACATAAAATTTATTGGAGATTTTTGCATTAAATTTGTTTGGGCTCTTTTACATTGAAATTGTATATTATGCCTAGAAATCAATCTAGGAACTTGAAAATCAATCTTATACAGCAATTCTAAATTAGATCTAACCAAGCTAAAGTAGAGAGATGTTAAAGTCGAAATATTTCTAAAGTTTCTCCAAATGAATCCATATACACGGTAAGCTGAATTAACTACTTGGTTAATATGATTATTAAACGTTAATTGGCTATCAAAAATAATTCCAAGATCCCTGATATTTTCAGTACGTTCCAATGTTACGTTGTTAATCGAATATGGGTAGTGTATTGGATTTGCGTGAAAAAGTTATTACTTTACATTTATTAATATTCAAATATCTATTTTTGAGGCACCAATTTTCTAAATAAATCAGCTGATTGTCTAATAACACAATCATATAAAGTAGAAAATAAATTGAAGTCATCAGCGAATATTAATTGGTTAGTATTAATTTTATCACACGTCATTAATAAATAATAGAAAAAGCAAGGGGCCTAAATTAGATCCCTGAGGAACTCCACTAGCTGCCTTTGAGGCTCAACTTGTCCGATTATCATACATAATTAAACCCCTTAAGACCAAACATATGTGACGAGTATGGCGGAGGAGCTTCCGATGACTATTCGAGAAAGAACGGGATGTTTCTAGTGTATTGGTGAGAATAGGTGAACTTTCTAGCACCTTCGCCAAACTTTTAAATTTGTATATAAATATTGGTGGAGAACCAAGCGAGAATTATTAGTAGATAGACAGTGGTGAATATAAATAGTGGACGATTCAAAGACATTCGAAATATATATAAATTAAAATAGTAGTGTTATAAAATAAATAAGTGTTTAAATAAATTATTAATAAATAAACTGTTGTTTAAAATAAACAAACATCACAATATCATTGAAGCCTAAGCATTGTAGCTTTTTAAGAAGTATTACACGACTGATTTTGTCGAAAGCCTTGGAGAAATCAGTATACACCGCATCAACCTGACCTCTTCTATCTAATGATTCACATAAGTATTGACTAATGTCGCTAAATTGCTCATTGTGGATCTCAAGTTCATGAGACTATGTTGTTTATTTATGGCGTATGTCTTCAAAATGCATATGCATCGGTGTTGTACAGAATGTACAGTGAACGCTTCAGTAAATGGTTACAAAGGTTACATATCTATAGTTACAACTGTGTACACATTATTTACAGGACCGTATTGGAATAAATTAATGTATCAACTTAGGATTAACTTTCTTGAAATAAAATATATGTATTATTATTAATATCATTATAGTCGGAGATTTTTAAATTGTTTTAATTTCAAAGAAAAGAACAACATATCATACTTGATATAGATACATAATTATAGGGTGTTTTAATAGTTTATATCTGTTCATTAGAAAATGCATATGCATTATTATTTTAAGTATACGGTTAGTGGTAGGCCTCTTAAAGATTTTCATTCTATCTTGATTATCACATAGAGAAGTTTCATCTACATTTTTTCCTCCATATTTTCTTTCATCTCTTTATATCATTTACATTTTTGCCATCTATTCTTTTAATGTTTTTTTCTTTCATCTACATTTTGTTGACATAATTTTTTTTGTTCATCTACATTTTTTTTATAATCTACATTTTATTTTCATTAACATCTACAAAAGAAAAGGTTTCTAGAATTGGCCATAACCGACAAAAATGGCGATACGAGTCATGTTTCTGATAACTAGTTTAGAATGAAATCCAAATTAAAAAAAAAAAATGTAAAAAATTCAAAATAAGTACGTGATTTTTTCAATGCTACCCTTAGAAACTTTTTTGTGATCTTTATTTATTTTTCATTTCAATAAAAAAAATTTTCATAAAAGTGTATTTTTTCGTCTATTTACTAACGTTCGAACATACTGTATACATTTTTTTTTAATTTTAATCATCATGTGACGCTTGAATGAAGCTTGTGCTGCAGTAAAATTGAAATGGCAAAGGATTTTTTTTTTAATTTCGTAAAAAAATAGATTTTAAATATATACAATTTATTTTCAACCTTCGAATAGGTATTCACACTGACAAAATTCATGAATACATGATTGAAAATAGGACAAAAAAGATATAATATTACCTATTTTACAATAAAATAATATAGTCTATAAGATATAACAAATATGAAACAATGAAAATGAATAGGTTCATGGCAAATTAAAAGCATAAACAATACCGATGCAAAAATATTGCCGATTTTATCACAATAATTCAATATCAGTAATTTTAATATATTTTTTTTTTATTTTGCGTAATAAAATAAAATATTCCTTATCAATTTTTGACTGAACTTTCATGGTTATTGTTTATAGTCATTTGATACTGAATAAATATGGGCTAAATGATTAAGGAATGTCAGTCTTCTATAGCTAAATTTCGGGTGAAATTTTTTTGAAAATCATTTCGCTAAATTAAGAAAGAGTTACAGGCAACAATTAGAAAATTATACTTTTGTATATAATTTTATTACAATTATTTTTTGTATAAAACTTTTTTGATATTCTAACAAATTTGGATAGTGTAGAAAATATCTATTTTTTTGCTGATTTACTTATTTGCTCTTTCCCAATTTATTTATAATTATCACATATGTCTTACTTAATTAACCATTTAGCAGCCATATGAAATAAATAATATACTGGTTTGATAAGCTTGGTTATAATATTAACCACTAAATTTCATAACTTTCCTAAAATTATTTACAAAATCTTTACAAGATCAAAATCGATTCTTTAAATTCCATATTATCTTGGTCTTTTTGTGTGATAGGATCTCCTTTTTTTTTCAAATTTGAAAACGTAATTTACTTCAATAAGGAATAAATATGTGACAACCTTGAAGACAAATTACATAAAAACAATCCCTATCTTATCAAACTTGTAATTATTTTCAAATATTTGATTTCATGGATATGAGATGAAAATTAATATTATGTCTGTCTCGAGATACAACAGATTGTGTGATTCAATCATTTTTATAATCTAATATTTTTTTACTAAGATAGACTTTTCATATTATTGTATGCCATTTCTAAAATATAAGTAAACTTTGGTATTATGGTAATTATTCAAACATTCCGAACATGAATTAATTATTTAAGCTCTAAGATTACTGACAATTTTGAGTTATTTTAGGCATCACCACGTTCCCCATACCTCAAGACAGAAGATTAACAAAAAATTACCCTTATAATTATTTTATTACACAAATACCAATTTAGTTCCATAAGCAATATATTTGCACAATTAAATAAAATGATAAAAAATGAATGTACACTTAACCTTATTTCACTTGAGTCTTTAAATGTTGCAAAAATTCATGATAAGAAAGTGCATTTTCAACGCGATCTTCAATTAATCTCTCGAAAAATACAACTCTATTGGTACTATTGTCTCTAATCACTTGCAATGTCGCCGCAAACGGTTTATCTTCGTTTAAATAGCTAATGAATTGATGAAGTCTTTGATTCCTAAGATTATCTAAAACGGGTATTTCATAACAGTCATCAGGGATGGCTGGGTAATTCGGAACACCCAGAGCTTCATTTAAAAATTCTTGAGAAACATTTGGACACACTAGAATAACCATGTGTTCACCTAAGTCCATCAGAAAAGCACCTTTGTTATCAAGACACCTGGCAGTAAGTTGGATTCGAGGCGGCACAGATACAGGCTCTTCCTCAGAGTTCATAATGACCTCTTGGTTTTCCAATTGGTGAATGGGATATAAATCTGGATAAATATCTTGCATTAACATGTAAAGTGGCTTAGTTTTCATTTCAATCATTTTCATAACCCTGTCATCCAACCTTGTAGAAGTACCCGTTCTAAATGCAGTATGCTTGAGAAGAGCTGATATATACAAAGGCAATAATTTCAAACAATTCGGCACTAGTAGACCCGTTACAGGGCTACCAAGATTCAGGCTCACTTTGTAACTGGATAATATATCTATTGCTACATTGATGAATGCCTCCCTGGCATCTGCAAGACTAGATTGCATCGACCGATCGACGGCCATTTTTGATAACAATCCTATGATGCACTGCTGGTCAGCTGAATGAATGATTTCATGTAAGGTTGAAACGACTGGTAGGCACATTGTGTGAACTCTGATTCTCCTTTCGCCCTTACTTGAAGTGTACAGAAGAGCTGCCTGGAAACAAACAGTTTGGACATCAGACAGGCTCTCTTCAATGGCCACTTGCATTCCGAACCCTGCATCTGGATTTATATTTGGCAACGATAACAAATCTGTCGACCTAACAAAGAAGTTGCCATGGAAAGTATGAATGGACAATCCTCGTGTGCATCGTATCCTCATTACCGCCTCAAAACCGATTTTTCTGGCTACATATCGTCTGAAAGAACGTGTAAAATTCTCACAAAGTGTTGCTCTCGCAGGTCTGAGCAATGGGAAATGATGTATAGCACCACCACTAAACCTGCTTATTCCAGAAATGGTAGCAATATCAACATATTGAGAATTAACTACAAACAGATCAACTGCAATCTGTTGACCACTGCATTCCAAAGCCAGTCTTTTGTAGAAATCGTTAGCGGGGTTGAGATGTGCCACTTCTGTAGCTGCCCTGCTGGATGGATCCTCTCTGGCTACCAGCGCCCCAGGGCCAATATTCGGAAGAGCAGCTTGAAAAACTGTGACTCTTCCTCCAGTGGGGCTCATCATTTTAAATGCTACCTGCAGCGCAGCACCCAAAGCAGAGTTGGTATCAAACGTGTTGGCAAATCTGTTGGGCAGCAGTCTGAGGAGATCTGCTATTAGATCCATTCTGTCCTTCAAATTTACCAATAAATTATCAGGAGTTGGAAGAAATACATCATCTATATCCAGAATTGTCATCTCATGAGGTTGTGTTATACCTGAAATTAAAAGTATATTTGAGGAAGGTCCTTCAGTATTCTTTGAAATAACTTACCTTCAGGCAAAGAATAAAAATGTAGCGCCGAATCATATGCTATAAATCCAATTTGAGTCCTAGCATCTCCAGGTATGTTCTTTAATTCTTCTAATAAAATATTGCTTACAATTTTTAAATAACCACTTTCAACAGCTAATCTGGAGACATCCAACAAATAAAGGTAAACTGCAGGTTGAGGTGGTCTTAACATATATTCTGCAGGTGCAATGTATTCCAAAGTACTAGATTTTATTTCTGGTCTCCTAGAAGGATCTCCATAAGTCTTAGTGACAGGATCATATTGAAATTCTTCTGGTAACTCATTGATCCTGTAGCATAAGTTACATTTCCATCTCTTGTTATCCACAAACATAACAAAAGGATTAATATAAGTGCGACATGCCCTACACCTGACTATGACATTACACTGAATAACTGGCAAATGGCTAAGGTCCCTGAAGGGATGAATCAACACTCCCAGAGGGAGCCTAGACTTTTGTAAGAGTGAATTATTTTCAGGAATCTTCGTCATTGTACACCGGAACAGATCTGGACTGCAATTGGCTTCATCAAGTAGTTCTTGGCCTAGCTGAACTAAGGGAGCTTCTTCCTTTGCTGGTGGTAGTATATTGGGAATTTGAAGGAGATCAAAGTGTTCCATTCCCCAGTATTTGTTAAAACCTGTTTGCAGTACTCCTCCTTGGTTATTTTGGTTTGGGTAGGAATTCATGGATTGTTGTTGAGGGACAGCTTGTTTTTGCACTGGTTGTTGATAAGAATATTGACCAGGTGTTACTGTTGGTTGCTGATAGTTATTAACAGATAGTGTGGGATACCTATTTGAATGTAAATTGGCCTTTTGAGCCACATTTGGTGGCGTGAGAGGAGGAACTCCACTATTATTGACTTGTTGATAGTTGGTGGTTTGAGTACTAAGGGTTGAAGGTGTGGTAGGTAAATTAGCATTATTATTTGGACCATTATTAAAGTTTTGAAATGAATTAGGACCATTAATTCTTTGGTTATCATTGTTTTGGACAAGTGATGGCTGTTGAGGGTATGTTTTTTGTAAATTCTGCTGACTCACAGTAGTCTGAAAGTGAGAACCTGGCACAACATTTCTACTTTGACCAAATTGGCTATTTATCTGACCTTGAGATGGTGGTGCTTGAATTGGGCCATTTCTATTTGGACTAATTTGAAAGTTTTGTTGAGGAGGAATCGGACTTACCCTAGCAGCTAAACTTGAATTGTATGGCACTCCCATTGAATGCTGGCTCTGTGTTGGATGTGTCCTACTTAAGTCGGCATTTTGGTTTGTTAAGACTTTGTTTTGTGGTGAGGGTAGACTTCCAATGCCTGACACAGTTCTAGTTGGTGCAGGATTTGGCAAATGAAAAGGTTTAGGAGGTTGAGATGTATTATTTTGCTGAACATTTGGAAACTGGCCTTGAAGAGGGGGAAAGCTATCAGATTTTTGCCCTAAATTGGATGATGACTGAGGATTTACTGAAAATGCATTACTTTGTACCAGATTAGGTTGAATTTGTGGAGGTACTGGAAATGAACCACTTAAACTCTGTTGTGAGGCAGTAGATCCTATACTACTTCCAGTATCTTTATTAAAGTATGTGTTAACAGTAATTGGTGAAGGTGTTGCTTTTTGACCCATGGTAGATGACTGAGATTGGGAAAATGTTGGTGTTCCAAATTGTGGACTTGATCTTGGGAGGCTTTGATTGAGATTTATTCCTCCAATCTGCTGAGTCACATTTCCTATTGACGGTCTTACTGGAGGAAGCTGAGATTGTGGTATTAATCTAGGAGGCAGTTGAGAAGAGATGTGGCCTAGTCTCACTCCAGGAGATGAGCTCCTTGATGATTGTGAAGAATGAACTCCATTAAATTGTTGATGTTGGAAGAGTTTTTCATCTTGCAGAGCACTTTGTTTTAGACTTTCTGGATTTGTTGAAATACCATTTATGTTTCTGTCAGCCATCATGACATTTAAATTAGACTGAAAATAATAATAATAATAATTGAAACGAATTATCTATTATTATATAATCATATTTATGTAAATATTCCTTATCAACTACTTTGTAAACAATAACTATAATAATTAGTAGATTTAAAAGAAAAAGGTAATTTATTAAATACAGAGAAAATTAATAAACAACATAACAGACAAACAATGGATTGGAAAGGGTTAAATGGTACAATAAGCTGATAAACAAAAAAATATAAACTTGAAGATGAAGCAAATAAAAAATAATTTTAAGCTAATATTTATTCAATAAATAATATTTATCTTGAAAATATTAAACATTTTCAGTAAAAATCAGTTTGATATAACTATCAAACTGGCATTTTTTAAACAAATAACTTTAGAAATACAATGCTTTTAAAAATTGGATAGTAGTTATTCAAAACAAAAACATTTGATTTAATGTAAACAGGTCATCTAACTCATAAAGGATATAATTTTTCTCAATTATAGCATAAAAATGTTTAACAGTAGGTAGGTATGACATTTATTTGAAAAATTCAAGATACAAATGTTTATTAAAATAGTCAAGAAATTCAGATACATGTTTGAACGTTTTTATTAAAATAGTAATTATACATACGTTGTGATTTTAATTTAGTTGTAATTATAAAACTTATCTAGAAAATGGTTTTAATAAAAGCCTTAGTTTTTTAGGTAAACAACTAAACTTGACCATTTTTATATATGAAAATAGCTTATACTAATGTTAATTTCTCACGTTTACCTTCAATAAATTCATCATAAAGAAAATTCTTAGTTGTATTAGTCAGTTGTCCACAATAAAATAATAATTACTATTTAAACATCCCTATATACAGGATCAGACTTTCTAGTTCATATGATTATATCTTATATTAATTCTAAACAAGGTGAAAGTTCTATTTAAATGATACATGCTTTCTTTTAATTATATGTAGCCTGTAACACAAATTTAGTTCTCTTTATTTTGACCTCGAAATTAATAATTACCTATTTAGGGTGAAATATACAGAGGTTGATCTGTTTTTTTAATTAGCATTTTATTACTTTCAAAAAGTTTTACTTACAGACGCCTTTTCTAAAAAAAGTAGTCTTCAATTTAACAATCATAACTACTTGACTTTGAACCTGAATGAGTTGCTTTTCTGCTCATCAACTTTTATTGTAATTTTCACCTGCTGCACATACACACACCTAACTTATATAATTTATTAAACGAATTTCAACAATTGTAGATGGAACTTACTTTTTAAATAAATAATTTCTTAATAAAAATATCAATTGATAGTTAGTGCACTACACATTTTTTTTCAGAAAATTCTTTTTGGACAGAAATAATCATTTTCACAAACGTCATTGTCAATCTTACGTGGCTGATACATGTTTGCCAACGTACCATTATTGTTCTTGGGCCCAGGGCTGGACCAGCCCTGCTTGAGTCAACAAAAAATTGTAATAGACAGAAGCACTAAAACGTAATAAATGTAAGTAAAAGGTAATAGATTTCAGTAAAAGGTACTAAATGTCATTTTAAGATCCACTGAACTTCACTGTACTATATATTAAACTGGAAGAACAAAGCCGATCAACAAAATCAAGCCACATAGCGAGGTGATATTTGACAATGTGGCGCACACACGTGCGTATCAAAATGCACTAAAAAGGAACATCAAAATTAAATTTAACACTTATTACATTCACCTACGACACCTTTTAATTTACGAAAATCACTTAAAAATAATTTTTGATTAATACACAGCTGAAACAAATGTTTCAATAATAATAATTATTAAAATAGCGCGTTATTAATAAAAAATAGAGAGTTTTAGCAAACATCCGCTAACGCTACCTTCGGGATATACTGTAATCTACCCCGTTCAATGTTTATGAAAAATGTCACAATCTAAGTTTAACGTAACGTTAGCGGAAATATTTCGTACATTTGCTAAAACTCTCTATAAATATAATTTATCGCGTGGGAAACGTGACGTAAATGCTCGAAGTTGACAGTCTGGCGTCCAAATTGTCATGCGCACCGACCTTTTTTTCCACTCGTGTCGGCTTAGAAATTAGGAATAGGGTGTCATATAGGGGTCTATTCTGTAACAATTCCTTTCTATTTTAACGGCCTTTAAAAATATTTTCTTCTTTACTTCTGTCATTATTTAAATGGATCTTTAAAATACATTAGACTCATTAGAGGATTATCCTAAAGAAATCTGTTTAAATAATGACAGGAAGTAAATTAACTATTACAAAAATATTTATAAAGGCCGCCAATATTTTAACAGCCGTTAATATAAAGGAACGTAACCATTTACAGTCTGGTTAAATTTGATTTAACCCTCGTAAATCGTAGAGCTAGTTGGCAACATTGTTATATTTCCGAGTTCCCAACCCGGTCCGTTCCGTTCTCTAGATGAACCTGTCACCTGTCTGCTAGACTTTATGACATGAACATGACACATGGCGTGTAACCTTCTTTATTTTTCTTCCATCCATTCCATAACTTTTTAAGTAATGGTTTAGGTTCAAAAAGTTAATAGTGTGATTACGTAGATTTTTTTATTAAATTAAAGCATTTCCAAAATGCCGAAGAAGAAAACAGGTCAGAGGAAAAAAGCTGAGAAACAGCGGCTCAGGCAGAAAGAAATAAGAACTGCAAAAGAAAATGTTGAATTGGCTGAACATCCTTGCAATATTACAATGGAATGTGATAAATGCCATCGGTTTGTAATTAAACTATTTAACGGGTTTAACTTTTTTCAATATAACAATCTTAAATATATTTGGAGAAACAGAAAACTCAAATGGTCTCTGATTTGCAAGTCATTGATCCCATTATTATTATTTTATTCAAATCCTTAATATAGGTGGTGTGGTAAAATGTCAAAGAAACTAATTCCATATTAACAATAAAATATAAATTTATTCCATTTAAAATGTTATACACTACAAAACCATCAGTTGTAATATGTGCATTTACCAAATGGCCACTAAATGGGACATCTAGAGACACCTCTCAGCGACGTTAACCTGCAGGACCTTGATCTGAGAGGATTGCTATCCCTAGACACTCAGCAACAACCAGCAGATTTTTGATTAGTTAACAACCTGAGAAGATGGCTGTTTGTAGACACCCTTTAGGGTCAACCAGCAGGTTTTTGAGGAGTTGATAACCTGCAAGACTTTAACGAGCTGGGAAGATGGCTGCCTTTAGACACATCTCAGCAGTAACCAGCAGGTTTTTGCAAGTTGAGAGGCAGGTTCTATATACCTCTGGGGATGCACAATGGGCCTTATGAGGCCCACGTGCTGTGGAGCAACCAATGACGAAAAACTACTAGACAGTCGAATTGCAAACATTCATGGTGTCATCCACGTAGTTTTCATTTATGAGAGAGTATGGGAGAGTCTTGTTACAAGGATTTTTTATGATTAGCAGCTGTCTCCTTCTTTCTATTGCGGCAGCTCTGTATGCATAATAATAAACACAATCAGAGTGATTGCAATAAAAAAGGGTTTAATTATGAATGAATGGATATAGTCTAGTAGTTTTTCGCCTTTGGGAGCAACACACCCACCTCCACCTTACAGATATCGATAGGTGGTGTGGTAAAATGGTACAGGAACTAATTCTATATTAACCTCAAAATTAATAAAATATAAATTGTATTTGTTTTAAAATGTTATACACTACACAACCATCAGTTTCAGTATGATTTAAAGAACAAAAGTATACTAATTTATTTATTTATTACAGCAAGCAGAGAAGTCGTGCATTTTGTTATTTTTGCCAAACTGTACAGAGATTGCCTGTTTGTGCCCAGTGTGGTAAAATGAAGTGTATGCTAAAAACTGGTGACTGCGTAGTAAGACATCCAGGCGTGTATACCACTGGAATGGCTATGGTGGTATGTATATTGTAAAGGGTATTTAAAATTTATGGGAATTATAAAAATATATAAAATTTAAATGTAATTATTAGTGTAAAAGTTCGATATAATTAAGTCCATTGCTTAAGATTATGTATAAAGTTGTTTGCATCAAATATTATTATTATTATTCTTTAACATTGCTTAAGATTTTGTATAAAGTTGTTTGCAGCAAATATTATTATTTTTATTATAATTATTCTTTATTTAACACATCAATACTTTAGGGTTAGGTGTAAGAATAGCCAAGCTAAATCTCGCCCTATGTACTTTACTTTTGTGCAATAAAGATGTTTATTAAAACAGGGTTGAATATGGTTTAAATCCAGATGGTTGTTTTAATATCAATTATTACAATTTTCTCATTAAATTATGAAAAAGATACTTTTTATTTCCTTGTTTTATTTTAGGGAGCTATTTGTGATTTTTGTGAGGCATGGGTATGTCATGGAAGAAAGTGCCTTCAATCTCATGCATGCACCTGCCCCCTCCAAGATGCAGTATGCATTGAATGTGAACGTGGTGTATGGGACCATGGTGGTAGGATTTTTAGATGCTCATTTTGTACTAACTTCCTATGTGAAGATGACCAATTTGAACATCAGGCTTCTTGTCAAGTATTGGAATCAGAAAATTATAAATGTTAGTGTGACCCCAAATTCTCTTAAACATTATAAAATTAATTTTTGATTTTAGGTCAGTCTTGCAATAAGTTGGGACAATACTCTTGTCTTAGGTGTAAAACCTGCTATTGTGAAGATCATGTTCGTAGAAAAGGGTTTAAATATGATAAAAATAAAGCTATTCCTTGTCCTAAATGTGGATTTGAAACTTCACAAACCAAAGACCTCAGCATGTCAAGTAAGTTTGTTTCTAAACTCTCAGTAAATCAATTTCTCTCACCATATAAAACGGGATATTTTTTTTAATAAATATATTTATTTAAAGCACGTAGTCACAAATTTGGAAGACAAGGACAATCTGGGTTTTATGATGATGATGATGATGATCAAGGTGGGTACGATGATTATGGTGAAGCTGCTGGTGGCGACTATGATTATGATGATGACGACGACGATGATGATGATGAGGAGGAAGAAAGTAGTGAAGAGGAATCTTCAGAAGAAGAAAATGAACCTAATGAAAAAAATAAAAAATAGATTTTTTTTAATGTAATATTGAAATTAAATACTTTTAAATGGTTTTCTATCACTTCTTTCATTACTGTACTAACGAATTTGTTGTGTAATTAATAGTCACACGGGGCAAGTTCGGCTTGGAACTCAATGGATCGGACAGAGTACCTTTTCTATGGAGCTACCCACAGAGTATGTGACGTCATAGGCAAAGTTCACTCGCAAGACGAACACAAAGGAATGACACTAGTAGTAGTTTGCACTTGATTACACCTTGTATGTATCGTCTCCTGTCCATCTTTGCTGTCTGCAATAAAGATTGCAGTGCCACAAGGAACGCTATGGCAAAATAATTTTTTTTCATTAACAAATGGTAAGACATTCTTTTATGGACAGATCTCTAAGGCTGAGTTCGGCTTGGCGTTCACTGTACTCAGAATAGGGTTGCCACCTTTTTGAAAAGTGAATAAAGGACTATGATGCTGACAGGGGCTCTAGATACAAAAAATCCTCATCCTTCTACTGAAATTCTAAAAAAAAAGTCGCCGAGCTTGTAACAAAAAGAAATCCTCCTTGTCATTCTACGGAGCTTCTACAGCTTATATATTTTTGTACAAACCATGTCCGTTCCAAAAATATGCTGTAAAAGACATTTTCCGTAAATAAATATAATTTAAAAAAACTAAAAAAAAAACGATTTTATAATTCAAACTAAAAAGTTAAAAATATTTTTTTAACACGCTTTTATTCAAATAAGCTTAAAACAATAAATGGAAAATACTAGTATTATTGTGAAAAAAGCGTCGGGCGCTCGATGTACGAGAAATATGGACAAAGCGCCCCACGCTTTTTTCACAATAATACTAGTATTTTCCATTTATTATTGTTTTTAGCTTATTTGAATAAAAGCGTGTTAAAAAAATATTTTTAACTTTTTAGTTTGAATTATAAAAGCGTGTTTTTTAGTTTTTTAAACTATATTTTTCACTTTTTAGTTCGAATTATAAAAGCGTGTTTTTTAGTTTTTTTAAACTATATTTATTTTTTACTTTTTAGTTCGATTTATTAAAAAAAAAAAATTGTAAGTTGAAATTGCTGAAAAAAAAAACTTCTTTTTCAGCCGTGGGGATTAGAACCCACGATCGGGGAGTCTGGCAATCGAAAACCCGCGCCTTAGACCGCTCGGCCACGAACAAACTTCAGTTAGGCCTTGGTTTCTTTGAACACTCCGACGCGGTGAGCGGACTGTCCGTCGACCGTCGCGTTTTGACGATTTTATCTAACCAGAGTATTTAAATGGGAACGGTTTTCTCGAATCCGCTTAGCTGAGCAGGACGGCGTCATGCCGCTGATTTGTCGCGACTAGTCGGTTCATATCTGTTGAGTTTGATATCGGCGGAATCGTCGGAGTGTGCAGAGACAGTGTGTGAATACAAATAATTATATTGTTATTATTTTTAAAACAATTAGTGACAAATTTACACATACAGATCATGAAATCTTAATAGATTTGGTTCGACAACATCCTCCTTTATACAGTGTGACAGGAAATGTCGTCCTTTACAAAACTCAACAGTACAGTGATATTAAAGGCACCTTCTGTATTGCGACACACAAACAAACTTATCCACTGGCTTAATTGAAACTTTGACTGTTGCAATTGCCAGTTCCTCTTCTTCTTCCTCCTCTTCCAACAAAAATAACAACGAACCAATTTATTTGAGTCCATTTTAGTACCTTTCGTTTCTACTCATAATACATAAACAGCACATACAGACAAAGGTCTCATTTTCTATATTTAAACAAACCACCTTGGGCGAAAATCGCTGTCCTGAGAGGTGGACGGAGTATCTGCTCATCGCGACGGAGTGTTCAAAGAAACCAAGGCTTTAGTGGGATATACTGACAGTAATAAGTCACTTGAGTCTAAAGGAGAGTTACAAACATACATATATACATACAGGTGAAGCTAATATAAGCGTGTTAAAAAGAGACATTTGCCGTAAAAAAGGACATTTTAAGCTTTAAAAAGTCACAAGGACATTTTGCTTCAAAAAAGAACAGGTAGCAACCCTAACTCAAAGTTCACTCGGTATACCTCAATTGTAGTTGTCTTGGCACTCTGAGCGTACTCTTTTGTGTTCGGCTTGCCACACTTCACGTCATGGAGGAAGGTTCACGTACTCAGAGCAGAGCTGCTAAGCTAAAACCTGAGACACGAGCCTCTCCAGATGCGCGGAACAGGAGCGTTTTAGAACGCATGCGCGGTTTATTATATTTGAAATTCAAATGATGGATTAAACCGCTGAGCTTAACTTTCATGAAATTTAAGATGATTTTTTAAAAATGTTTTATGTAGGTTAACTTGAATTAAATTGTCAAACATAAAAAAATAAAAATAGGAATCGATATTCATTTAAAGGCAAATCTTAAAGGTTGGTATAATTGCTATTCAAATTTAATCACAGCATAAATGTTTTAAAATTTGAATGATATTTGATTACTATGGTGGAAAATACGAAGGGAAATAAAACAATATATCCAGAGTATTATGTTCTTATATTACTATTGTCACGTTATGCGTGTTTTTTAAAATGTCACGTTTAACATGTTTTAAATAATTATGGGACTATGTCCCTGGGGTTGAGTAACAAAATATAACACTCTGGGCCTACATAACGTAAGTACCATATATTGACTTAAACTTGGCTTCGTAGCCCTTAACTGTATAAGGGTTCTATTCTTGATGTTAGAACCCAACACGTCTCTGTAGAAGGGCTGAAGGAAACAATTTTTTCTCAAAACAAATATAATTAAAATAGAATACAAAATAGGTCACAGCTCGACACACAATATGGACTCAATGTATGTAACAAGTACACAAAACGTAAACTTACCAACTCCACTAATATTTGGTGCAAATGTCACAACTCTTGCCTGACTATTAAAACTTCCATTTAAAATACAAAAAAAAGACTTAATATAAACTATAGAGATCCCGAGCTAGAGCTGCTACTGGAAATCTCCTACAAGGGGGGGGGCTCCTATGGGATCTTTCCCTGTAAAAAAGCCCTGCGCATCCCCTCGGCATTACCTTTATAACTTTTGTTTAATAATTATTAAATAATCAACCTTGCACATGATTGTGATGTAAAACAAATTGTCGACATACTTAAACAAAGTTTTATGTACATGTTATTTAAATAATTAAAATTTGGAAAAATATGAATTTATACGAAGCGTGACACTATAATAAAAATACTCACAACCTTGCAAGTGAACCCCTGAAGTTCTAAAAAGCTTGTATGGGGAGGGATGTTTATTATCATTATTTGTCGTGGCGCTCCGGGGCTACTTATAGATGATTGATGGTGCTTATACATTTTATAAATGTCAAATTAACAGTAGTCGTGATCAGGCAGAACATCTTTCACAGTTAGATCTTTTCCTTTGCATCGAAAGTGTAGCACAGAGGCATCTCCATATCATGGGACTGTCAGAATCCGAACTCTGCAGAGGGTGCGAACAAGATGAGAGCATATCCTTTACGATTGCTCGACGCTTTCATTTATTAGATTTGTGTTCGGCGAGTATCGGCAAACACCGGCTATAAGAGAAGCACCTCTTGGCGACGTTGTCAACTACATTAAATCTGTAGGCTGGCTCACGAATTAGGAGGTGCCTATCATCTTAGGATGATGCACAATGGGCCTAGTGAGGCCTAAGTACTGTGGGGGGTAACCCACCCTCCACACGTTACAGATACAGAAGATCTTTCAAGGATGTATAGTTCTTGTGAAAACAATGCACCAACTCAAATATTATGATTTGTTCTTTATTAAAACTAGTGAAATATTTTTAACGGACAATTTTTTCAAATGTAATAAAAAAGTACATAATTTGCTTACAAACTACAAACAAAAATTACAGGCACTCAGTATAAATAAAAAAATAATAAAACTTTCTGTAAAACGACAAAATGAAATAATGTATAAGTTAAATGTCATGAATAACTAAAATATTATAATCTATCACAAAGTTAAGAGATAAGTTACTGGGTATGATGCTATAAGTCGATAATTTTATTTAAATGTTTTATTTAGGATAATAGTTTATTATGTGCCTACTTGGAATTAAAATAATTTTGTACACATAGCGGACCAAAGTTCTGATCTTAGTCTATAACACTGATCATCTAAATTTGCAAACGAAAATCATTTTAAATTAAATCAGTCTGTTAGGGCACTATGTATTGTGCCTGGTGATAACTTGTTAATAATTTATTGTCGATATTTTAAAAGGTATATTATCTTTAGCTTTTGTGTCAAATAGAAAAGTTTTTGTACCTAAATATTTTTTATTTTAGATAAAGTAAATTATATTTTTTATATTAATAATTTAAATATACCAGCAATTTTGATACCGTATTTTTGGAAATGTATTGGTAATATTTTTTAAATTATTATATTTGACAAAATGACACGGACGGGACGAAACCTAGTTAAATATAGGACGAATGTCACCACCAACATAATTTTTTTTTGGTCAGTAAACAATAAATGATATGTTTTTAGCAATGTTGTTTAAAAACGCATAATTAACTATACAAAACAGGTAAAACCAGCCAAATATACACTATAAATTGATCAGAAATTTGGCCAACAATGTTTTTTAATACAATAGGATGGTATATAAATATAGTTATACATTATTTTATTCCGGGATTTCAATGGTCTTTCCAGCTTTGACATCATCGAAAAGCTGGTTCCACATATTTAACCTATCTTTCCAATAATCTGGGCCTTTAGTGGGATTGGATTGGACAATTAACTCGTTTTTCTCTTGAACGTGGTTGCCAACTTTTTCTAAAAAAAAAAAAAAAAACATAATAAAACATAAAAATTACGTATTTATGGTATTTTTTATTACTAGGAAACAGATGTTGATGCTAAAATTTCGGTATTTCAATATTTATACAGTGTGGAAATGATCCATTATCTTACGAGTCATATGACTTGGTATAGGTAGTCTTGTTTTCTCCGGCAGCAATTTGTTACCTCTATGCATATCTATTCAATATGTCAAATCAGTACAGATTTGAAGTGTTTTAAGTATGTTAACGTAAAGGTACAAAAATGACTTTTACGTTGACGATCAAAATATGAGTTATGAGTAGTTAAACGTAAGTAACATGACATTTACGTGCTGCTAAATTGTTGAACAGTAAAAGAGAAAAAAAATATATGAAAAAGAACCAAAAAAGAACCTGCAGATGTATCATAATAAATGTTAATATATTTTTGTAGATGTGTGTATCAATAAGCAACCCACACAATATAAGAAACAAATAATTCTACTACGTATACAGTTTTTAGACCATTAGTTTTATAAATAATGTTCAACAAAAATGTGTTGTTTAGAATAGAAGCAATTCTTTGATGAATTGTTGGGAAACTCACGAAGTTGACGACGATACGGATGATGCCTTTTTGCCCATAAACTTCTCTTAATAAATGTCATCGTGATTTTCGGTGAACCAAAATCTCTTTTTCTATTCAATACTAGTTTGAAATGTATTTGCCATGGAGGAAAGATTTCAGTTATGACATAAAATGACTATTAGGATTTGATTTCTTCTGTTCCAATAAAAAAATGGGTTAAATGTTTGCGTTACGTGCAAACGCCAAAAAATCCATACAAGAATAAAAAATAAATTGGCAGAATGTATATTTCATAAGTAGCCATTAGCATCTCCCCCATGTACAAACATACATATTTAGTTAAAACATTGTATTTAAATAGACAATGGTCGAAAATAATTTTTGTTTTAGAGTGATGAACTAACTGATGGAATGAAGAGTTAAGTATAATTTATAATCACCGTAACGTAACTTAAAGCCAAAGAAACTTAACGTAAGATATACACAAAGTCTATTAATAAATGTCCCTAACTTATGAGTTGAGCATGCGTATTGTATTTCAGAGATTATCAAATTATAGACAACCTTATTAAAAAAAAAACAAGTGTAAACTGTGCACCTAACCTCTAAATAAAACCCATAAATTATTATATTAACTACTTTATAAGCAATAATATAAAAATGTAATAAGACAGAATAGACGATGTTGTTTTTGAGCAAGAATCATAATTAATTTTCCTTGGCAAAATAGTTTTGTGTCAATTTTAAACATGTTGAAATGCTCATAAATACTTTATCACCAATAATATAAACAAAAAACATTCAAGAGAATTTATATCCATAAAAAGTAGAATTGATAGTTTACAAATGGTATTTGTCCATTCATTTATTAAAAAAGATAAAAAGAAGAATAGACAGTTATCACATGCTAAACTCAGGATTATCTTATTGGCTAGCCATAATATTTATAAATAAGTATACGCAAATTCAGGGGGTTATGATTGACAACCTGTGTTATTTTTAACAGGTCTGTTATTTTATAAACACACAGAAATTACAACCTGTTCACAAATAACGTGTTTGTTGAAAATAACATTACTTGTCCATCATATCCCCTTTAATATTTTAACTTCTTACGTTAATTTCTTAAATTACGTTACGGCGGTTATAAATTAAGCTTTAATTTAAAAGCCATTTTTTGTACAAAATACACTGATCTGTATTATTTTACTGGATAGGATATAGCCCCCTAAAAAACGTTCCGAAAAATTGGCGGCAAATAATATGGCGGACCGGATGTTATTTAACGTAACCTCTATTTCCATTTGTTATCACATTTGTCATTTAATTGTGTCAACAAGCTACGATGAGATGTTTTTATTGTAGAAATCAAAGTAAAAAGAGTATGAAATAAACAATAAACGTTCATTCCTGAAGACACAATATGCTTCACGTTTCCATTTTTATATTTTCTTTCATAAAAAATCAAATCATGGGTGAAATTTCCCGAAGGACATCGCCCGCAAAAGGAATAGAAGAAAACTAATCAAATTATAGGTTAGGTATGTCAAATTATCCCAAATTTCAGTTCTGTGAACCCACCATAATTTGCACAAATCTGCCAGCATTGTTGCACTTCCGGTCTCCTTGGTGGAACGATTTTTTAGTATGTTAAATATAGCCTATATCCTATCCAGTAAAATAATACAGATCAGTGACAAAATAGCACTTTTATGCGATTTGACATAACATTGCAAAATGACATAAATTTCAAATCGACTGATTTCGGAAAATATGCAATATTTCCATATCCTGAGTAAACCATATTGTAGGTAAAGGTTGAACTTAGGTCGTCTTACTATTTATTTTTATTTGTGTAAAATTGAGGTTAAAATAATTAGTTTTTTTAATTTAAAATAATAAATTTATCAATTTTCAATAGTAAGACTAAGTAAGTTATACCTTATCTTTAATTTGGCCAAAAATTAGATTTTTAAATACCATATATTCGGAAATCAGTATATTTAATTTTTGGTCTACACATGTTTTTAGGGATACCCCTTCCTTAATGTTTATTAAATAATGAAATAAAAGTTGAGAAATATGAGCACCGGTTTCCTTTATATTCAGTTTACTTACTGTAACTTAAAAGTGTTGCATCCGACGTATGTAGTATGGTTTAACTTTTCAAACAAAAATTATCGATGATATATCTTGCAAGGAATTGTATGTAAAAATTATTTTTTGAAAAAAAAAAGAAAGACCTGTCCGCGCTTTACCTCCAAAAATAATTAACTATTTAAGATAATGGAGAGTTCCGCACTTTATGAATGCACTGTATAAGAGACTTTTAGCGAAAACATAATTATTGTTTCTACTTGCCGCCTATCGTAATAGGTACGTTAAAAGTTAATAAATACCAGTAATAGTAGTTTTTGCAGTCTTCCTAGCATCTTCAATATCTTTCAGTCCATTTCTAATATAATCTTGGAAAAACTTGCTACAAGTGCCTAAGAATGGTTCTATGTCAGCTTCGGGATGTTGCTGCATAAAATCGTACAGTAAATTTAAGCCTTCTTTAGTTTCGTCTTTGCTGCCGATTTTTTGGAAAATGTCTGTCAGCATTTTGTGATTGGCTCTGGACAAGGATCTCCGCTGAGTTTCTTGTTTCACTGGTATATGTTGTATTTCGGAAATCTTTAAACTCTAAAAAAATACATTTTCATAAAAATTTAAGGTTACTTACTCATTCAAAACCAGACATAACACTTTGAAGCAAAAAATCTTTAATTTATAATCCCCAGGGATCATAAATATAATATGATTAGGAAGTATATTTTATTTATCTTGAAAAATAATAAACATTAAAATATCATCAGAAACGCTAGAGCTGCTGCTTATCAATGTTAATATAGATAACCTAGCCCAACAGATATTTTGTTACCTGCGTTCGAATGTCTCTAAATAATTTAATTTATTGCCCTTGTTTTCAGTAGCATTATAGATTAAATAAACCTTATTTTACCTTGAGTATTCTTAAAATGTAAGATTCAACCTCGGATTCACTGGTATTCGGTATTTTCCCTAAATGTAACATAATAGTTCCTCCCTTGATCTTCGCACTGGAGTGCAAGATTGTTTTAACCGTCCTTAAAGGAGTGTCAACGTCTTTAGTTTTCCACCACGAAGAGGGAAACTTCTTCAAGAAATTGTGCACTTCCAGAAGTACAGAGTCATAGTCGATCTCGTCGCCCCATTGAGGCATTAATTTGATCACCCTCCAGAGACATTTCATAACTAGATCGACGTGTCTATCTGAACACTCGTTGCTTATGCAGTCGTTTATTAATTGGACCAAAGCACTAAAAAAAATAATAATAAGAATGTTTGGACAAAAAGTCTTAGACAAAAGAAAGTACACAAGTTGCTGTTAAAAAATTAGGGTATTTGGAAATTCTCAGGAAAGTTTTAATTGACAAGGGGGACAGACATGTCACTGTGCTAGAACAATATACTAGTATAACTTGTTATGATTATGATCTAAAAAAAAAAACAAAAAATGCTCCTTCTGGCAGTATAGTCATGTATACAAAATTCATTTATTTGGGTACATTGTAACTCATATCTTACTGTTGAAATAAATAAATTATAATTAAAACCAATAGTAAGACACCTTAAAATGCCTCTTACTTTCGTTTGGGTGTGATTCATTATTTTACATTTTTGTTGGTAATATAATAGAAAGTTATTTTAAGATGTCCCACTCATTTCCAAAATATAAAAATATACATTTTTCTAAGCTGTCACTGTCAAATATCTAAGTATTTCACTACAAATATGAATATTAAATGAAGGATCTTGGACATTTATTCTAGTACAATAATTAGATTGTCGTCCTTTTACATGATGCCACAAGGGTGGCTTTAAGAAGAATTGAGAGAGCCTGGGATGGGATTCATAGTTTGTGTGCGCCGGCGAGAGTCAGAATCTGATTGACTTCAAATCTACAAGTTCGCATGTCCAAACCACGTGTCTAGATAGCCAAGAACATGGACGGCTACAGTCCAAAGTTTCCAGGTTCAATCCCTGGTCAATGCACTCATTTAGTCTTTAATTCCCAGCTTTTTCAATTTTTCATTGGTTTGTTTTTACTTTGGGGATATAGGGGTGTATTTTTCATAATTTCGTAGGGGAATTGGTGATTATTCATTTTTTCATTTCCAAAATTGTAAAAAATGGTACCTGCTTAACTGAGTTGAGATGTATTTTATTTTTTGTTATATTATGAGCACTTATTTTTATTTAAGTATGCCATTGTGGAAATAAAAATATTAAGCGTTTTCTTTGACGTAATATTCAAAAGACAACTTACAAAATAAAAAAAAAGAAAATAAACATAATTTACATTGAAAACCACATAAGTTATTTAAAATTTTTATAGAGATAAAAAAAAGTATAGAACAATAGAATGACAAATGAGGTATAACTTTAAACAAAGAATGAGTCAATTCAATACTAATATAACGAAGCAAAAACCCAGACAATTTCTGAAAATGTGTTAAAATGTGTTTTTTTTTTTACCAAAACAATACAAGGACATCTTACAAAATTTATTAATTATTTAAAAAAAAGTTGACACATAATAACATGCAGGATAAGTTTTTATAATATATATTACACAAATCACAATTGACCATTCACTGTTGGGTACTAATTAACAGTGCTGTTCCTAAAGTGGCACTGGGAAACAGTAACAAAGCCTACACAGAACACGAGGCTAATAACCGTAGCAGTTGATGCCGGTGACACAAAAAAAAAACTATATAAGATATTATTAATTAATAATATATACAGAAAAAAAATAATACTAATAATAATATTCTCCCTAATTCATCCCCTTACGAGTAAATTTTTACCGGAAAAGCTAAGTTTGTCAGGTGAAGGCATGGCTATTATTATTAAATTTCTGCTAATACGGCATCCATCAATACTATTGAGAACCATGCAAATAAATTCACATGGTCTGTAGGATTCGAACCACAAAGTTTAAGCAATAAAAAAGTTAAGTACAATTATGGCAGTAAAAGTCAATTTTATCTTTTTTAAGTTATCCTAGTATTAAATAATTTGAAAATTCGGAAACAAATCTCAAAAATTCACCCAAGAATTATTAAGACCATCCCCGAACCTCAAAGGTAAAAGCAAATAATTGGAGATCATCCTTGTTCTCTAGACAAATGCCCTTTCCTCTAGACAATCTAGAACAGTGTTTCTCAAACTTTTTTGGTGACGGAACCTTTTTGAAAAGCGAAATATTTGACGGAGCCCAAAACATTTTCAAAAAAAAAAAAAAAATTATATCCTCCTTCCTCTTAGTGACTTCTAAAAAAAATCTAAAAAAACAAAGCTCCTCAAGCCAGGTCCCTCCCTTTTGTGGCGATAGTATTGCTTCTTTTTTTATTATGAATGTTATTTTCTTCGCGGAGCCCCCACAAAGACTTTGCGGAGCTCCACTGGTCTAGACCATCAATAACATTGACTGTCGAGATTCGTAAACAGAAATTTGATGTGCTAGTTCGGACCAGACGACGTTCAGGCTCGTTCTTAATATTTTATACCATGTTCTAACACAGTGATGTGTAAGTTGAGGATAAATGTAGAGGCTAAGAAAGAATACTCCTTTGTATCTCACAAGATAACATGTATTTTTAAAAAAAAATTGCATCTGGTTTTGAAGTGATTACTTCATTATCTGCCACATATAGTGTAAAAAATACATATAAGATATTCTTTCTTTGCCTCTAAAAGTTATTTAATGGTTTCATTGCTACTTGTGTATTTTTATTTACAATATAATGGTTCTAATTATGATTTTCTAAACAATTGGTCGACGTAAAGAGCTATGATATAATATAAAGTATTGAAAATAGAATTTAGAATTTACATCAATGTCTAAAACCTTCAAACACTTACCATATTGTGTTGGTATGATCTGACCTTTCAATAAGTTTGACACAATGCAAGTTTATCACCCTAACGTAAGCGTCGCCGTTTTGAACTTTGTTTAACCGCTCTTGAACTAGCAAATGTATCATTTGGTACATTAGTTCCTTTATCACTTGTACTGAAACGCGGCTACCCAAAGTTTTGTTATTGTAGAACTAAAAAGAGAAGTGTTAACATTCCAACTCAACGTTTGATACTGATAATTCCAATACACAGGATGTTTTTGAAATACATGTACATATTAAAACGGGCAATAGTATATCATGTCAAACCTAGAAAATTGTTGAAAAATTAAGAATTATTTTGAGAATGTAATTCTGTGTTATATTTATATTTAAACGCATTTTCATATAAATCACTCCATTCAATAGATAGAAAATAAGATAGAATTTACGTATTAGTATTCTGATTTTGTTTACTAAGTAATAAATTTAAGTATTCCAATACATACATGTATTTAAATAACATATTTTGCTTACTGCATCCATAGTGGTAAGAAGATTCCTATACACTTTTATTGCAAATGAATCAATAGTTAAGTCGGCGTTTTGCAAATTTTTGAATTGGGTTATTACTGTACTCATAAACTCGTCTTCGTAATCTATCATGGCGTTTCCACGTGTAGTGGCCAAGAGTTCATGTAATTGCGTCATACCCTTGAAAAAAAAAATGTATTTATTAATTCAATTAATAAAGAAAATGTATATATTTGTTACTTACAGTTATAGCTATAGTAGTAGTTTGAGATCCCATTTGTTTGATCAGCCTCTCAAGAATAGGATCCTGTTTCTTAGGACTCGTGCTGCTGTTCAGACTAACTCTAGACACAGCCTCGCTAAAGCGTATCATCTGTGTATTTGCACCAGCACGCACCCTAAAATGCACATACATTTTTTTAATGTTCCCAATTAATTATTAAGCAAATGTATATCTTACTGTGCTCTGGCTTCTTCAATAGTAGGGATCCTGACATCCTCATTCAAAAAATCAAGATCGTATGAAGTCAACTGAGGTTTTACTGGTTTTGGTGGTTTACGCCTTTCTAATTCTTGCATGAAATCCGGGTCTAACTTGAAAGGACCCTCAATTTCTCTCGGCGGTTCGAATACCATTATCTGTGATGGCAAACTGCAACAAAAATAAAATAATAATACCTATAACAATAAATAGGTTTTTTACTCAATATTATATAAATATACGGGGTTATGATTGACAAGTAATGTTATTTTTAACAGACACGTTATTTGTGAACAGGTTGTAATTTCTATGTGTTTATAAAATAACAGACCTGTTAAAAATAACACAGGTTGTCAATCATAACCTCCATAATATATGAATTATATATTTTGATTTTCATTTCGTTCGTCAATTGAAATATTAATTCTAAAAAGTGCTCCTCAAAGTTACTCTTTTAAAGTGGTTATATTACGTCTAAAATTGTCGTTTTTTAACTGAGGTAAAATCCTGGAAGTTTTTCTTCAAGCCCATCATAAATTTGCCATTATTGTCGAACATCTATAGGTAATGCAACTATTAGTATTAGTTAATTAATTATCTGCAATTATCTATCAATTATAAGCAAAAACTATCCACAAAAACCTGTTCTTGATAACAACTATCGATTTATTTTCATTTACTAATAGTCTGGCAGCTTACAGCAAAATTTTAGCGACTCGATCAACAACAAAAACAGACTTTTAAGTACAAATAGTCTGGTAGCTTACAGCGAAATTTTACCGATTTGTTCACTCTAAATGGCTAGTAATTGTGTAACCTGCGGTGATGTTCTCGGAGATAAGCTAATTGCTTGCGATAGTTGTCATGTCTCAATGCACCCCTCAGAGGGTTTCACCGGCCTGGGGGCTTCCGAACTGCGTGCTATTGTTTTACAAACAAGAACTCTGGTTTATTTTTGTGGGGATTGTCGTCGGGCATTTAAAAGTGTATCCACACTACTGAGACAAATTGATAGCCTTAGATCAGAAGTAAATTCATTGAAAGATGAAGTCAAGAAGCTCAAAGATAGAAAGAACGACATCCCGATGATTAGTGAGGACATTATTACCGAACTTCATGAACGTCAAAAGAGAGCCAACACCTTGCTAATCTTTAACCTACCTGAGCCAAACGATGTCTCTGATGATCTTAATCAAGTCAAAACTCTTAATAACAAAGGCTGCTGGTGCTAATATCACTGACATTAACGATACCCAAGTTTTACGCTTTGGAAAGATTAATAAAAATTGACATCGACCCCTTAAAGTTGTGTTGAAATAAACTCGTGACGTACACGCCATTATCAAAAACAAACACAATATCTGCCGCGATAAAAAGGTTTTTATACATCTAGACCAAACTCCTAACCAAAGGAAAACTCTGGACACTGTCAGAAGCGAGTTATTGAGACGTCAGCAAGCTGGTGAGCTAAACTTAACAATTAAATATGTCAACAATATTCCTGTAATTATTACAAAAAAACTAGATTCGGGCAAGCTGGCTCTTCATTACCAGAACGTTAGAGGCCTTCGAACAAAACTATCCCAACTATGTCTCAATGTTACGAATTGTTCCTACGATGTAATTATTCTTACTGAAACATGGCTCACAGCTGATATCAACGACGCCTGTAGATGTACTATTACTGTTACTGAGGTTCTTTTTATTTCTAAACCTGTAGTGGCTCCGAGTTACGTAGTTTCTCCAATTCCAAGCTCCAAGTAGCGTAGTTTCTCCAAGTCCGAGCTCCAAGCTTTAAGCTCTAAGTGCAAGTCTAAGCTCCGAGGTATGTAGCTTCCAAGCAGGTTATGTAGCTTCTCCAAACAAGCTCCAAATTGCTCCGAAGCAGCTCCATGTAGAACCAAATCTGGACATATCTCCAAGTCTCGACATACGACATGGAAATACCGCTATATAATGCCACATGGTTGAAACAATTAAATATCTACATTCAACTTCATTCAATTTTTTTTTCAATGGTCAATTTTTTTCATCCATCTTTCAAATTTAATTATTAATTTAATGTATAATTGCATTCTTATTTTTTTTTTTATTAAATGTATTAAATTTTCTCACTTTCTTTGCCAGAACCCGTAACACATAACTTTAAGTACCAGAGACTGACTCAATTAAACAGGGCATATAAAATCAGATAAGTTTTCCAAGTTACTCAAAAACTTGGTGGCTCTCAACATTTTTGTCGTTATCGTATTATAGTATCTTTCATTTTATCGTAAAGTAGACTTTGGCCCGCGAACAGGTCAAGCTACTCTGTCAATTTATGAATCCACGCAGTACCAGCAATTTGAGCTAAATCACCTCTTAAGTACAATTTACATCGTAGAAATCAAATAGAAGGTAACAGTTGGAGTCTGTTAATCAAATTAAAGACCTGGAGTTATTCTAGATCCCTCTTTAAGCTTCAATCAACACATACCTAAGGTTATCCATAAATCCATGAAAATGTTAGGTTTTATCAAAAAGCTAACACAATATTTTACTGACACAACTGCAATTAAAGTCCTTTATTGTTCCCTAGTCTGACCTCACCTAGATTATTGCTCTTCTGTCTGGTCTCCACATTACGTAACGCCCAGCAGAATCATAGAAAATGTGCAACATAAATTTCTTAGATACATAGCCTATAAATTGGGTGTCCTTTGCGAGTATGGTTTGATAGAGAATTTTCTAAACATCCCCTCTATAGAAACTAGGAGGAAACAAAGAGACCTGACATTACTTTTCAAAATTATAAATGGCAGATGCAGCTGTACTGAACTTCTAGCAAAAAAAAATCTTTATGTTTCAACCCGCTCAACTCCACAGCAAAAAACATTTTATGTAACTTTTTACCGTTTAAACCATACTTTTAGTAGCTGTATTCCAAGAATGTTAAGATTAGCCAACACTCAAAACGATCTTGAGATATTTGACACCCCCTTTCACAAATTTATAAAGCAATTACTTAGTACTGAGCTTTAATCTTTGATCTTTAATTTTTAACTGTTTAATGTAAATATTTTATTCAACCTTATTGTCTTCTGTCTTTTTAATATTTTTTTAAATTCTTTACCTATTTTAGTTTTTATGTAATGAATTATACCAAGTTTGTATTTCAGCACCATATACCTATATTTCACTACATTTTAATTATAATTTAAAATTGTAATTTATTTCTCAAATGGGCTTGCCCGTAAATAAATAAATAAATAAATAAATAAATAAATAAATAAATAAATAAATAAATAAATAAATAAATAAATAAATAAATAAATAAATAATACAACAATAAATACGTTTATTACTCAATATTATATAAACATAATATATGAATCATATATTATGATATATTGAGTAAATGGAATTTTAGCACAGTGCATTTAAGTCTTTTGGAAATGCGTGCCTGTTGACTTACTTTACGGGAGGTAAATTTTCTTCTTCCATGTCATCGTCATTTTCATCGTTAACATTGTCTACGTCCAATACAACTGTCGCGTCAAGAGTGTTTCTATTAGGTGGCGTGTTTTCTTTTTGCGGCGAGATAACGGCGGTGACGACTGTAGATTTTAGATCAGATTTCGGAGGATTTATTGTTTTTCTGCTAGACCGTTTGATTCTTTCTTCTAATAAAGACATATCTTTATCAGAAATCTAAAAAAAAAAATAATTTCATTTATTACTTTCATACTGGCTCAACCTTCGGTTATATAAACAGTAGATACATAATGAATAAACCTATACTACAGCAAATGTATTCTATATAAGACATGGGACGAAATAAAAATTAAAAGGTCTGAAAAGAATGTTTTATTGAAAATTGTTGAATAAAATAAGTTAATTTTTATACCAAAATAATGTCCCAATGTAAATGGGAAGTAAATAATATTATATTTAATAGCAAGTTTATAAGCTGAAATTTAAAGCATATGCAATTTTAATAACAACAATAAACAAATGCCACAACAATCTTTATACATTAAGGTAGTGAGTGGTAATCTTCAAAACAGTTTGTTTATACAAATTTCTAACTTTATTTAATTAAGCTTAAAAACATATTATTTTTCTACATTGCCACCAAGAGCTTCTTTGAGGGATCCAAAAAGATGAAAGTCACAAGGGGATAAGACGGGACTGTATGGTGGATGTTTTAGTGTTTTCCAGTACAATGCTTCCAATTTTTGCCTTGTGGTATTGGCCTATAAAACCTGGCAATATGATGCAAAAGAATAATACTTTCAAAACAACTGTCACTGCCTCAATGTTGGCTTTGGTGACACTCATTCTTGGGTGGTCAGCAAGGATCTCGTTCTCAACTTTTTATTTTATTTTTCAATGCAGATGCGCCATTTTCTAAACATATGTTAATTATATACAACTTGCATGTATCTAAACAATTCAAAATAAAAGCTGACGTTTCAAAAGATAAGGCGTATTTAGAATATGTCTGAATATATCAAGTAAATTATTAAATAATTTAAAGAGTATTCCAGTTTCATATTGGCGACAAAAAAATAGGCAAGACAATTTATCTACGGTTTATATGATCGAAGGACTTAACTGCCAATAAATATATTTGTATGACGAACTTATAAACAAAAAATTATTAATAAATGTTTTTTTACTTACATTGCCTACTAACTTATAAATTTTTTCACCGACAATGTTATAAGCCTGGACGCAACAATTCAAGGCTGCATTTCTTACTGAATTGTCTCTGTCTGAAATTTGTTTCGCTACTTCTTTCAAACATGCTGCTGGCGTAGGCATGCACACGGTTATTCCTGTAGAAAAACGAAAATTAAACATAAACAAATGGATCTTATTTTGTATTTAATAGAAGTAGTTTAAACGGACTTGTAAAACAAATATTTGAGGCAAGAGAAGAGAAAAAGAATATATGAACGTAAATAAATGCATTGAAAGAAAAGGCTAGGCCAGTACTAAAGAAAAAAGTAAAATGGGAGGATATACAAATCTTGTACGACGTAAAAAAGTATAAGATTATGCCAGTACTGGCTCACAGAGTTTTTACGTTATTAAAATACTAATTAAAGCATTTACCAAAATCTTCAATGATGCCACCCATTACTTCGAGACATTCTGCTCTTTGCCTGGCGTTTTTCGATTTGACTCCGTCCATGGTGTAAGTGAATAATTTATTTACAGGATACAATCTGCTGATTTGATTTAGAAGTGCCTTCACGCCGTTTCTGACTGAATCCTTTGGATCGCCGATCTAAAAATAACAAAAGTGAGAAATATACTTTTGTATCTATACTTCAAATTTAAACTAGGAGGAGCGAACTGAAAAGTCGCATTTACATAAACAAATGTTACTAAATATCATTTTAGCGATGAATCTGACTTTGGTATAATTTGAAGCAAAATATTTTATGTTTGTTATAAATGCACTAAAGTCAACGTTTTATATAACGAGCAATATATATGACAAAAAATTGGTGCTTGATTAACTTTTTGGTATAGATCGCAGCTTGCACCAGTATGGTACCAATGAGACTGAGGTGGAACCTAGCAATAACAGTTTTAATTCTTAAACTATGTCACACCATTCTACTGCCCTTTTAAAAAGAAGATTAATTTATTAAGGCAGCCGCTATTTTGAAAAATTACAAACCCAATTTTTTATGTTCATTGAATATTTTTTGTATAATTTAAAAGAAACATTAAAAAAGAAATAACTTATTTTAAGCCTCTCTTTTGTAATAAACTAGCTGTTGACCTCGTGAAAAAAAAAGCACCCTATAGTTTTAGAGCTCTCGTGATGAGTCAGTGAGTGGTATTTCGCTTTTATATATGTATATAGATAGATAGAAGATACCGATTTTGTTTACTTATAATTTAACATAATTCATTTTTGGTCTATTATTATTACCACATTTTGCTTTCTTTTTTATTTTGATAGTGTACCCCTTATTTATTTTGTAAACTGAGATAAATAATAGTTTTTAAGCTTTCCAGAATAAATGCCTGTAAACATTTGATAAATAATGGCGATTTATTGTTTAAAGAATATCTTACCAACATAAATAGAAATTTTGAATACAGCACTAACAATTTTCAAAGTTGGTTTATTTTCTTATGATTTTTATTTTATTTTTCTGCCAAAGATAAACGACAAACCATTTTTTTGCGTCTTTTTGGAGGCAAAACTTGTGTAGCGATATACATTTTAATAAAAAGAAAAAAGAAAGCGTACAAAAAGAAATACACAATTTTTCAAAAAGAAGACATAATTCTATACACTATAGAGGTATTTTTTATTAGATATAGAAAATTTCAACATTAAAATTCCAAATGTACCTAATTGTAAGATATGACATTAAAATAATGACAGATTAATTTTTTAAATATCTTTGTGACTAGTTTCACCAAATATGAAACGTATATAAATAAAATATAAAATAAATACCTTATTAATTAGATAGGGGATAAAAGCAGACGCTTCGTTCTCTAACAACCTGTATTTTGTATCAATGAGCATGTTAAAAACAAACTGGAGGTATTCAAGGCCTTTCAAAAGAACCGACGGATTTGTGTCAAAGAATCTAAGTGTCAACCATTTCAATATCAGGTCCAAGTTTGAAATCAAAGCCTGACCATTGTCAGCCAAATCATCACTAAGAGATTCGAGCGCCTTTATATGATACCTGGAAAAATTAATATTTTTGTAAACTTTTTATTTTTAAGTGTGACAATCGTTAATTATTATACCTGAAATCGATATGAAACATGTTGAACATCAATGTTTTATTAACGCTGGCGGCTGCCATTTGATCTTTCAATAGTTCGACAAATTCTTCTCGGGGCTGTGTAAAGTTCCATTTGAGTACTTTTAATTTGTTTTCGTCGATAGTTCTTTGATGTTTCAAATTGTTCACCATTAGCAATGGCGACATATCAATATCTTCATCCTTTTTTCGTGCTGCAACAGCAGCTGTCGGTTTTGCTGCAGAAGGCTAGAAGTATAAAAAAACCCTCATTTAATGTCTAACAGGAATACAATTACGAAACAATATAGCGTGTATACATAGATAACGAGTCTTTAACAATACCCATATCACACGTGATCTGGTAGAACAAGAAATCTAATGAACATTGTCATTCTTAGTGATTTTTATGACACGTGTCAGTTCTGTTAAGTATGTCAGTGATATTATTTCAGAGTTACTACTGAAGTTATTAATGTTACTTTTAGGGAACTGATGGACATCAATTTGGTTACGTGGGATAAGGCTATTGTTGAAGACTATAGAATAGAATTTATTCGTCAATAAAGTATTTATCAGGGGGAGTCGAACGTATCGTGCACCAGGCACTTCTCGTTGATCAGTCTTTGTTTGTTACAGACATGGTCCTATTAAACAGTGTGTTCCATAAAGTTGGATCCATATGGGAATTATTTTAATATTACGATTGGAAAAAAGTCACCTCTGCTTTTTTAAAAACTTAAATAGCCCATATAAAAGTTGGCTACTGGCATTAGTTTCCTCTCAATTTCGCATTTGAAAATAAAATTTCAAAAAATACCGAATTTGACAGATAACTTATGCAGTAGCTAGCCAACTTTAATATAATAATGTCTGTAACAAAGACAGTTGATCAACAAGAAGAGCCTGGTGCATGATACGTACAACTCCCATCACACTCCCCCTTACGCTGGTCTCTAGCATATTGTGCTTAAATGGTCCGCGTTTAAATTTCCGTACCTATATAAATCGCGAATAAAGCAATTTTGTATTTATTTCTTTTATCTTTGAGAACCAAAAATGTGTGTTACCTTTTTAGCGGCATTTTTGGCACTAGCGGCTGGTTTTGTGCCCCTTACAGCTTTCTCTTCCTTTTCCGAAGATTGTCTCTTAGTCGGCAAGGGTTTTAGTGGCAAATTAGGCCTGGCTTTATCTAAAGCTGCCAAAACAACCGTTTTGGAACCAGGTTTAAGTTTCTCCGTGTGTTTAGACATACTTTCAAATCCTAAATGTATCATAATACCCAAAACCGCTTCCTGAGCATTTTTCCGAACATCCGCATTCCTATCTTCTAGATTGCTGTACAAATGAGGTATGCAGGCCACCAATTCATCTTTGGAAATTTGTTTAGGAGGAACTGAAAGAAAAATAATAAGTTATTTTGTCAAAAAAAATTAATTTGTGTACTTTTTGCGACATTTTCAGCTAGCCAGCACCAGAGTTCGATTCTTAATGCAGGCGAGCCCGATTTTAGCGCATCAGCCATCATTTCACTTTCGAAAAATTCCTTATAACCACACGTGTCTTTAAAAGTGTTCATGGTATCCATACATGACGACCTCATAGAAGCTTTATTATCACCTAATCCTATTAACAAAAAAAAATATATTTTTAAGAAAAATAAATTATGTATACACAAACCTTGTAGTATTGGCGGTAGGAATACTCTGATATACTGCTTGAAAGGTGGCCCCATAGCCTTACAAATAGCTTCGCAGAGCGCCAAAGTATTCTGAGCTATTTTAACGTTACTGTCACCCAACCTAATTGAGATGGCTAGCGGCAGATCGGCCAAACTCGGCTTTATAAATTTGGCTTCGCTGATGATGGTTTGTAGTTTGTCCAAAGCTTCGTTTCGAACTTTCCAGTTTTTGTCTGCCAATTCGGCTAACAGGCTCTCCGTTATTTGGTTACTTATGTCAGTTCTGGGTATGAGATCCTGAATGTTTATTTGTTCCGGTCTATCGTCTTCTACTTCATCTAAGCTGTCCGAACTGGCCGATTTCACTACACCTGAAAATTATTTATGAACCCTGTATATAAATTTACTTACAACTTATTAAAAAGTTCAAACACCATCATATTCTGATTAAACATAGTTAACATAAAAGACGCTTTTCCCTTATTCTCATTTGTATATTTAGTTATTGGAAGTTGAACATTTTAGATTTAGATTAGGTTGACAGTTCTTTATTTTTACCTTAGGAAATTTTAATAATCCGTTTATTTCCTAATATAAGGTTTATTTTGTTTCCAAAGAAGTCCCTTAATAAAGTTAATAAGTACATACATTATTTGTACACAAATGAAGACAAGCATTATTTAATTATGGTTTCTCTTATTAAAAATTTCAAGTACGCATCATAAGAAGTCCAAATAAAGATACCTTTAATCAAACTCAAAAATATTCACAGAAATTACAATATAAAGGGCACTGTCTTATTGGTAACTGCAAATAAACACATACTCTTGCAAAGCATAAAATGCTTGTTTACAAGGGAAATGCTATAAATACTAATAAAATATACTATACTAAAAGTAAAAGAAAATTAAAATATAGATGTTAATAAAATATAAAATATTAATAGGTAAAAGGTAACACAAAATATAATTTATAACGTGAGAAAAACATTTAGTTTGTTATTTATTAAAAAATTTCAATGACATTTTGACTTGAATAGAATAGATAGAAACATTGCTATTAGCTACTTTCAACTAGGTTATGTATGAAGTTTCTAGTCGTACCCTTCACGTATTTTTTTATTATCGTTTTAATCTATTTATAGAAGGTTCAGATTTAATTTTTTCAGGTACAGCGTTACATAATGTAGTCCAAGAAACAAGAAACTTTTTTGTCCAATAGATTTTTTGTTTTTATGTTTAAGTATTTCTGTTTCTTGTCATATGTTCGTGAGTTCGAATTTGCAAATTTGATCTGAGTGTATGTTATTATAGTATTTATAAAGTATAATTGTCGAACATGGAATATCTTTGTTTTGGCATAAAGTAACTCGGTAGAATATCTTCTGATTTTGTTAAGAAGACTTTTTTGCGAAATCTCGAGAATGTTGTAGTAGGTGCGAGCAACTTCTCCCCAACTGACTAATACTGATTAACCTTCAGATACGTACAATATCTCTCTAATATAAAAACCAATATATAATCACTGAAACTAATACAACTTGACACTTTACAATTAAATGAACCAACTAAAGTACTTTCAAACACAGGACTACTTATTTTCAAACAAAGGGAGAACTCATTTCTCTCAAGATCTCATAAGAAATGTCAACTTGAAAATAGTATTTTAAAAGCCAGTAAATACTCACTGACTGTGGTTTATTTCGAGATAATTAAAATTCTTAGGAAAATTAGCCGAAGTGGAACAATAAATAAATCTTTCAGTGGGTTCCAAGGTGTTTGGAGATGCGAATTGAGGATAATAAAATGCATTTCTTTCTCTTGATGGATTACCCCTTCTTTCTTGAGTTTGAAAGTAGCCCCTCAGATCTAAAATCTGGAAAATTTGTATCAAAGACATCCAATTAAATTATTCGAATTTGGCGTCAAGTTTAGCAAGCAGAGAACTTTTAATTGATTTATTTCTTGAATGATAACAACTTTAGTAAGGAATAAATGTCTTTTCAAGAAACTAGATTCATTTGTTAAGCCCTTCATAACAAATTTATAAAGAAATGCATCAAGTTTATTTTCCATATCCGTTATTTAAATGAATTGTAGCTTAAATTAAAGGTAATTTTATTCTCTACAAGATGTTATTGGGTTGCCTAAGAAAATGTTGATTCCTCCTATGGTTGTCGCGGTTTAGAAAATCATTTTTTGATCCGCATGGCAGGTATACGCGTGCTGCTCCATGCAACAGACTTTGGACGAAATGTGTAAAGAATGCGCACATAAAGTTGCAGCTGTTGTGTGAGAGAGGTTATATTCCGTTCTTCATACGCCACGAAAACACGTGTACATCATTTTAGAAAACCTAGTTTCCAGTCTTCTAAAAGTTCCCAAGTGTGTGGTTTAATAGAATATATTATTGATGTTTTGAGGAATCATTAGAAAACTGTCGTTTAAAGTTATTATTTACAAGTTGAGAATATTTTAATTGAGGAAACAAATGAGAAACAATAAAAATGGCTAAGACTTGTATTATTATATCGGAAGCTTTGACGAATCGAATATTGAACAAAGATCGTCTTCATTAAAATATATAAAAATGTATAATAGTTATTTGTGTACCAAAGTATTAAAGGTAATATTTTATGACTGCATCAGAAGTTTGTGATAGAGGCAAAAAAAAGATAATGCGTCCGCGTTGCAAACATTGTTTAGGTGACTGTCTCATCAAGTAGGTCCAATATATATTTTTTTATATATTCTTATTAATGAAAAGACTTAAATACAAAAAAAGAGTCAAATTTTTATTGATCGTATAAAAACCTATTGTTAACAAAGATTTATACAGAATTACTAACGAAAAATCGGCATTAAAGTCAATGCAAACAAAAAATATGTAATTAATTATTGATGTTACTATATCCTTAAAACGTATTTTTTGTAAGTCTTCTAAAAATATTATTTTATACCTAGATATTATTTTATGTTAATTTCGTTTACTCGGAAAACTTTGTATTTGTGTCCCTTCTCTCTCATCCATCAGCTGCCTTGTGTACGTACACCTACCACTAAGCGTCCTTGTCTGTCACATGGAGTAGTGTGCAGCTTCTCTGTCATCCATCAAAAACGTATTTTTCAAACCGCGGCAACTTTAAGTTTTTCTTAGGCTATACCACCGTATAGAGAATGAAATTACCTATTAATATAGGCTATGATTTATTTCAATAAGAGATGGGGTAATTTATCTAATTCGTAGCAGTAAAGCGAAAAATTGGGAACACATTTTTATTATCACCTTATTGTACTGACATAATTTCAAATAATATTTCATTCATTTATGTGAATAACAAATGAATAAAGTAAGTAACAAAAAAAACATGAACTTAGACGTAGGGCCAGGATAATGATATTTATGAATTTTTATATTATCTTTTATGTTAACTATGTTTAATCAAATGCTACTTTTGAAAAGAGTAAATAAACTTTTCAGTTACGTGACTATGGTGGAAACGGTGCTTGGATGGAATAAAAACGGATATGCTTAAATTTGTTTTGTTTCCATAGTTTCTATTAAAATTAACAAACATAACTTCTACTGTATACTAAATAATAATAATTACAGGGTGTATAAGATAAAAATTTAAATGAATTTTTTTAACGTTGCTCTTAAACCGTTTGGCATTTTTTCATGACATTTTATATGACGTGTTAGAATACCATGACTAATAATACCGAGGAAGAGTCAATATTTTTTCTTGATTTTTATAGGTTTTTGGAGGGGGTCACCACTCTTTTCTCCACTCAACTTTTTTGTAGTATAAAATTTAATTACAAATGCAACATCCATTTGGAAACTTTTTGTCTCTTAGTATTTGTTTGTAAAAAATTTTGTTTAGACCATACAGCCATTTAAAATGACAACTTAAAAATATTCAATGGAAATTCTATGTATGAAAAATATAAAAATCAAGTTTATTTTTAAATTACAAACTAATGTCATCAAAATAAAAAAAAAAATTATTTTGACAGGTGTTTAAAATTACATTCTCCTCCTGTATACACTTACTACATAGTTTTAACAATGAAAATCGAATTTTGATATTTTTGTATACGTATAATTTACATTGAATATTTTTAAGATGTCATTTTAAGTGGCTGTATCGTCTAAACTAAACATTTTACAAACAAATACTAAGAGACAAAAAAGTTTCCAAATAGCTGTTGCATTTCAGTAGCGTTCGATTTTTAATAAAATGTTATATTACAAAGAAGTTGAGTAGAGAAAAGGGTGGTGACACCCTCCAAAATCCTACAAAAATAAAAAAAATATATTGCCTCTACCTCGATTTTGTTAGTCATGGTATTCCAACACGTCATACAAAATTTCATGAAAAAATGTCAAACGGTTTAAGAGCAATGTTAAAAAAATTCATTTAAATTTTTATCTTATACGGTTTAATCGACCTATTTTCGACCCAAGAATATGTGATATAATTTATGACCAATCTTTTTGAAACACCCTGTATAACAGGAACAAGAAAAGTAAAATATCTTCTTACCTCTAGTTGCTGGAGGCGGTTTCTCGCCCTCATACTTATCACATTCCGCATTAATTTGATCTCTTAAACTTGGTTTTTCATTCTCGAAAAATACGTTAAGAGTAGCACCCATATATAAGTACATTGTTCCTAAAAGCGTTATAGCTGTTTGTCTTACAGCGGGATTTGTAGAACCCACAGCTTTCTTGCAATTTTCAATTAGGACTTTGACATTTATATTGCTGAAATAATTTTTAAAAATGTTTGATCATGGGAAAATGGAAATTAAAAATGAAGATTTTGTAACTATAAACATTTTTTTTTTCAATATTTTTTAAAATATTTGGGTCCAAAAAGAATCGTTAAAATTTTAATACAGAAATGAAACAAAGAAAGTGTGTAAGGTTTAAAATACCTTCTCTCATTTCATTTCTGAACTATCAGTGTGTACACGTCTACAACATTTGATTAAAATTTTTAATAGCTTGTGAATTTTAATAAACAAATTTAAAAGCATTGTTTTAACGACTGATTAAAATATCAACATTGTAGACAACAAATAGTTGTTTAAATTTTATTAAATAAGATTCCTTTAAACCTTTGGATGGAGAGGTTTTAAATTATAATACCTATAGTAAAAATAAGTCAGATACGACAATACAATTCCTATAAATGATGCCGGTTTAGCTATCGTGTTAGACCCTACACGACTGGAGTCAATTACTAGGCGACTTTGCCAAATATCAAAATAGGGTCTTAAGTTTTAAAGTTTAAAAACCACGACTAAAATAATTATTTTCTAGAAATCGGATACGAATTATAAAAATATATATTTATATATACACACATCGGGAAAATTCTTGGACCCCCTCGCAAATGTTAAAACGAAATATTTATCATGGTTGCTTTTTTGTAGATTTAATCTTTATTTATTTCACCGTTGCTAAGCATCTAAAAATGTTTACAAAAACAATTTCCAACAATTTTAGATACCAATGTTCAAAAAGTGGTTTATACTGATTTAGCGTAGCAATAGAATTTCAGTATTCAATAGATCAAGAATAGTGGCTTTGCATGATGAGGGTCTGTCGAATCATCGAATCGCGGAGAGACTAGGGATTCTCCGCGCTTCAGTTATCCGAATAGTGTGTTTGTGCCAGGAAACTATCAACATTGACTGGAGATGTGGGTCTGGGCGTCCTAGGGTAACTAATGCAAGAAAAGATCGGTATGTAGCAGGTTATGTACATCGGAATCGAACCATAACAGTCTCAGATGTCCGAACACATTTTAGAAGAACGTATGGTCGATTCATTTCCAGTACCATAATACGGCGGAGACATGGAGCCAATTTTCGATGTAGGAGACCATTAAAAGTACGCATGTTATTTCCCAGACATAGCCACTTGTCTACAGTGGGCATAGGAACACAGAGACTGGCTTTTAGCTCAGTGGCGAAATGTCCTTTTTTCGGACGAGACCAGATTCGGTTTATTTAGTGATAGTCGGCGACACAAAGTTTAAAGAGGGTCAGGGCGACCGAAAGACTATCTTTTGCAAGAGAAGTCGTTCCATACCCAGGAGAACAGTAATGCTTTGGGGAGGCATAATGCATGGTCGTCGTACGCAGCTTATTCCCATTCCAGACACTATGACAGCGGATAGATATGTTCGAAACATCATTAAACCCATTATTTATGACAATGTTGCAAGAGAAAAGTACAAGATTCAGAATATTCAAAGATTACCGTGGCCAGCAAATTCGCCAGACATGAATCCCATTGAGCACATGTGGGATGTCGTTGGACTAGCAATCTCAAACAGAATTAATTCACCCTTCAGGAACTCACAGTCGCGACCCAAGAAGAATGGAACAAAATCCCAATGAACACCATTAACGCCCTTACTGTTTCCATGTACAGGCGAGATAACAACTTATTAAAGAACAGGGGAGACTACACCGAATATTAATGCATTCTTCGCTCTAAAGAAGTTTTCTTCTAGATTTCAAATTCTGGTAATCATTTTATTATTCACTATTTTTCGTGTGTATTTTTTTTTGTTCAGTTAAAATTGAATTCAGCCAATTTGCATAGGATACATAACCAAATTAAGTGTACTATGTAATACACTTCTTGACTTATAATAATAGTGTCTCATTTTGACAAACATAAGGGGGTCCAAGAATTTTGGCAATGTATGTAAATATCAATTTCTAAAAGGAAATAAAAATTAGAATTCATCATTATGAATCATGCGCGGGACTTAAAATCGTTATTATTACTGTAGGTTAGACACTTACGAGAATCCAAATTCCTTTATAGCCCCTGAAAGCCACGCCAACGCCTCCTGCTGAACTTTAGGACTTCTTTGACCGAACGCAAACTCCAAAACCATATCAGCCACGTGTCCTAAAGACGTAGCCTCGGAGATAGCGCTCAAAGTTTCCGCTGCAAGAGTACTGTTCTTGGGGTCTGAAAATTTCTCAGAAATCTCAGGAACGCAACAGCTTGCCGTGGTTATGGTGAATTTTGTGTTCTCGGCGAGATATTTGATAACTTCTATTTTGGTTTTGAGCACTTGAAAATTGGTGTCTTTGAGGCCCGGTTTTTTTGCGATAAATTTAACCAGCGCTTGAGTTTGGATTGTTTTTGTTTCCATTGTTTTTATCTCGGTTAAAAGTTGTACAGCGGCAGCTAACCTAAAAATTAAAATAATGCATTGTAGAATGTTAATAATTAGGGCAATACGCGAATCTATCCAAGATAATATTATGTATATATTACACATACCTTGTTTTCCAATTGGTATTGACAATGTCTTCTGGGATGTTAGGGCTCAGGACGCCACTTATTATTTCTTCTACTTCATCGTCGGCAAGTTCTTTTTCTATATTTTGAGAGGCAGATTTGGCTATCCCTTTGGAACTCTTAGATCTAACTACGGTGGCGGTACCTGAAGATATTTCTGGTTTCTTCTTGACAGTTACTATTTTAAAACGAAAGAAAAAAGTGCTACTATACAAAATTGATAATAATGATATTCTTTTTTCATTTTTGTAAAATTGATCTTGTTTTTAAAGTGTAATCTGCTGTCAAATCAAAACGAAGGTAAACATTGTTATGAATAATTTGCTTTAAAAATATCTATGACTGTGTAAATCACGTGTTGTTAATCAACAAAATAGATAAAATTTGTCATTAGAGGAGTTGTAAATAAGACAATAGCTTCTTATTCATAAAACAGACAATAGTGTATATTACAGAAATAAACTTAAATAATGAAAAAAGGATCTATACATCAATGATCTTCCCTCATATATGAATTCAAATAATGCCGATTTACCATGTACACAGTTTCTCCTATTACTGCAACAACACATCTGACATAGTAATCAAAAACTCTAAAATTATGACTGAAGCTAAACAATGGCTTAATATCAATAAATTATTTTTAAATCACAACAAAACTGAAACATGTTAAACCAAACAACTAGTGAAACAATGAACATTAAATTACTCCATATATATTTTGACACACAATTTACATTGAACTGTTAAATAAATAACTCATGGAAAATTCACGTTTGCTCTATGTTGAATATCAAATGAAATGAATTGAATGTCAATACAGAAGCAGCAATAACTGCTTATTACGGCTTATTCCATTCCAATCTATGGCATAACTTCACTACAAAGAATTTTTATTTTACAAAAATCAGCAATTCGCTCAATTCTATGGGTAAACTGTAATGAACCATGTGAGACTCAGTATTTAAACAACTTAGCATAATAACCCTGTTTTCAAATGTCCTCAAACAATCATAAATACAATGCCAGAGCGAAAAATTACCTAATCCAAACAAGAAGTAAAATAAACAAGTCTCGAACAATAGATATTTCCTTCTATAATGCACTTACACCCCACATCCGTAATCTACCAGGAAAAAAGTTTGAACAGCAAATTAAAAAATATATTAGTTGAAGGGTGTCTAATATATAACAATCGATATAACATTAAAGATTATTTTGTAAGAGTGAAACATGTCACCTAATATTTTTAAAATTTGTGGTATTTTTTATATTTTTTATTACTATAACCAGCCCTTATCCTATTTTATTTGAAATGTTATATATTGTAGAATGTGGCGTATTTTCTATAATTCTATGTGGATGTAACTATTGAAGGATTTAAGTATTCCTGAATATCTGTCGTAAAAACGATTTTTTTGTGATTTGCAAGTGACAAAGTATACTTGCACCCTGTATATTATTGATTTCCCAACTGTTCGTATTTTCAGTGGATAAATGTAGAGATTAAATCAAGAAAAATATACATTACAAAAAGAATATCAGTATTTTGTGCAGTGCCATTAAAAGAAAAATAAATAATAAAAAAAAATCTCAAGCCTAAAGTAATCAATATAATTTTGATATTATTATTTTAATTTTAAAGTATATAACAAATTTATCAAATTAGATGCGAATCATTCAATAGGTGTAGAAAATTCGCGTCTAAGTCTCAATTGATAGGAGGATTAAAATAGAAAAATTGGCGCTAATTTTTTTCCCACATGGTATAAACAATAAAAGGTAGGATATCAACTCTGTTAAAAAAAAAAAAAAATAGGACGACCAAGCTCATGACGTCACGCGTAGAGTTTTTATAGGCGCGAATTTAAAAATAATGACGAAGGTGTGAGGTAAGTATATGATATTTACAGAAATTTCATGAATATTAAAGGATAATATTTTATAAATTACATAAAATATTTAAGGATAATATTGGATAGTTAAGGAAAGAGCTGTGAAAGAAAATAAATTCAAATGCATAGATAAAAGAAATATTTATTTTATGTAACGGTTATTTTCTTTTTCAAATATTTTTGATAAAATTTTTCCAAAAATATTTTTGGAATTTGAAAAATTTTCGACCTAATCCGTCATGGTTCGGATGTGGAGTCTGGCATTTAAAAATAGTTTTTGACACATTTACAATAGACCTGATTTGCTACGTTTTTGTTTAAAAATCTTATATTTTTGGAAAAATGTTATCAAAAAAATATGAAATTTGGGTTTGTGTGTAGAAAATATTGGTAGATTTTAACTGTTTTACTGAAAAAATTGTAACTTTATTTTTTGAGGGTGTTACCCCCTTCATATCAGCTAGGGGCGAAATTTTTGTATTCGATTTTTTTTGGGATTGTACATCTATATACCAATTTTGGTTTCAATATCTTGACCCGAACAACCCTAGCCCCGAAAGCCGATCCGCAACCGATTTTTTTATATATAAGAAACCAAAAATAGTTTTTTTAAAGATAATTTTTCATACATGTAATATTTTTTTTAATAAAAGACTAATGGAATGTAAGACCTCTCCCTCCCACTGAAGCTGTCCTTGAGCCACTTCTGACTAACATTTTACTGTCGAGAAAAGTGAAAAACAATGTCTTTCTAAATCCTTTGCATTGATTGTTACTGTTTCATCCGTAAAATGCGAACCTCATGTTTTGAATGTTTTTTCACTAATACCACTCACGAAGAACAAAGTTTACAACATAATATAACACAACTATCCGCCTAAAATTTTATAAATCATTATTAACGACTTAAAAACCACTTTAACGTGCATCTGTCATATATTTACTTCACGCCAACTCTACTAACTCTACACATGACGTCAGCGCCACCATGACATCATGCGCGATATCATCCCCTGAATATGCTATATTAGTGTAACAATTTGTGTTCCAATGACAGTTGACTTTTAACAACAACAAACCACTGAAATTGACATACGTTTCTAGTTTATTTGTTATATATATTGTTAGTCGTAAAAAAGTAGTTTAGGTATATAACCAAACGATTTTTAACGTTAAAATGAATACAAATCTTGAAAATAATAAAAATTGTCATGTCATTAGTACACAAATTATGTCATTACTAATTCAGAGTATTCAATTGCAAGATTGCATTTTTTCCAAGTCGTTTTTCGAATAATATTAGCTAATATATAGCTACAAAAATGTTTGAATTTCCAAATCACATTAATTTTTTGGACAAAATTAACCAGAGAATCTAACAACATATTCTGATACTTTATATGTATATTCTTAATGTTGAGCTAGATTGTTTATATCTGCTTACAAGAGTCATGCATGTGATGGGTCTGCAATGACCCTGAATAAGTGACATAAAAGATGATCATATTACTCATGTTTGCCTGAATATATGGTTAAAAATGGTTTGATTGTGATACTTTATTCAAATACTACTAAAAACAAAACAAAATCACAAGGATTTAGGTATGGTAATTTTGGTGGCCATGCAAGAAAGATACAGAATACCAATTAAAAAAAAAAGGTTTAACTAAATATATTTAAAATAAAAATAAGTGACCCAGTTAATGTTAATAATTATGTGAAACTACTCTGTAATATGTATATTTTATATTTGTTTCACTTTACTAGTAAGTTTAAATTGCAAATATTTAATGATTTTTTACTATTATATTATTTTATATTAGGATATGCGTACTAATTGATTCATTCATTCGTTCAATTATTAAAAAATCTGAAGTACCTGCACAGGTAGATTAATCAAAATGGACCAGTTGTGTGACCACCAAACCTAAACTTGTAATTTGTATTTCTTCTTTTTTATTTATTTTTAAAATTGTTTATGTTCTTGAAATTTATACAAAATTAAAAGTATCAACTTCGGAATCACCCTGTATATGAAAATAACAGAACACAAATATTTAAAATAAATTGAGAGTACTTACCTGTGGTCTTTTTGGAATCAGGTCTACTTGGGGCGGCTGATCTTGGAGCTTTTGCTGGAGCCGCAGGCGCTTTTTTAACACCCGAAGCTTTAGCAACGATGACAGCGCTATCGCAAAACTCCTTAATTTTGGCCATTTTCAAATTATCCTTTTCTAATTCTACCAAGAAAGGACCAATGGTCTTTTCACCTACGAGTTTCATTAAAGTACCAAGCGCCTCTGCACTTGCTTCTCTAACGGTTGGATCTAAAAGGGGAAATTTATTTATTTACTTTTTTGTTATTATTAATTTTGAGTTATTTACCAGGTTCCATAATATTTTTTGTTAAAGCAGCTGTCACGGCTTTGAGTAGTTTTTTATTGACCGTCGTGGATAAGGTTCTTGTAAAAGCTCTAGCCAAAAATAATGATGTTTCAGTTTTAACGGATGGGTTTTTGTTATTGAGCGCTTCCAATACATCTTCCAAGATTGCTTCTAAATTAGTCTAAAACGTTTTAATAAGATATTTAAAAGAAATAAAGAAGAAAGTTTCAGATTTTATTTTCAAATTCACGATAAACAAGTTGTTAAATGTAAAAATTATTTTTCATTAAATGAATTAGTATTAGAAAAGTATGTTTTAAATTATTTTCTTTGTCACCTTGTACAAAGTAAATATTTTCTTACGGTTACGTAAACGGCATCCCCGGCATCTCTTAGGGCCGTGACGACATTCTGTTTTTTCTCCTTGAACTTTTCTAAAATAGCTGGAACGCAAAATCCCGCATACGTTTGGAATTTCTTTTTTAAGCCCGCTGCTAGACTAGCTATGCATCGACCTGCTGTCGCCACGCATACCACATTGCTGTCTTTTTGGATTACCTAATTTAAAAAAAAGATTTTTTAAAAAACACGGAGCTGCGAAAAATTATTTTTGAAATAATGTTATTTTATTCATTTTTATTATTAACCCAATACTTTTAGTGTTCTGTCAGTCTGTCACAGTCGTTTTATTCAAACTATTTGACGTTCACAATTGACTGTAGTGAGTAATGGCTCAAATATTGAAAATAGTTCATAAAATGTGTCTAAGAGTTGAAAAGATGTCTTAAGAAAAGTGATTTTTTTTAAATACTCGAAACGTGATTTTCACTTATACTATCTAAAATGTAGGATCAATGATTTGCCTATGAATTTCCTTTAAAACAAAACATGTATTTACAAATGTTCTTTCCATTACAACCCACGACTAATACAGGAAAATAATGAAATACATTACACTTCAAAATAATATTTAGTTTTCCTGAAAGCTAGGTTTAAAATAACATATATTTTTTTTATGAACAATACAAAATTATTATATATTAAATTTCCCAAATTTTCTAGATTAACGGTTCCCGAAATATTAATGCAGTCACTTAAGCAAAGAAGGGGTCAACCTCGGAATGAGAAATAATAAGCTGGAAACTCGTAAACGCCTTCATTTTGGCGTTTTAAAAGTTGTCTCAAAAGTGTCATGTCTGCGTTAAGTTATTAAAGGACAAAGGTCACAAAAATCGTTTTTCTTTGCGATTATCTAGGTTTCTACAGCTTCAGTGATGTTAACATCTATTATAAAAATTGTAGAGCATAATTGTTGCAAACATTTTTTCAGGCGACGCTCAACTATTTTTGAGATAGAGGGCAGAGAGCGCGCGGGCTCAGCCATACATACTGTAATGCAAGGTCAACTGTGGCTCCCCTACTACGTAGCGTTGCCAGATGACCAAAACCGAATTATCGTACAATGATGTAGAAATTATCGTTTTTTTCATGATATTATCGTACAAAACTAGGATATTTCACCATATTTCTTTTCGTAATCTTTGAATTGCTATCAAAAAACCTCTACCCGTAGCTTTAGCCAACCAGCCGTTAAAATCTGCCATACACTCCTATGATATTTTGCAACTATTTTATCATTTAATTTAAGTCTTCTACTTATCGAACGTTCCTCATTTTCACTGCTGGAGGACGAGGAAGACATTATAATAAAACAATTATAAAAAACTAAGTACTTAACTAATATCCAAACACAAATTATATAAATAAACAGAAATAAAGGCATTAACAGAAACATTAAACCTCCTTACCTCTTGCTGAAAATCGGCCGTCTGTAATTCGGGGAATTACAACGAAATTCCAACCAACGCTACAGCGCCAATCGTAAGAATCTCAAGGTCAGCATAATATATGAAAAGCATCGAATCTCGAATCTTTGAAATGACTCGGGAGCACGGCGTATCGACTTGAAATAATATGGTTTAACAGTTCGTTAATCCCATTTTTTTTGGGAGGGCAACGAATTCAATATATTTTTTCAATTTATCAAAATTCAGAAATTATCGTACAATTAACCATTATTGATCGTACATCGTACCCTGCCTGTAATTATCGTACAAATACGATAATTATCGTACGTCTGGCAACGCTGCGTAGACTACACGACAGTTGTTTAAAGTAACGATGAAAGAGGGCAATCGTCGTAGCCAACCCAACAGTTGTAAAGTGAGGGTAAGATACAGATAAAAAATAAGTTGTATGGAAAATTACTAGATTCAAAAGTCCCGCGCGTTTTTCGAGCATAAGTAATGTGAAATTGTCAAATAACGGGAAAGAAGGGTTGTCAGTTTTTTAAATAACACTTCAAGTCAAGAATCATGACTAAACTAGTTAATATGGAAAGCTATCTATGTGGCCAACGTGTTGAAATTGAAATGACAGTTGGCCGGCTTACCACCCACTCCATTTTTATTTGCGGTAACGACTTTGTAGCTTCTTTGTTGTTGTTCTTCTGTCTCCACCCTCCATCCCAAAAACGGTTAAGCGCTTGAAAAAATGTTTGAAACAAAATGTGACGAAAATTTTATGCTCTACGATTTTTCCAATTGATGTTAACATCATTGAAGCTATAGAAACATAGATAATCGCAAAAATCCGATTTTTGTGATCTTTGAACTTGAATAATTTACGACGCAGACACGATATTTTATGAGACCTTTGAGAAAATTTTTATACCGCCAAAATTTCCTTAATAGCACGCCACTGGTTAAATTTGTCAAAATATTACTTTCTTAAAGAGCATAGTCACCAAATTTGAAAAAAACAATATTTAAAGGCGTTTTTGATTTATGGCAAATTTATAATTTTAATTTCAATGTTTAAAACCCTGAATCTCGGCCACTAAGCCCTTTTAAGGGTCCACCTTCCTATATCAAAATAGTTCTCTGGGCTAGAGCGTTGTCGATCGAATATACTAACACCCTGTATATTATTTTAATACGATTTTTAATTACTTTAAGAAGGTAAAGTACTGCAATGACAAAATGGTTTTTTGTTAAAAGTTAAATGTGGAATACACATTATCACACATATAGCGTATTATTATGTCAGCTTACACATTTTTTAAAAATACCCGAAAATGTTTTTGTCAGTCAAATAAATTTCACCTCTCTTAAAAAACAAAAACTATGATAAATCTGTACATTTAGTCTGTAAAACTGAATAGGACTATATTCATGAAACTTTGCAGGCAAGTACAATGACGCATAACGCATCTGATGCCATATTTTTTGTTACTACTGTACTCCCGGTTTTACCGGAAATACCCTCAACTTTTTTGATTTAAAGGGGACACCCTGTATATTTTTATAGATTTTAAAAGATCTTGTACGACACTGTACGAATTCGGAATAACAAGATCTTTTAAAATCTGAAAAAATATACAGGGTGTCCCCTTTAAATTAAAAAAGTTGAAGGTATTTCCGGTGAAACAGGAAGTACAGTAGTAACAAAAAATATGGCATCAGATGCATTATGCGTCATTGTACTTGCCTGCAAAGTTTCATAAATATCATCCTTTTCATTTTAAAGATATTTACTTGGTTCCATACTTTATCCCAACCCTGTATAAGAAAATTCCTATTCTCAATGCATATTATAGATTATAGCAAGGTAATGTACCAAAAATGATTAAATAAATCATGAATTTTAGAAATATGATGACCAATAATGTGTACCGAAATAAATAATTATGCATTTTATGGTTCAATAAATCGATTGTTCTTAACCTTCATTAATACAATTTATTGATATGTGTAAACTAATTGAAGGTCAAAAAAAATTACTCAAGTATTGAACCAGATAATGATCTAATTGATTATTTATTACTTCCTCTGTAAATATAAAAAAATTGCAGCCCATTATTAGTAATCTGAAAAAATTATTTGGATATTACTAATCCTAAGAAATCAAATGGAGGTATTTTTTTATATAATTTTATGAGTTGATTAAATAAAATTAACTGAATTTTGCATTGATTAACTAAATTTTGTACAACCTATAACTTCTTGGATATTATAAAATGATGATACCTTTTTGAGAGCTCTTACAAGATCACCATAGTCTCCATTTTCCAATTTTTGATTTTTTACCAAATTCTCCACAATATCAAGCACGTCTTTTCTATCTTGCCACTTTTTGGCTTCGATTTTTTCATAAAAGTCTTTCGGTATTTTTGATAAAATTTCAACAGCGGTAGCCAATTCGTATGGATCAATTTCCGGAGGAGCTTCATCTTCTTCAAACTCTTCTTGGGCTAAAACATGTCAAATACGTTAATTTTTCAAGTTGAAATTTAAAAAAAAATATTAAAATATGTAATGTATAAAATACAAATTTTGATAGTTTTCTGAATATTACCATCTCCTCCACCGCCTTGCTCAGCAAGTTTGGCCTGTTTAACTTGTTGAGATCTTATGTACCTTGTCGGTGTTGCCTTTTCACCTTCGATTTTTGCAAATTCAGTTTCTAATTCCGTAATTTGTATGGCCTGTAGATTGGCTGTTTGTAATTGGGGCCTAAAAGGATTTACGAACATTGCTGTCTGTCAAATTCAAATGAGATTAAAAATATAAATTAGTTTTTATTTAATAAAATTTGATAAAACTTATTTTTCCTTTAAAAAATGAACATTGATTTTTAAATTGGAAAATAAATGTATCCAGGTGAATTTGATGACCAGTGTCAAAATTGACAATTCCTGTGGGCTTTGTTATAATATATAGGGTGAGTCATAACTATTTGGACATAGAGTAAGTGCAGATTGTTGGACAAAACATGCCTTGCGAAATAGAGCTGAACCACAGATCTAGAATCTACAGAAGTAGCATCAGAGAAAGAAGTTGTTAACACAGTTATGAAGGCTAGAGATAAGAAGGCGAATCGGCATACTCAAAATACGGTCTCAAAATACGCATGCTAATTGAGCTTCTATAAATAACCGCAGGGGCGCTGGTACTGCATAAGATATTTAAAATACATGGCTTCTTATGGGAATTATACATAATTTTGTCAAAATAATAAAAATAAACTTGTTTATAGCTAAATAAAGCACAGAACATATTGTTGTATTTATTTCTAAATAAGTCTTGCATGTTTTAATTGATAAATTATTTAATTTTATCTATATAAAATACAGATTAGGTATGTATGACCAAATTCGAAAAGGTTTCTTAAATGCTGAAATTTAATAAGTACAATTTTGTGGCAAAGTTTTAAGAGTAAAATAAAACACAGTTAACAGATTTTTTATTGTTGTAATACAAATATAAAGGGAGATTTGGGAATGTACATGGTAATACCTCATCCTTTAATTTCAGCTTTCCCCTTTTTATTTTGCTAACAGTACCATCAGTAAAAATAGTCTCATATTTGATATCTTCTAAAAAGTATAGAACAGCATCATCTCTAAAAAGTGCTTTGTCGGCACTAGGAATGATATATATGCTGCCACTGTTCTAAAAGGTTAGTATCCTATAAAAAACATTTACAATGACACAATTGGGGTCAAAAAAAAACAGTAGCAACTCTTTATCTAACATTAAATTTTCTTTTCTAGTAAGTTGAATTTAATGCATATTATTGTTGTTTGTAAGTCAGCATCTATGACTGTAAAATTTTATATTATAGAAACTTGTAATAAAATAAACTACACTTCATAAGATACATATTGTGACTAGTTTACAATAAATATTATATTTAGACATGAATACATTATTTTATTTACATTAGAAGCTTTAAAAAGATTGAATTGATTTCTTCTTGTGTTTTCTATAGTTTTACATTTGATTTTTATCCCGTTTTACAATCTGGAACCACGTAAATCTTGCTTTGATGTTTTTTGTCACTCATGTTTCTTGTACTCAGATACTTTTTTCACATTATTTTGATTCTTTTCACCAATTTTTTAATAAATCACTTCATTTTACATTGACTTACATAGAAAATTGACACCGCTGTCATTCGACATGCCAACTACAGTCAATTTCGCGAACTTTATAAAAAGAAGGACGGAAATTTGAAATTTGACCATTGCCGATTCGCCTCCTTCTCTCTAGTCTTCATACACACAGTAAATGTAAATAAATAAAAAAAAAAAAAAACATAACCTGTGCGGTAAAGTAAATTAAAATGGCACAGGTTAGGTAAATTAATTAAGTTTTTCATTTTTCTTATTTATGTATAATTTGTTTGCGTAGCAACCCGCGATGTCTTGAGGCACTATTTCGCGACATAGCCTTAATAAAATATTGATGTGGAAAAATATATAGCGTGTTAAAAGTTGAAATATTTTTTTGTTTTCTTGTAAAAAAGTCACAACATATTTGTAAATTATTAAAATTAGCTCAGTATCATAACTTTAGATACGGAATATTATTTAACATTTTGTTACAGGCCACATGAGAGATTCCTGATGATGAAATTGGTCATACCTTATTTTTTTAGTAATTTTGATTAGAAAATTTGATACGAACATTATTTTTGTGTAAAATTGCTATACTTGTTTAAACTTAATAATTTCAAAAGTTTTCGCGAAAAACGCAGTTGTATATGTCTCTGAAAGTGATTTCAAATGAAAAAGACTAGACAAACTTGTGACTCGGAATAATAAACAAAATAACTATAAAAATAAATATATAAACTTTAATACCCTGCATCTTTATCCACAATAGCATTTTATTATAACACTTTCGGTCCAGTTCTCATATTTTATTCCAAATAAGTTGCATTTAATCTATGTCCCAATATTACTCTCTTTGTATACAGAATGAGGCCAAATTCTGATATCCTATAATTTTTTAAGATTTTATTGATCCTTCCAATAACCAATCCTTAAATATTAAGGATCATAAAAATGTTACTGTTAATAGTTCTTACCTAGTTTTACCTTCATGGAATGTAAATCCATAAAAATCAAGTGAGGTAAACAAATAAAAAGTCGCTGGTTTCATTATCAACTGGCCAGTCAAATTTATTTTAATGTCAGTATGTACATTAAATTCAGTCATACTATATATCTATACTTTATTTCAATTTAGTAAAAATACAATTTTTTCTAAAAATATTAACTAATAGTTTAAGGCCGATCACATGAAATGTATCTGACACCTTACCTCAATTGTTAAATTAATTTTTTGTGTGTTGGTTGTAGAATATAGGCTAAATTAAAAAAAAAATGACAGATTAATATTTGTTCTAAGATTCTGAGATCAATGTATTCCTATGCATTCTACAAACTGTTGCACTCACCAATTACGGGACTGTTAACATTGATGTTTTCAATGACTTATAATAAATAAATACAATAAAATATCTTCGCACCAGATTAAAACTACTTAAAATTTTATCAATATTATTTATCTTTATTTAAAATTACTCACTTTTACATAGCAATATTATTATATGTAAAAAAATAAAATTAGCAGATGACTTCGGTCGATGGCCAGTTGGTTATGCCAATAAAGTACGTTTATTATTATTATTATTATTATTATTATTATTAAAATTAGCAGAAATACGTATCTGCATGAAGTAATAGGGTATAAATAAATAAATACAATTTTGTGTATAAAGGTTAAAAATAAAATTGGAAATTGCAGAGAAAATAACAAACAAATAATGTTTATTTGCATAAAAATAACCATTTAACACTTTCACTTTTATATTGAGCTAAACAAGCGGGCACACGTTTTATTGCAATGTATTTGTGTTGGGCACTCACATAAGTAACTGAAATAGGTGGCAATTTCTGAAATTTGTTTATATTAATCATTGGTTGCAGGTTAGTAGTAAAAAGTGCATATTGGTGAAATATTAGTTGAAATTACTTATATGTAGATGGAAATTTTGTCACCAAAATTTTTTTTTACTTCAATGTTTTATTATATTTAAGTATTTAGGGTTCAAAAAGAATGACCTTTTTAACGAAACATTTTAAATGAGATTGAAAACAAAGAAAATGAGATTGAATTAAATAAAAACTCTCGTTATGATGTAGATAACTTTTTAAATATTATTAGACTATTGCACTCATTTAACAAACTTAATTAAAATTCTCTATTTTAACATTATAAGTATAAAAAAAATTGATAATTGTTTAGTATTTTTAGAGACTTTTGATTTAAAGGATTTAAATATCGAAAATTTAGTAATACCTGGTTTTATCAATATTTTCATCAAAAGCGTGAATAATCAATGTGACGGTGTAGTAATATATATTAAAGATAACATTCAGTTTGAAGCAGAACACACCAAGTTGCCTCTCTCAAATGTAACAATAAGTTCGATAACATTTAGTACTAATGATATACCCTATACAGTTATGCCTTGCTACAGATCATCTCCAACCACATCAGATGACATATTTCTCACTGACTTTGAGAATTTTTTGAACAATATACCAAAAAGGCCAGCTATAGATAGATATATTTATTCTCGACATTAATATTAACAGTTTAGACTCATCAAACTAAATAACAAATAGATATTTGGCAATGTTATCTTCCTTTGGATTTGTATCATATATTAATTCATATACCAGAGTCACGGCAGAAACAAGCTTATATATTGATCAAATATTCGTAAAAAATAGTATGCTGAGTAAAAAGTATTTATTCAAATCACTAGTAATTGACTGTTCATTTTCCAATTTTCATGAATATTACAACAAATGAGACAAATGCTAGGTCTAATACATCAAACCAACATACAACTCAATAAACTGATACAGATAAATTTATAAAATCGATAAAAAATGTAAACTGAGTTTATATAATTTCTTTAAATGACCCCAATTGGTGTATCAAAAATTTATTGAAATAATATCGTCTTTAAAAGAATAACAATGTAACATTACTAAAAGGTATAATACTTATAAAAAAATAAAACTTTGGATAAGTCAAGGTATCATAATTTCAATCAAACATAGGGATAAAATAAAAAAAACAAATCTTAAAAACTAAAAATAATCTCCCCATTGAGTATCCTAAATATCGTAACTAAACAAAATAATAAATACAGCTAAAAATGACTATTATACAATCCAAACTCAAAACAGCAATAATGAGATCAAAAAAATATACCACATAGTCAAAGAAGTTTCAAATGAACACTTAAACAATAAAACAAATAATGGTATAAATATTCTTAACAATAATAAAAATTCACAAACGACAAAGAAATGGCTAATTACCTCAGAGTAAGTAAGTAGTAAAGAGAGGACAGTAAACAATGTTTGTGTCGCCATGATAATATGGTAGACAATTCTAATTAGAGAGAAATAAATTAATATCTCATCTCTTTGTTTGTATTTGTCAGTTTTGCAAAGCTTTTCTCAGACAATTATTCCAGTGTTTAATTTAAATTTGTTCGTGTTGTGGTGTTAAAAGTAATTGTTATTAATATTATATTCATAACAAAAAAGTCATATTTTGTTTTCACTTCATTAAAAATGCACCTACCTACCTTTTAAAACATTTTATTTTATATTCTATTTGGTCAACATTTTCGCATTTAAAATGACCCAGCGAAATTGTTTTACGGTACGCTACTGCTGAGAATTCTAAAACGAGTGAGAAAGCCTTCATTAGAAAGAGAGATACTGATTATATGATAGCGAGATTAATATTGTATAACTTTATGCAGTGGTGGCCTATCTGCTATTATATTATCTAAGCTAATTACTGCAATAATTATTACTCACAGATTGGTATAGATATGGCAAGCAAAATCACCAGCTCTAGAAATTACTTCCAAATAAAATATCCACCTCCTGTCAGTCAAAATGAATTATTAATCGAACATATAAACTATGGAGGGTAGAAAAAAGGAGGACAATCTTATATGGATCTTTATATTAAAAAGTGGCCACCAAAATGTATACAATTAAGATGGCGCTCGTGTAGCCAGGGGACAAAATCCAATGCTATATAGTCATATAGATTGCTCATTCATAAGAATTATTTATTGTTTATATTATTATTTTTCAATAAAATTTGACTATTGTCGTGTATTGTCAAAATTTATCTACGATCACAGAACACTTACTCTTCTACGATCAGTCACTTTTTACGGTGTAGTTTTTAGTTTTTTATGGTTGAGCAATATTTATTACTATATACATCATTGGTGTCATTGTGTGATCTGAATTATCGACTGTCGACGTCCCCTGGGCACAGAAGCGCCATCTTAATTGTATACATTTTGAGGGACACTTTTTGTATACAGAGATTGTTCTCCTTTCCTCTACCCTCCATAATATAAACTCACTAAAAATAAGAGTGCTCCAGGAAACAATGGAATAACATCTAAACTATTGAAAGATTGCCACCAGTTCATTGTAAAGCCTCTAATGCAAATTATAAATATAATTTTTGCAACAGGTAACATACCAAAAGAATTTAACCCTGCAATTGTAACACCAATTTTTAAAAAAGAATCTAAAAAGGACATATCAAATTACAGACCAATAAGCTTGATTAAAAATTTTGCATAACTATTTAAAATATGTCAAAAAAATAGATTATATGACTATTTAATTGATAAAGAGATCTTAAATGTTAAACAGTATGGCTTTCAAAAAGGTATTAGCACTTGTGATGCTATGTATGAATTAATATCCAACATTAAAAACAATCTTTATAATGAAAATAACATTATAAGTGTTTTTATCGACTTAGCGAAGGCGTTTGACACTGTTCCTCATAAAGAGCTATTGAATGTTCTTGAACATTATGGCGTACGAGGAAGTGCTTTAAAGGTTTTTTGAAAACTACCTTCACAAGAGGACACAAATGGTCAAAATAAAAAATGAGCTTAGTAATTCAATTAACATTCAAATAGGTGTGCCACAAGGAACAGTCCTTGATCCTATTATTTTTTATCATTTAAATAAACTATCTTTTAAATTTAGATATAAGTGGTGTCTCAATATCCTATGCAGATGATACCGTGTTAATCATTTGAAGGTAAATCATGGGAGGCTGTAAAATTAAAAATGGGACAAAAATTATAAAAGCCTGACTGGATTACAATAAGTTGTCTAACTGATGCAAACAGGCCAAATTTTAAACAGATTTGCTTTGAGGAATCCACATTCATTATCAAGGAAGTAGAAAATTGGGGTATAACACTAGATAAAAGTTTAAAATGGACTTGTCACGTACAATACTTAACAAACAAAATTAAAAGATTTATACATAAATTCTATTTAATTCAGAATATTCTAAACAAAAAGTTATTACACTTAATATATATCACTCTGATTGAATCCTTAATTAGATATGGCATAATTGTATGGGGTGGGTTATATGACAATGCACTACATTCTCTAAATATAATTCAGAACTATATCTTAAAAATAATAAACCATAAAAAACGGTTGTTTTCAACAACCCTCTTATATAATGAGACAACTCTGAATTTAATCTAAGAGCATTATACTTTCACTCAAGCTGTGTGTTCTACTTCAAACTGAAAAATAAAAGTTTTGTAACCCACCCATATATAACTAGAATAGAAACCAAAAAAATGCTAAACGTACCTTTTTACAAATATGATGGAAATAAGAGATTCATTTCTGTAATATGCCCAAAAATATACAACACTTTAACGGAAAACGTCAGACAAATTAAAAATATAAAAACTTTTTCTAAAGCAATAAAAAAATTATAAGCAATAGCTTCATAGGTACATCTCATAAACATGTTATAAATAAGTAACCTAACCTAACATTTAATATTTGTATTCGCTCCTAGAGCATCTAATGTTATCTTTATAACTTATGAATTATTAACTTTATACCCTATTTTTCTTTTGTATAAATTTATATTGTGAATATTTTTTTCTATAAAATTAAAAAAAAAATTTAATTTGTGATTTTTACTACAAGAATTACAGCGTTTAACTTTATTGTTATAAAAACAAAGATAAAAGTATAATTTTGCAAAAAACATTTTTTATAGCTGGGTGCCTTCATAACGTCTCACGGGTTTTGTTTTGTTTTACCACATCACCAAATTCTATAACAGTACACCTATTTTCATTCAAAAAATAAAATAACATCTTTATTTTTGAAAACAAAAGAAGGTCGGCACCACACATGCACTAGAGAGCGGGCACTGAAAGTGTTAAAATTAACTGGAAATATAACATTAAAAAAAAATTGAAAGGGTTTTATATCCTAAATTGTATTATTACTGTTACCTCTTGAAAAATCAAAACATTATTTTTGCTAAATGCTTCAAGAATGTTTAACTATATTGAAATTTATAAATTTCTAGTTTACGTCATTGTTAAAATATATCTTCCCTTTGGTAAAAATTATGAAAGTAATATTTTGAATAAAAATTATATTTTTTTCATATGTAGAACAATTTTATTATAAAAAACTTACCTGAGAGCACCTCCAATCCATCTAAACATCTCGATAACCATTAGTTTGGTCTCGTCCCTCACAGCCTTATCTCTGTCAGTCAACAGAGTACTAATTTTCTTCAAAAGTGGTTTTACATTAATAATTTTGGTGCCAAATTCTCTCAATGCTAGAGTACAGGCATTCACACAAGCTGTAACTATCTTAGGATTCTTCAAATCCATACCTTTCATGAGTTCTTCTTGGACAGCCTCGTACTTTTCGATCTCTACATACATCAATGTAAGCTGAAGTGCCAGTTCTCTGGTTTTTGTTCTCGGGGCTGCTATACATTTAGTAACTACTCCTGACATTACCTCAGATACAGTTTTTCCTGCATGTGCGTAATTTTCCACATAAGTTAAAGTCGCTTCCAATCCCTTTTCTTGTCCCATAGCATTACTATCAACTACGAATTTCTTAACTAGACCAAGGTACTTGCTGAATTCTGGAGATTTCTCATCGTCTATCTGCCTGAAGAGTATGGTGACTTCTTCATATCCACTTACTCTTGCTTTCCACAGCTTATGAATACATTTTTCTTCTGGTGGAAGTTTTTTATACTCCTCGTCTTCCATTTTATCTTTTAGTTAAAATTAAGATCCAAATATCTTTAAACAATAAATAATATTCCAGTAGTGGTCTAGATTATGATTCATTAATTGTGGACCTAAAAAGGAATAGCTTCAGGCTTCTGACATACATTTTTTATAGGCTATGACAATTTAGTCTACTGATAGAGTATCGTTATCTCGAAACATAGTTTTTCTATAATTATAAAATCATGAAAAAATAATAATGTAAAAAACGAACCTTCTCAAAAACGTACAAACGTAATCACATAAACAGACAAACAGACTGGCTCAGAGATAAGACATAGCAGATGGTTTCAATCATATACAAAACTTGTCTACGCGTTTTGGACCGATTTTTGGCACTCGTTGCGCATCGCGCATGGTGGTTCAACATTGAACTATAAACGACTGACAATAGTGACAATTACGTGAAGGTTGTTCTTACTCAACGACCATAAACTATGACAGTCACTTATAATTGGTCATTAACATATTTCAATCGTTCATGTCACATTTCAACCAATAGCGTAATCAGTGTAATGTCTTATAAATGCTATTTGTTTGTACCTTGTTCCATAATTTCAACAATTAACATAACCTATAACTAAATAAAATTCTGGAAATTTATTTAATCGTGTTTACTACATGAATTGAATATATTAAGGTAGGAAATAAATATATTTCTACTACAAATTTTTAATAAAGTAGTTTTTTGTTATACTTAGAAGTTCACACTATGTGTAAATCCTTATTATCTATATATCAGTCCATGCAACGTGGCCTAACCAATTTCTGTATTTATTTCAGTTTAATCATGTCCAAACCCAAGACAAGAGGGGATGCTATGATAAAAGGAATTCAGAATGAATAGATCAGAACATGGATTCTTATATGTGCGAACTTAACACGTTACGTGTTGAATAGATAAAGACATTACATAAGAATGGCAGTCTGTCGATGAAGATAGGTGTCTCAACATAATATGCTGTATTGAAAGATGAGAATCCACTGCAGGTCAGGATACTACGGCAATTTTATGTGCTGGCGACTAAAAATTGGAGTTACTTTTTAGGTACAACGTAAAGAGATGAATATTATAATATTAGAGTTATCATAGTTTTAAATAGCAGTCCCATATTCATATATTCTCTTTTGGCGTTTTCTGAATGTTTTCTTTTTTAAAGCTTGAAATACTTCCTTATATTTATGAATATTAAATGGTACTAAAATATCCAACAGTTTATTTAAAATTATGCGACAAAATATTCTTGACAAATAAAGTAAAAGCAATGGTTTTTTAAATTACTGTGAGTGACTTAAGTGATTTTTTTACTATTTTGCGAAACCATAGAATTTTTCTTTTTATTTCAGTATTTTGTGAGTGATTTTAATGATCATTTTTTAGATTTTTTGTGTCACTGCTGCAATAAAAAATGTGTTCTTTATGTACATTTACTTAATACCTTCTGTTTAATGACATTACCTTTACAAAATATAAATTTGTAGTAAATGAGTTTGTAACATTGTACCTAAATCGATATTTTTTGCAATTTTGCAAAAAATATCGAGTTTGTGTACAAAGTTACAAATTTGTATTGCTAAGTTTTTCAATGCTGCCGCCTAAATTTAAATTAAAGAAAATCTGCATTACCGGTAAATATCTAGTTCGCGCTCGTTGCCAAGCGCGTCGCCACAGTCAACGCGCATGGAACATGCTTCCAGAAATTTGTATTAGAATTGTCACTCTGTTAATGTCTTCTCTCTGGACTGGCTCAAAATGTCCGATTTGAATAATTTCCCCCTCCAAAATTACTCCAACGACAATTCATTTAACGATTTTTATTTTTATGTATGTTTTGAGAATTTGAATATACTTCTCGATAAATGTTTGATTTAGATTTTTTTTTAATAAATATAAAATAAACATAAAATACTCACAAAATACTTCGCAAATGTCCAGCCGTCTAACCTATTTTTGTTGATTGATTTTTGAAATGAAGTAAGGAACAGTGTTGCCAGTGTGACATAGTTTTTTACGTTTTTTTTTTTTATTTATTCAGTATTTGTCGGTAGAAAAATCAATAGAAATCAGTGAAAACTGGAAAACAATTTTTTTAAATAAGTTTAAAACCACGTAAAATTCAATTTTGAATATTTTTCCGAAACATAAAAATGCGGTTAAAATAAATATATGAATTAATAAATTAAAATTATTAAAAAATAACAAAAGCAGCACACAAAAATAAAACGACAAAAGCGAATGTCAAAAACTACCTACTTATATCAAATATCAAAACAAACTAAAGAGGATCATTATCAGATTGATATCAGATTTGTAGTTTTTTAAAACTCTTGAAAAAAAATTATATTTTTGTACACACCCACAAAAAAAGAGCTTAATAATTCAATTTTTTAGTATAGTAAGATAAATAAATATTTTTTTTATATATACATATATACACTACATATGTATTTTAAAGTAGTATATATTATGAAAGAAATGAAAGGTCCCTAACATTTGGAAGATCGAAAATCAGTAGAATACTTTCTAAATCTGTAGATATACCGCAAAGTCGGTAGGGTTGGCAACGCAGCATCTTTGCCTCTTCAAACACCCTCTATAACTAGACTAGAGACAGCTAGAGATTTGTATTTACTGAGGGCTTACCTAATCTATGCTGAGGGCCGATTCCACCGTTGTGTTAAACGGAGATTAAAATGGCGTTAATGTAAAAATGTCATTTTAAACTTCGTTTAACACAACGGTGGAATCAGTAATCTATGGTGGAATCAGTCCTTAGTGTTGCATCAATTTCCCTTGTTTATTTACTCTTCTAGTTTTAACAATGAGTGATGTTCAGTGATCTGTTGTCTCTGTCTGCGGAGATATTGGCGCGAAAAAGCGAGAGTGAAGAAAATAATGAGGATTGTTCTGTGTATGGAGGATAGAAGAAACAAGGTGGACACTTTCATATGATTGTTTATCTTAAAAAGCAGCCAGAACGGCGCTCATGTATAGCAGAGGGGCAGAAGTTGGAAAGGGTTTTGCCAGTTCTCCCACTTTATACACATAAATTGACAGGTTTGCAGCAGATCTAACCGAAGTGGACGCGATACATTGGCGTACAAAATTATTTTATAAATGTTAATAACAATTTCGAGAAAATAGTTTAATAAATTGTAAATAGCTGTTGAAATTTTATAAAATTATGATTTGGATATTATAATACATGTTTAATAATTATTTATAGTCCATAAATACATCCGATTGTCCGGTTCTGCCGGAAACAATTTAAAATTACTTATTCTATGAAACGACACTGGCAGATTCTGGAAGCCGTCCGACGTGGTTTGACGTTTACCCCTTCTCTACCTACCAAAGGCCCCTTTCAAACTTCGGCATCTGCGGATCGCAGGTGCTCACTTAACAGAACCGTTCTGGCCCAAATGTGTTAAAATAAAATTTCAGCATTAAAATGTTAAAAAAAAAAGAATTATTTTAATTTTTTCTTCAAGGCACGAGATTATGTCAGATATTTTGAAAATATTCTTCTTATTTTAAATTTAAGTTTCCATATAGTCAAACAATATTAAGAGATCTAAAAATTTTTATAACATGTAAACAATTTTTAACCACTCTTGCTTTAGAAATAACACTATAAAACACATAATTGCAATAAGTAATACAACTTTAAAAAGGTGTGTAACTTCGATAAGACTGATAAGAGATGTAACCACTTTTATTATCTTTTATTCTGAATGTTTAATGTTACTAAAAGCCACTATATATTTTTAACATTTTAAAGTTTGTTGCAATCTCGTTTGGCAACAATTGCTATGTCTTAATTATGGTTTATTTCATCGATGAATGAGAATTATTTGGTTAATTAATAATTAAATAAATGGGAAAGCAAGCAAAATTTCTAAGAAAATAATCTTCACAGTTTGTGGAAATATAACCATATGGAAACTCAATACATATTAAGAGAAAATAAAACAGATTTTTTGACTTACTCCTCCCTAGAGCCGACCTTGAAATAAGGAGAAAACTACGCTCAGTGAAACAATAATAATAAACTTTGTTCACCACTTAAAAAGGAAAATATACAATAACAATAATGTATGCAAGAAAAAACACATCACTGTTTTTCAACTTAAAAAAAAATACATATTTAAATCATAGAAAAGATCAAAAACATACAGGTTATTTTATTAGCTAAATTAATTTGGTGCCTATCAATATTCATATCCTACACGTTGCCATGAATTCGTTGTTAATAATTGTATAACATTTGGCATCTGATTTAAATATGGGTAAGCAATCTACATAACTATACAATATTTTACCTTATCAATCCTGACTCCAGAGAACGGGATATAAAAACAATGCTATTGACTAGACATAAATAGAGCATACTTGCCATCCCACTACCGGTAGAGGAGTAACCATGCATCCAATCACGGTAGGCAAATCGATAGCTACTCTATTTTTGTCACATCTAAATATAATTGTCTCTCATCTTTTTTTTGCTGGGCAAGTCGGTTAACATTCTGTATATCATTGATACTCTCTTAACTTTCTGCGCTTTCTTTAAAAACCGGTATTCTGGCGCACTAGCGCCCGCACTTTTTTAGGGACACTTTTGTAACACAGAGTAGTTCTCCTTCTCTCAACACTCCATATTTAAAAGAAACTACTTTTTTTAATAATTTCCTTTATATGGTATATGGTTACCTTAAAAAATAAATATGGACAAATAAAACACAAAGAATAATTTTGTATTTATTTTATAGTTACAATTTGATTTACACCAAATCGTTTTAATGGATGAATTTCAATTAACAAAATATATAAATATATTGTAAAATACTATTTACGTATAATGATGTAATTATATATGAATATGTGCGTGGCTTAGAGTTGAATTCAAAATTATTAATTTTGTATTTACTCTATAAAAACTACCTATAGCGAATCCCTATTTACATTTTATTAAAGTAAACTTACTGTTCTTCTATTTAGGGTACAAGCAGTGGCAATGAGCCACAGGGATAGGACCGTCATTTTTATATTTGTGAAATAAAATAAATTTATCATAGGTATTTCGAATTATCACTAAATCTAAAAGTTCGCCACGGCTTTATGTACAATCATTGGGATCTCATAAATTTTTTAATTTAGTGAGTAATTTTTTTAAAACTGACCTGTTTTTTCCGTTTTTATAATAAAATTAGGTATTTGATGATATATCAATTTCACATATGGTTTCATATTAAAATTAATGTTGCTAGTCTGCTGAAAAACTTGCACATGTACATTAATATTTTTTGAGTAATGTATACTGGGTACTATGAAATGGTAAATCATTAACACAACCACTTTTTCATTAACTCCCAATGTTTCAAAAATAGAGCTATAAAAACGTTTCTTTTATAAAACAATTTGAAAAAAAAAAATACCGAGCTCACGAAATTCTCATAGCAGCAAAAGAAAGCACGAGAAATAATATCACTGGAAGAAACATGCTCATCTATAAAGATAGCAGACAAGCACTACTCACCCTGGACAGACCACAAATTTATTCAGGGTTAGTACTAGAATGTCACAAAGCTTTGGCTGAATGTGGTCAACTTAAGATAGATAGGTCACAACACATCGAAAGGTAACCGTGGGAAGAAAATGAGACCATCGAGCATATCCTCTACGATTGCCCGACGCTCTCATTTATTAGAAGATTTGTGTTCGGCGAGAATTGGCTAACACCGGCAGATATAAGAGAAGCACCTCTTGGCGACGTTGTCAACTACATTAAATCTGTAGGCTGGCCCATGAGCTAAGAGATGCCTATCTACTTCTATGTATCTGTAACGTTTGAAGGGTGGGTTACCCCACGGCACTTAGGCCTCATTAGGCCCATTGTGAGCCAGCCTACAGATTTAATGTAGTTGACAACGTCGCCAAGAGGTACTTTTCTTATATCGGCCGGTGTTAGCCGATACTCGCCGAACACAAATTTCTAATATATGAGAACGTCGAGCAATCGTAAAGGATATGCTCAATGGTATCATCTTCTTGTTCGCACCCTCTGCAGAGTGCGGATTCTGACAGCCCCATGATATGGAGATGTTTCCGTACTTGGCAATGATCAGTCAGAATGCCCACGACTAGGCGCAGATTCTGTCTAGTCATAGTCAGGTATTTGTTTGCTGCAGTGTTGTCAGGATAACTTGAGAGCTCCCTGGCAACTCTGCAGTTTCTTGTTTCATCCCATCTTTCCTTGAATTTCACAAGAGAATGTTCTTTAATTAGGTCTGTCACTACCGATTTTGTCAGGCCAATAGAAGGGCCAGGTCCAAAAAGTATTTGGCTGGCTGCTTTCTTGGCTAGTGAATCAGCAAGACGTTTACCTTTCGATGTGGCGTGACCTTTGATCCATCTTAAGGTGACCACATTGTTGATAGATACTTCGGCCAAAGCTTCGGGACATCCTAGTACTAACCCTGAGTAAATTCGTGGTCTGTCCATGATGAGTAGTACTTGTCTGCTATCTGTATGGATGAGTATGTTCCTTACAGTGCCTATCTACACTTAGGAGGAAGCTCAATGGGCCGAGTGAAGCCTAAGTGCCATGGATTAACCCACCCTCCACACGTTACAGATACTTTCAAAATGAAAATTTCACCTGTTCCAAGACTGTAACATCAAAAATGCTTCAAACATTTCTTGCTTCAAATTGAGAAGATATGAATATTGGTTCCAGTAATATGGTTGAATCAGCCATATAGCTAGAATTTCTATGACAAGAATCATCATCTTTCTAGCAATGGCGACTGGAATCAAGATTCCCAGACATTACCCTTTCATATTTGTTCTATGGGGTAGTTAGTCTACAAAATCAAAGAACAATTGATTAAACTTGAAACAGCTGTCCTGATGGAAGTGCCTATAAAGGATGTCACTTGAGCAATACAATATTTCATAAATAAATGTTCTATTTCTACTTCAATAAGATTTTGTTTTAATTTGTAATTTATAATAAATAATAATACATTTTTATTTACAGAATTATCCAATTTTATGTCGGTTTTAATGTTTTACATTTGTTTAAACTTAAAAATTAAATAAAGAATATGTCATAATTTAAAAATGTACATGTGAAATTTTCCTGGACGACTTAAACACAACTTTAAACACCCTGTATAATTTCTGTCGTCATTGTTTAACATATTAGTCTCGATATAACATCTAATAAAATAATTAAACCATTTATTTAAGAGGAACATCCCTTAGTTTAGTATACGGTTACATTATTTACATCTATGACGTCTGGAATATTTTCCTATGTCTATATTCCGATAACCGAAGGAACATTCTCATATAATTTAACGAATATACTTATTTGCTCTAAATTTGTTCAAATGTACAACTAAAAATAAATTATAAATTTCGTAGATTTACAGTGGTCGAGTTCATTTAAATTCTATTCATTAAACTAGCATAATAAGATTAAAACGCTCTATACACAATAATTTCGATCTACAATGTGTAAAATTTAGATTTTAGCGTTAGGTTGTTGATTTTGTTATATTTAAAAAAGTTCAGAGGGTAATTAAATAATTTTAATTATTTAGCTGTTTAACAATGAGGACGAGTTGTCAATGACGATTTGACAGCTGACATATACTGCCATTACTTTGTCAATGAAATAAAATAACAGTCCAATCCTCTATTGTAATTTGCATGTTGCAAATAAAGGAAAACAATCCCAAATGTTCCCATTATGTTGTAATACAGTTCCTTCTTTTAATATTGGTTTATTGTATGGGAGGCATTTTGAAAAGAGACAGATGTAGCACTCGTCATTTACTGTGATATACTAGATGAGAAAGAGAGCAATTTTGACTATGCAACGCCAATTATGCAGTGTGTGCGTGAAGTATGGAATAAATTAATTTTTAGCCAAAATATCAATTTTTAAGGAAAATCCCTAAACAGGTATATTTTTAATTAAAATTTGTAACAACAAATACTTATATATACAGGGTGATGAACATGTGAGTAATGACATCAGCGATATTTTTTTTAAATGGGACACCCTATATATTAATCTATTTTTGGAATCGTCATGAAAAGCTGAATTCAAAAATATATCACACATAGGGTTTACATAATGAAAAATGAGGCAGCCATTAAAAATATATGGAAGGAGTCATTCCTCCTATCTTCAACACGAATCATCCTGTATGTATTCATTTGATTTGAAAAAATGCACAAATGAAAATAAAATTCGTCGGCTTCGAGCGTTTTTTCCACAATTATGTCTTTATGAAAGCATATGGCTGTAATATTTAGTGTTTAACGGGTCCACTGTATACAAACCCTATGTGTGATATAACTTTTTTTCTAACTTATGGAAAGAGAGTTATGTTATACCTGTATTCAAAATCGGATCCGAGCAGGAAATTAAGAACTACAGACCAATTTCGATTCAGTCTTCAATTCCAAAGTTACTGGAGAGGCTGGTAAATAATTGTTTATCTTGGCGCTGCAAAAACTTACTAATTGACCAGCAACAAGGTTTTACAAAAGAAAAATCTTCTAAAACTAATCTGGTTATTTATCACAATTACATAATAAATTAGATGCTATATATACTCAGACTTTTCCAATCCATTTGATCTCGTCAATCACAAATTACTATTACTCAAACTGTAAGCCTCCTTTTCTTCTAGAGTGGCTTAAAAGTTATCTTATGCGTGTGAAGATATACAAATTATTTGTCAGACCCCATAGAAGTTTCATATGGTGTACCACAAGAAGCCCACTTAGCTCCTTTACTCTTTAATTTATTTACTAATGATGACGGATATGTTTTAAAATAAAGTAATTATCTGCTGTTTGCAGATGATTTAAAGGTTGACAGTGGTGATTGTTATACAGGATTTGAGACATCTTTGTTCAAACGCGGCAGTGTCGTATGATATATTACCGTACTCATTCATCGAATAGTAATTTAAAAGTATCGAAACACCGAAAAAATTACAAATTTGTCATGTATACATCACTTTGTTCAAAATTAATTTATTTCATACTTTACAGACACACTGTATGAAGCATTCTTGTATTTTATCCAACTAGGATTGTTCTTAAACATAACCAATCGTTGATTTGTATAGACCTTACTTGTTTCACCAATGCTTGTCACGTGGGTGAACTTTATTTTCACCATTGGAAAGATTTAGTGCATTAGAGTAATAATTGGCGAGTGCTTTATATGGTCTGTATCACCCTATTCGTTTGAGACATCAGATCTTTCGATCAATAAATAATCAACATTATCAGAAGTACAGGAAGATGTATGAGGGCTTATAACAGATACACAAGTTATTATGGGTTTTTCGATTCATTAAATGGTTTAAACAATAATTATTTTGTTAAAAACGCCATATTTTTGTCCAATATTTTTCCTTAATGCTCCAGAATCGCATTATAAATATAAAAAAAACTGCTATTAGTTCATTTTAAGAGATTTAGTTGTTCCTTTAAATTTGCTAATGTGTATTTTATAGTGAATTAGAGTAAATATCAACTTTAATAAGAGATACTTGTAAGGTTTTTATTTCGTAAATCTTAATTGGACGCCATTATGAATAAACGACCCAATCCACAAATACCTAAAATATCAGATATCTGATCCAAATTATCCAAAATTAGTTTTATTACCATTTTACCATGAGATTTGCTGCTTACTTACTCAATCCTTTAAAATATAATAAAATCCGCAAAACCGATCCAAGATTGATTTTATATTAATCCACATTTTTTTTAAATGGCTATTGTTTAATTACACTTAATACATCCAAGAGGGTTGACTAGTACTTTCATATTTTCTATTAAACTTTAATATTAAAATACATTTTGCAAATTCAGGAGACTTTAATCATGCATATTTATTATTGAATTCTAACATTCAAAACAAATTTTACAAATTCCATCAGACTTTAAACACTAAAGAAAATGATTAATGCTAAATATGTTTTTTTTTTGAAATAAAAACAAAATTATCTGGTTTATTATTGTTATACGAAAATGGTCAAAAATCTTAATTATCTTTAAATCACAATCAAATTTTAACATGCTCCTCTTCATTTAAAAAAAAAATAATTTATTAAGAGAAAATTCATATCCAATAATTGTTATATTTTTGTTTTCTATATACATTTTGAGAAAACATTAATATCTCGGAATAAATATAATGTGGAATGGATGCTTTATGCATAACAGCGTCTAATTGTTGTCAAAAGATCAAAGCTACCATTTGAATAATTTAGTGAATACCCTTTTTTATATCATAATTTTTATAAAACACCATCTCTTTTTTGAAATATTATATTTATGAAGATATGCACTATTGTAGTCGTCAACTTTTGCACATAAATATCAATGATAAGAATAATGTATATGAGATATATATTTTGTTACCCTAAAAATTGGAACTAACATTAAATAACATCATTAAAACATGACATAACAACATACTAATAAAATAATGCAATAAATAAAACTAAGATTTTTTTTTTATAAAAAACAAACTCGTATCTGGTAATCCTTATAAACTGCTTGTATACAATACCGTGTCGGATACACAAAATTTAACCAACACAAAATAATACACCAAACTGGGTAGATTTTGTGTATTTGAAACGATGGAAAATTGGGTTATCAATTTTATGTTATAGGGAGAAATACACAGTATTGTTCGCCCCATGAACAATTTGTCAGTCTGTTATTATCCTCCGAAACTTCTTGTTCGGAGGTTGAACATCGTCATCGTCGAACATCTCATAAGCGTATTCCGGCAAAAATTTTTCTAGTTGCTCATCGAAGAATTTTTCCAATGTTTTTGCATCCATATAAACTTGAGAATCCACCTAAAATGATGTAACATATTGTCAAATAAAAAACAATCCTACATTCAGGACAACTTATTAAGTAATATGAAAAGGATATACAGGGTGTTATTCAAATACATCTGTGGTGATTTTAATATTTTACTGTTTAATTTCACCTGATAAACTGTTTTTACTTTGATTACCTATCAAAATTGTGGCCAGTAATAAACGTTATAGAAATCTACAAATTGTATAATTACTACAAATGTATAAGGGTGATTCTCGGATAACGATATTTTATGTCCAGTATTTTATTTATCGTTTAGCATAAGTTTTCCTCATCAAAAAGTTATTAATATTATAAATTTAGAGGTATTTTACAACCGACATTATGAATTAGATCATAAACCTTCGCAATTTTTTTTTAAGCTGCATATAAATATACTTGAAATATCAGTACCGTGGCATGTCCGATTCTCATTTTTGAAATTAAATATATAAATTTCTATCAAAATTCATTTTTTTATTATAAAATGTACCTCTTATAACTACAATCTAATGCATATTGCATTGAGTTTTATATCAATCTTTCGACTGGTAAAAAAAATAATCATTTATATGTCAGTACCTGGAAATAATGTCAGTACAGTGGCATTAACATTTTTAAATTTTGTCAGTTTTCGTTGTGATGTAGCTGTAGTAGAACCACTTTACAGGCTTATTTCTGTGCATAAATAAAAAAACGAAACGCGTAAAACATACGTTTTAAAACATTTTTAATTTTAGAAAAATTTAAGTTGTAAAAATCGCAGTTACACGAGAATCACCTATATATTAATATTTGATGTATGCTCTCCTAGAATGTGTAAGTATTTTAAAAAAGTAGCAATAATAATACTACTCTCTCTATAATTCATCCCCTTACAAGTGAAATTTAACCCCAGAAGCGGGAAAGGGATGGCTATTATTATTATTATTATTATTAGCAATGGCGCTCTGGGGCGAATTGCAGATAATTGATGGTGTGTGCCATTTGACTTACAGGTGAGGAAAACCTCGCCATCATCCAGTGGTGGCTCGTGGGGTGGTTCACAGTGACAAAACATAGGTATCAGTACAGATGTATGAAAAAACTTTCAGTATTTTAGAAAGTTTATAATATACCTTTCTAAAACACTGACAGTTTTTTACATATATCTGTACCGGGATCTATATTCTGCTAGTGTGAACCCCCAAAATTTTGGTCACAAGCCGCCACTGCCATCATCATTGAAATGGTAACCCATTACGATTTGTAATCTGGATGTCATATCAACAGAAATTACCATGAATATCAGATCAAAGTCTCTGTCTTCCATTTTAATCCTTATATTTTAATTTAATAATCATTTTATAGTGCTATATATACGATATTTACAATGTTATATTCTATTAAATAACTTTCGGTAAATAGATTAGAATTTGTATATATTTTTTGTTTACATATATTTCATATATTGTAAGGCCCATCATTTATTAGGACCCACCTTGTCCACTTTTAACAGTACTTTGGTGTGTATTTGAAAATTTAAAAAATAAGAAATGTAACCAAACAAATTAAACGTACACTACATATTAGTTCATTTCTAATATGGCAGTCTTCCCAACATGTCTGCAAAATCATTCTGTCAGAGAGTATGACAAAACAGAATTAAGCTAAAACAGTTTAAAATTTAATTCTCTTAAAACTGATTAGTTTTGTAAAGTTTTTTATGCATATTCCACTTATGATCATAATCTTAAAAAAGATTTAAAAATGGTTTAATAAAATTCTTAATATACTCTTACGGACTTTGTCTTAGGTCTAATTAGTTTTAAGATATTGTTTTAAAAATACTCCTAAGAATTGTTATAGGATTCTCCCTTTTACTATTAAAGCAGATTTATAGCAGCCCTAAGGCTATCTCACGGATTCCAAAGTTTTATCAGTATCTTAAAAAATGGTTTTATGGTTATCTTGTATACTTTGATAAATCTAAAAATGTTACTTGGGTAGGGGGTACCCTAGGGAACTGTATTGGGTCAGCTGCTGTTCCTAGTTTATATTAATGATATTTCACAGATTGTAAATTGTAAAATTCATCTCTTTGCTGATAGTATTCTAATCATAGCTTAAAAGTTCACGACTATTTTACAACTATTAATAATAATAATTTGGAATGTATACATAGCTATTGCTGTGCAAATTTATTTAAAGTAAAGAATTAAAAACTAAACGGGGTATTATTGGATCTGTTGTCAATATAAGGAACAACTAAAGTATACGTTGGCAAAAAGGTAATAATAGAGGTTAAGAAATACAAACATTTCGGAGTAATTATAGATAGGAAACTGAGATTCAAAGAATATTGTAATGATTTAGTAAATGTTATTGCTTTAGACTTACTGGATTATATAAATAGGCATTTTTGAACATCAATCTCACATCTCTTACTAGCTCTTCCATATTTCTGTAATGAATATCCGCGGACCAGTTTAATTTTTGTCTTATCGTGTCCAAAGCAATTGGTCTTTTGATTATCGCGTGGTAATCTTCATTCTGCAACAAAAAATTAAACATAACGTATCTCAGCGAGATTTTATACATGAATAATGGATTTAGAATAATTCAAGTTAGAAAAATATTCATCTTAGATAGAACGTAACAATCACATATATACAAAAATTTCCATATAACGTATCTCAGCGAGATTTTAAACATGATTAATAGATTTAGAATAATTCGAGTCACAAAAATTCGTCTTGGATAAAATAAAAAACGTATCAAACACATATATACAAAAATTTCCATATATAATTCAGAAATGACCATTTCAAAATTTTGTTTTCACGAAACCATGTTTTCGAACATTTTCGATACCAATCAACCAAAGCTAATTCAATTTGCAAGTATTTTTTAAAACTATTTGATTTCAGATGAACTAAAAATTAATAACATATTATTTGTTGTGAAACCTAATGAGTTATTAGAATTACTGGGAAATATTTCTGCAAAACAAAAAAGCTATCAGGGTGAGTTCCAACATTTATTTCATCAAAATCATTTTTTTGTAATCCGAGATATATTTGAACCCTTTCAGTGGATTTGTAAAATCTAGTCAGCTACTTTATCATTTTCAAACTAGCAGAACTAAAAAAATCTTGGTATGTATGCAAGTACGTTTGTCTCTGTTAACGATTTTAATTATTTAGTGTGTTAGAGTTTGGAATATTTCTTGTATATTGCTTTTTTTTGGTACATACAAAGGTTATTTTTTTGAAATGGTACCTGCTTTATTGCTGCAAGTTTTATGAATTTTCATAAAAAGTTGGCAATAAAATTATGTTCCTAACACAGGGACAAATGCACTTTAGTACCTAGCAGAATTATTTTTATGATTATTTCTGGAATTTACGTTGCTACTAAATGAATGAATGAATACGTTTATTTAGCCATTGCTATTATACAGAGCTAATCCTAAATTGATCCTTTTGTAAACTGTGTATAGAAGGCGTTAAAATAAACATCTTTTTGAAATAACTTTTTTGAAAACACTCAAAAATAACAGATTACGATTTAATAAATTTAAAACCGGGACTGAATTTGTGTATGAAAAATTAAACGAATTAATAAGTTTGATTATGTTTATCTGTTTTTTTCACGAATAGGAATCATGAATATTGTAATGTTTAGTAGTGTTCTACAAATAAATTGTAAATTAAGTGCGTTTAGAAGAACGCGTTTTAAATAATAATGTTGTCGAGGACTTGTTGTTAGATAAGTGTGTGGGTGATTGTATATCAGGTGGGATAAGTGAAAGTGTGGACAATTGCAGGATAAAGATATATACACACAAAACTGACAAAATAAACATAAGACATGACTCGTGAGAGTAAAGAATACAGTTCAAAATTGTTTTATTTTATGTCTAAATTAAGTAATATTAAACATTCAATATAAAAGTACTTTAAAAACTTCTTTTTCGCCCTTTCTATTTGTTTAATATATAAATCTCATATTGAGGATTCCAAACAATGGTAGAATATTCTAAAATTGACCTAACCAGTGAACAATATACTGTTCTTAATGACTGTACAGATACATCATTAGAGCTTGTCATTATAAAACCTAACATTTTTAGAGATTTATACATTATATTATTGTGTTCCTTGAATTAAAGAGATGAATCCAAATTCACTCCAAAATCGTTTATTTGAACTCTGTCCAGTTCATCATTGGGCAACTGGCATTCAGAGTCTTGGAAGTTCGTTTATAGAAACTTATAACTGAACATTTAATAGCATTTAAAGAAATTTCGTTCATTTGACACCTATTTAGTAAATTATTTAACTCTGTATTAGCATAGCATCATCATTTTTCCCAAGTTTTAAAAAGTTTCATATCATCAGCGAACAACAGGAGGAGTATTTAATGGTCAATATTATAATATTAATAAATAAACAAAATTTATACTATAAATATAATTTTCAAATGAAGGTCGTGAAGTGGATTTGGTTCCTACACAGGACATGCCAAAAAAAAATTATGGTGAGGATAAATTTTTTTTTTGCAAATTTTGTTAATTTGGTGTATATTAAATACACTTTTTTAATACCTTTTTTGTTGTTCACTTGTTCCACTGAAAGGGTGAAAGTATGTATATCTACCAGAAAAGAAATTTATAGCTCAGAAAGTCTGCAGATTAGGAAATTTTTGTTAGGCACTCATAATTTTTTTACCATCAAAAACTTAAAATTGATACACAAAAAATTTTAGACTACCAAAAACATATACGGTAAAAAAATTAGGTTTTTATTCAAATTGGGATGCAGAATTACAACACTTTGGACTCACCTTGATAGAATCTCTCTTAGGCTATAAAAGTGATAATAGATTATAAAAAAATACTTTGTGTATGAAACAATACTTACCTCTGGTCCTATGACTTCTCTAAAAGGTAAGCTGGGATCATACTGGCAGTACAATTCCAACACCAGCCTTTCCGAAATCTTCCTTTCTTTCAGACTCAGTTCTCCTTCTTTCTTCTCAGATAAAATGCTTTCAGGTATATCAGAGAAATTCATGCACAACAGACATTGCCAAGTATCATTTTCCCTTAAAAAAAATAAACAAGTGTTCTTTGTATTTTCTCTTTTGGAAATTACCCTTCCCATCTTAAAATAATAATAATAATTTACTTACTCAACACTTAAATTGGGAATATGGCAATACTGATGGAAAACCTTGGGACATTTATCGCAACACACCAGCTCCCCTCCATCCATACAAACCGCACACCAATCTTCATTAGGATCATCCTTACTAGTTTCCGATAATTCCGATTTGATTTTCGGTCCCACACTAGTATCACCTGTCGAACTGTCCACGTGTGGCGATCCACCCTGTAGAAAACACTAAATTTAGTAAAAAAAAAAGGATATGCAACTCTCTATTTTAAATAGAAAAATTACTCAAAATAAATTCCACATAAAAATATTTATTAAAATAAGTTTCAGTTGAATGAAGCTATTTAAAAAATAGCATTTATTCTGACCAAAATTGATTAGCTCGAGTTTAGCATAAATATGATGAAAGTATAATGCAAAGGTGGGGACACTTTTATTATTGTCATTATACCATTAACCAATCTTAATGGTATTATATTTTTTAAACGTCTTAGAAATTGTTATAGGTACCATATAATTACACTTTAGACTTGATGATGGTCTAAGGCCGAAACTGATTGTCATAATTTTTGTATGTGAGATTGATTTTGAGTAATTTTCTTACTATTATTAAACAACAAATACTTTCTATATTTTTAAGGAATAATTAAAATGTCACATATACGTAAATTCTGTTGGAAAAGTAATGAATTCTATGTTTATTCGATTAGCAGTTCTTATAACTTGGAATAAAATAATGAGAACCATAATTTCTTCTATAGAATGGCTTGGAGTATTAATTCGTGATAATATAATCTATTGAATACAACTTTTGGTATCACATAAGTTGGCTAAATTTTCTCAAACTGTCACTAAATGCAAAAAAAACTTATATAGTCATGATATAGAATGACACCAAATGAGCTCATCCCTAAATCTGGAAATAAAGGGTTTCTGGTACATCTAAAAAAATAATCTTTTCCAGCTTCTTCTAGTAACTAATTGTAATATATTTGCACATCTGATATTTATCTGTATTTTCATGTTTTATGTTATTTCTAGATAGTCAATGTTCTTTTATATTACATTTTATTTACTCAGAAGGGTTCAGATGATAGCAAAAGTTCGAGCTCCTTCACGCAACTTTGTATAATTCTCTTGCTACATGTAAATACGTAAATATTTTTGGAAATAATAAATAAATCTGGAATTGTTAGTTTTAATAACTCAACAACCACGTAACCTTTAATAATTTTGAAAACAGATTCCAAATCAACATCAAATTAACCAACCTTAAATGAGGTAAGAATTTCGGACACACTGTATATGAAAACCTGCTTTAGAAAAAACATCATTACTTTTTTGTTATAAATAATGTTTGTTAACTATCTATGACTTTAAAGACCGCATTATTTTCAGAGATAAATGATTTCTGTAAGTTTAGGACAAGTTCTTTGCCAAAATATAGTAATGAAATAGAATAATTAAAGAATAGTGGACTTACCTTTTGTCTGCCCTCTGCCAAAACTTGCACACCGTTGGAATCCAATTTGGCAATGGTCGCCATCAGATCTTTGACGGAATCTTCACAAAATTTGTCGAGGCTCCTTTCTGTATCCGATTTTCCTTGTACATGATTCGGACTGGGAGTTTTGGGGATGGTGGAAGTAACTGTGCCAGGGAGATTCTTATTCGGATCATTCGGAGTTTGTTGCCTCAAAGTTATTTTAAAATTATCGTTTATTGTAGGGAGAGTCATGTTGCGATTCAAATTTGCGCTGTTTGATCCTGAACGTGAAAACAAAAAAAAAATAAATATATAATTTTAATAATCTTTATTTAATTAAATAGGATTGCCTAATATACAAAAATTATAAAATAAAACATTGTATGTATATAATACACATTAACTTCACTAAACACTAACTTAATAAACTAATAGTTAATAAATACTTTTTAAACTTGTAGATTCAGTCTTATAACAAACCTGTCGAGCTCTGCTGTGGTGTATGCCACTTCGCTCCTCCACCTCCTCCTGGATACTGAGGCATACGTTGTTGCTGATGCTGCTGAGATTGCTGCTGCTGTTGTTGTTGCTGCTGCTGCTGTTGCTGATGCTGCTGAGATTGCTGTTGTTGTTGCTGCTGTTGTTGCTGCTGCTGCTGTTGCTGCACTGGCATCCTCTGTTGGTTCGCCATTAGCATTCTTACTGGATTAGACTGCTGGAACCTACAGAAATTTAAATCAAGAAACAGAGTATTAAGTATAAATATCGGTTAAATAAATTGGAATTCTTATTATCTAAGATACCAAGTGCATCTAAAATTACTTTTATATTTTACTATCTTTTAATCTAAATATGCATGTCAAAGATTCTACTAGAATCACTAATAGTGAAACTTTAATTGACTCTTTTCGTTCCGCTTTTCTGGACAGTAATATCCTGTGTTCAATCAATTCCAGCCTGTTATCTGACCATGAGATTGTTTTCCCATTTGAAAAATTAATACAAAAAATAAAAAGCCATGAGCAACTTCAGGCATGTGTTCAGCTAAAAATATGCAATCCCTTCATTATTATTAAAAAATATGTTTGGACATATTGGTATGAGTTTTCCTTAAACTATTACCACCAGTACAGAAAAATATAAAGAATGATATTAAAAAAGCTAATTATACTATTATTCTAGAAATGAAAATTCAAATAATAATTTAGAAAAGTTAAAAATTAAGAACCCTTTTGGATTGCTAAACAAACTTTCTTGTGTGCAAAACAATTATATTTTCCACTTTTTGTTAGACATCAAATTTAACTTTAATATCGTTTATCATTCTTGAAACTTGTTGTATTGTCACAATATACGTCTTCTCTGAATATAGGGTTTTTCCACAGGGTAGGATTCTCAGTGTAGGAGACCTTCCTTGCAAAGGATTCCTTCATTTCCGAGGTTTTCTATAAGAACTTTCAAGTACCATAATTTTTTCAGAGCTTACAATAAGTTATGGTGGTCTTTTTAACACCCTTCTTGTATTGTATTTAGTGATTTTTTTTACATAATTATCTACTTTTTTGCCTGGCACCTCTACCATGTTATTTTCTACAGGGCAACTTTCAAATGTGTAGGAGACTCTCCTTGTAGCAGTTTCAAATCATGGAGGCTCTGGATCTCGATCGTGAAAGGTTAAAAGTTGGTTTTTATTTTGAATCGTGGTTTTAAAGTTTGGTCAAGGATTGTAAGATGTGCTCCAAATATTTTGTATATTTGTGATTGTATTGAGCCCATATTTGTGTATGTTGGGATGTGACCTATCTTGTACAATTGTTACAATGCATGTTTTGAGAAAATTGTTTTTATGTTAGTCTCTTGCCCTGATATTATAAAGAGTTGATACTCTTATAAAGGTAAGGGCTACAAAGCCAAGTTTAAGGCAATACAGTGCTTGCAAGCTAGTCCAATTTTTATAATTAAACCCGGAATTGTAATAGATTGTGACTTAGTCACTCCTATATTAAAAGAACACGTATATCATAACATTATTATAAATAAAAACAAATCAAGTTATTTTAATACTAAGGTAAAACGACAAGTTAAGAAATTGTGGTTACCCAGATCTAAACTGGTAAAAGGCTCATTTATTTATAACTGGATTAAAATGTATAATAAACTGTCAAATAATTTATAATTGACGGAAGCAAATTACAATATTTAGAAGACTGCTCAGGAATCTTTTGGTGACAAAAAAATATTATATATTATTGATTGAGTTTAACAATAACTTTTAAATTGTTGTGACTAAATGATGCATTTGTACAAGTATTATACTTTTGTTGTCACTATTTTGTTGTATAGTTTATAATTAACTTTTAATTTTCTAGGTCAAGAAGGTCATTCAACTTCACAAATGTGGTCATCTGGACAAAGAAAACATAGTCGTACCACAAAATATTTTAATTGAAAAAAAAAAAAGGTATTGCTTTCGCCATTCTAACCATCATCACCTTTTGTATATTTAACGTTCTAAGTTTTAAATTATGTAATTGTTAATAATGCGTAAGTACTTTGTTATAACTTTGACAATATACATATATTGATTAACTGATATACAGCTCAAACTCTTTTAAGACACATAACTGATACGATTACGTTTATTGAAGTACAAAAGAAGTTGCAAATTACCTTATTTGTTGTTGCTGTTGACCTGGAAACCTAGTTTGAAACTGTTGTGCTAAATGGGACTGAATAGCTTGGTATTGGCCGGGTGCCGTCTGGATATACACGTGATTGAATCCATTATTGGCGTTGTTGGTGTTATTGGGCTGCAAAAGATGCCGCAAATTGCTGCGATCTGCCATAATACCTTGAGGATGCGTCGACGACGACACCTGAAACGATTTGGTGTCCTATTTGATGCATTATTTTAACATGTACGGCTATGTATTGAGAAAGTGAAATGTATTGGTTGCATTGGGGAATTAAAATTACGAACCTGCTGTTGCTGTTGGTTCAGACCCATCGGAAGCCTAGGCATAAGGGCTCTTTGTAGTGCCTGCGGCCTATGCATTCTGTTCATATTTAATTGTTGTAAGGAATTGGCCATTGGTTGAGGAATGTTATTCATGCCAGGGGGGCCCATCGCCTGGATTCGATTCTGAGCTGTTTGATGAAAATTATTGATTTGACAATATTTCTTTTAATAATATTTATGTCAACATTCAAATCATAATAATAAAAAGAATCTTTGAAAATAGTTGAAAAATATATTTTAGAAGCTAGACAGTGATTAAATTAAAACTTTGTGTAACTTAATAAAAATGGTTTGAATCTGAATCTAATGCATAAAATGAAAAAAAAAAAAAAAAACTAGTTATACTCACGGTACTCACCCATAGCTTGCATGTTTTGAGCTATACCCTGTGCCATACTCTGTGCCATGTTCTGACCCATACCTTGTCCCATATTCTGTCCCATGTTCTGCCCCATATTCTGTCCTAAATTCTGCCCCATATTTTGTCCTAAATTCTGCCCCATGTTCTGGCCCATATTTTGTCCTAAATTCTGGCCCATGCTTTGCACATTCATGCCCGACGAGTAAGGCGAAGTGTTTTGATATTGCGAGTATGGAGGAGGCCCAGGCATTCTTGTGGGCTGTTGGAACCCAGAACCAGACGGAGACGGTAGTTGATGCAAAGGACTTATTGGAGATGGTTGTTGAGGAGGACGTACCTGACCAGGGCTTGTCGAAGCCTGTGGCGGTATGGAGGCAGCTGGTGATGAGGATTGGGATGGATACACTCGCCCGTCCACCACGATTTGACCAATCGTTGACATTACTGAGATTATAAATAAATTAAGGATTAAATTCAATATTTTTAAATCGGTTTTATGTAAAACTACACTTTTATAAACTAATTTATAGTATACAATCGAGATATAAAAATAAATATTACTTGTAAAAGTTATATATAAGCTAAGAAATTAAAGTAAATACGAATTTTTAGTGCATTATCAAAAAATTAAGTTGGAATTTAAGTAATTCTAATTATATTATCCATTTACTTTTATTTTACAGCCCAGGTGTTAAATAATGAGTAAATAGATAATACTTAGGAGGATGATTTGGCGAGTATGAATACATGGTGTCGCTTATGTGAAAAATGTTGACAGTCCTGTCAAGTTTGATGATTTATGTGCTATATTAGTGTGAATGTGCAGTTAACTTTTAACAAAAACAAACCATTCTGTCATTGAATTTGACATATACGTTTTTAGTTTTTGTTAAAATATTCGTAAAAAAGTAGTTTAAACATAGGTAACCAAATTATTTTTTGATGAATATAATCTTGAAAATAATAAAATTTAAATTGATACTTAACTTCTATTTTTATTTAACTAAAATGTTATCTACTTACTATAAGAATATATTTTAAGACCTAAAATCAGTTAAATGAAATTGTTCAAAAACTAGGTATCTATAACTAAATTTGTATTAAAAAATTAACTCTTGTGTTTTCATAAATATGAAGTAAATTAAATTAGCACAGTTATAAAATTAGTCTTTGGAATTGTTTTATTCGTAAAAAATATAAGTACTATGTATTTTATTCAACATCCCATCACTGAAATGATAATGTAATAAATTATCCAGTTGGATATAGCGCATATATAACCGGGATCTGGTTCTATCCTGTGTTGGATCAAACCTTATGTTAATAAAAATATGAATCAAACAAAAAAATATGTTTCTTACTGGGTCAAAATACTTACTACCAAACCATCCTCATAACTATATACAGCATACAGCTAGTGAAATATACCCAGGTATGATTGTTTTATAATCAAAAAAGAAACAAGACATTACAAAATTTACCTGAAGAAAGGCCTTATGTGAGCAAAAACGAAAATGTTTATAAAAAAATTATTAAATCCATCCTTATAGATACAAAACAAACTTACCTTTAATAAGATCTGGTACTTTATCTAAAGCTAGATGTATCCTAACTGGTATTTCTGGATTTGGAATATCAGCTCTTTTACATTTTATCCTTTTCAAGTGTTCAGTCACCTGCTTTTTGCTGAACAACAGTGCCATATCGCTACCGTTGTCCAAAGCGTGTTGAGTGAATTGTATACAATGGTCCGTCATTTTTGATAATTGTTCTAAAGCCACCTTTTTCTCCTGCAATGTCTTTTGCTTTGACTCGCAAACTTCTGATAGTTTTGCTATAAGTTGTTTGCCACGAACATTAATTGTATTCGTTAATCTAGAGGAGAAAAAAAATGAGAAATATATCATTTGGATCATGTTCTTACATGCAGAGGAATGTTAAGACTGATAACTTTTTTTGGACTTTTTAAAAGCATTTTTTTACGCTTTTTTACTCATATCTGCCATTTTGTAATAATTATCCAATAGTACCACACAACACAAAACGATGAATAAAGAAATTATATCTAAGAAACATTTTATTTTCAATGTGCCTAGAACCCGACCCCATCTGATAACTGTTAAGCAAAACTTCCCAAGAAATGAAGGTTTCCATAATAAAGCATTTGATCAAGTCAATCACGAATTACTATTACTTAAACTGTAAGCATACAGATTCCCCCTTCTAAAGTGGCTTAAAAGTTATCTCATAAGTAGAATACAGTGTGTCAAGATAAATAATTATTTGTCTGATCCCATAGAAAATTCTTCTGGTGTACCGCAAGGGGCCCACTTAGCTCCTTAACTTTTTAATTTATTCATTAATGATGTTGGATCTATTTCTGAATACAGTAATTATCTGGTGTTTGCTGATGATTTAAAGATTTACTTAAAGTTTAACAGTGGTTATTGTTGTAATAAACTTGAAGATTTCCATGCCTTATGTGAATGGTCTTCCTCTTAACCCTAAACAGTAGTAAGTGTTATTGCATTACTTGTACAAAAAATCATAATCAAATAACACATAACTACTGTCTGAATAACAAAACATTAATTAAACGTAATCATAATGTTAAGAGAACAACGAAAATGTTAGGCATGCTGATAAGAAACTCTAGCTTGCCATCTTTAGATGCCTGTAGAATGGTTTATATTGCATATGATAGGTCCATTTTGGAGTATATTTTACAACTACAGAGTTGTTGTATTGTAAAAAGGATTGAAAATGTCCAAAATAAATATTTACGATATTGTGCCTTTAAACTACTGACAGGTAGTTTCCACAATTCTGAACTTAATAAACCTCCCAACCCTTGTAAATCGAAGAATCTTCATGGATCTGTCATTCCTCTATAATATCATAGCCAGGATTGTTACATCTGATGAATTATTATCCATAATTGAATTTAGAGTTTCCACAAGAACTACAAGGAATAATAGTCTATTATTTGCAATTCAACTTTACCTCACTAATTATGCTTTTCATGCGCCCCTACCTAGATTAATGAGACTGGCTAATCAATACAATTTAGATATCACTGGGTGTTCAATTAGTCAATTTCAGAATGATGTAAGAATATGTTTTTAATATCTAAGTATATTTCATTTCATATATTCAATGTTAGGTTTATTGTACCTACCTTTTATAATGTATATAAGCTATTTTATGTAATTTATGTATACTAATGGATCTTTCTGTGATTAGGTTATTTGTGGACAAAATTTTGTAGACCTACCAAAACTCCGGTATTCAAACAAGACCATTATATTTAGAGATACACAGGCGATATTATGTTCTTTATTTAACAAACATTTAATTTATTTTCAGTCAAATTCCACAATTTAAAATGTTAAAATGTGGTTTTGCAAAAAAAATTAAGTCTATTATGTACCTATAAATATATTAGAAACAAGATAATACAAAACCAAACTAATAACAAAGATGACAAACAGTGATGACTGTACTAATCAGGTAAAATGATCATCACTTATCTACCTTAGAAGATGGATATTAACTAGTGTTGTCCAGATTTTAAGGCTTAATAGGTACATAAAGACTGTGTTTTTTAATGTAAGATATTAATGAAGCATGAATAAAAAACTATAATACTTACTTAACAACTAATTGTGTAATTTCATTAACAAGTGCTCCTTTTTTATCAGTTATCAAATTTTGTCTGTCATCTATTACTTTCATTGCACTCGACAGCAATGCTCGTTTGTACCTAAAAGATGATTTACATTAAACATTAAGACTCGATTTGTTAATAAGTTCTACTCACCCAACATCCTTGAGCATTTCAGCGATGAATTTCTTGGCTTCAGATGCAATTTCGGTAGTAAATTTGTACTTGTGTTCCCTGTGCTCCAACAACTGACAGTCTCTGCATGTCAACTTATCACAAGTTTCGCAAAATAATGACAATTTTTCATGAGGATGGTTCAAACAGAAGAGGTTGGATGGAGCTCCATTTGAGACTGAGTTTAGCTCCATCAAACCATCTTCTTTCGGTTTTATTGTGTGATCTTTCGTTATTTTTAACCTAGAAATATGTAGATACAACTTAAGTTCATTCAATCAAAGGATTGATAAAAAAATAATTCATTTAGATTTGTATATTGGAATGACTGGTAAGTTTAAACTTGCTTTTTGTTTAAATAAATAACTAGTAGTTTTTCTTAAATGTCTCTGTGGAGTGCAGCATTATTGTTGCACAAATTTAAAGCTCTCAAAATTCTCGAGAACATAACATTGTGAAGTATTCCCAGTGGTGCGCATATAAATTCAATTTTATATTAGAAAATCCTCATATTTTTGCTTACATGAGAGGTCTGGTTTGCTCTTAATGTCTTTTTAATGTGTGTTTTTATAATAATTGATTTGTATAATTTTCAGTAAAATATTTTTTAAATTCATTGTGTTATGTTTTAAATTAAATAATTTTATCTGTAATGGGAGTCAAAAATAATATCTGAAAGTTATGGTTTAATCAAAATGTCATACCGACTTGTAGAAATAAATTTAGGACTATCAAAATGTAGACTTTTTCTATGTTATTTGTAGATTTTGGATCAAATCAGTCACCTTATTTAGGTACAAAAAGAATAAAAATCTTAATTTTGCTTTTTTTAATAATTAGGCTTATTAATTTTTAATCTATACATAATTCCCTTCATTATTTTTTGAAATTGTTTTACTTGTTTTAATAGAGGAAAAAATAAAAAAAGTAACTGATATGATAAATTAAATTTACAAAGATTGTATTAAATTTAAAACATAAATTATAACAATACAATATACTTATAATAAATATAACTACTTACTATGTGGCATAAATATTAAAAAAACAAAATTTTAAAGTTTCAAATTAAACATTATTGAAAGAAAAAGGTTAAGGTTTGCCTCTTTATAAGTTTTTTTTAATTTTATTAATATATATTGTTTATGTTACTATATGTCTCAATATTTTTTTTTTGTTTAATTTCGTCTCTTAAATTAAATATTACATTATTTATTTTTTAGCTTAATGATAATAGGCACTTAAAACTCTTGGAACTATAAAATATTATTTTTTTGTTATTGTTTTAGAATATGTTTAATATAACCCATCTGTCTAATGTATTTGTTTCAGTATAAAACGAGTCAATCTATTTTTTTATTTAAAATATTTAAAAAACAGGCATTTTCTGTAAGTTAGAACTGTTTAACTTATTTAAACCAAATTGATGAATGTTTGGATCTTACCTTTGATGTGCCTGCACACAATTATCACAAATAAATTCTGAACAGTCAGTGCAATAACTTGTAGCCATAGCATCATCACCACAATTGCTACATTTCATATCTGCATTCTTGTTAGGATCATCACTGTTACTTGCTAATTCTAGCAAAAACTGATTTTCTATTATATTAGTAGGATTACATATCATGCCACATGGGGGACATTCTATGATAGCTAAAAATTTAAATAGAAATATACTTAGTTTGGCTTTTCTTGTTTTGCAAGAGTAACTAAAGGGAAGATTCAATTAATTATAATTTCCAGAGAAATATATTTAAAAAACATTTCATTTCTACAGTGGCCTTCCTTTAATTATAAAAACCTAAGCCAGGATAAAAATGTTTTAAACTAGGAAGAATTGATATTTAAAATGTAAACTTTTAAATTAATGTAAAAATATTGTAATAACACTTTTTAGTGCAAAATTGGATTATACTGGAACATGTATTTTACTAACTTGTTGCTAATATCAAGTAAATTTAATTTTCTGTATTTCATCTTTTAGTTCTATGTAAATAATTTTAGTAATTTACTTAAAAGCTAGTAACATATTTGACATTCATTCAATTAACAAATTAATCATATATTTTACTCACCTGGTATTCCATCATTAGAATGCTCATAAAGTCTGCTATCTATACAACTAGAACAGGAATTATGAAGACATTCCAATAATTTTGGATTATCCGCAGCACTCAATACTCTATCACAAAATATACATTTAAAAGTGAAACTCTCCCTTGTTGTAGGACTTTCTACATGATGTTCTTCTGTAGGAGGTGTGTATTCTTCTTTAGAATTTTCATTTACAATATTAGAAATTTCTTTTTGATTTTCATTTTCACCCTCAAGGTTATCATTTGATTCCGAAAGTAGTTGATCTATCATCATCTCCTGAGCGGGAGTTAGAGTCTCAGGCTCAGTTTCTGTGCTGAGGGGATCTGTTAATAGATTTTCAGAGAGCGACTCCTCCATTGGTATTGGAGTAATAAAAGCCGGATCGTTGAGGAACACTTTCGATTCGCTTAAATCAGCCATACTTTAGCTATAAAGAGGTCATAAACTTAGAAAATCACAGCAAGGACACTATACGCACTCATTTTAATTGAAAAAAATCCGTAAAATTGTTTTGACATAAAATAGGCAAGGTAGTACACTCGTTTTGAACTTATATTCACTTTATATTTATTTATTTATCTCATAACTGACAGCTTCAGTTTTTGCAGACGCCTTTTTCATTTCTGCCACTTTTCTCCATTTTCACCTCTTACCAACCTAACAAACTGACAACTTGTCATTTCATTAAATGTCATGTCAAACAAATGGGAAGTGCCAAGTCGATTTTTAGAGATGTATATTTTCAAAACCAATTTTGAATTATATGGCTAAACTTTTTTGATTAATAAATTATTTTACATTGAATTGATTAAATATGTATCTAATAAAATAATTAAATATTGAACCAAATTTCGCTCTCAACAAACAAATTTAACAAATAATGTACATTTGCTTTGTAGGTTATGCAGAAAGTAAGTAAGGTTAATCTAATCAAGTCAACAAGTCAATGAAATGTACTGAGGCAGGTATTTTTTTACAAAAGAATATTTTATCTCGAACTGACTCGACTTGTAATTTATTTATAAAAATGCACATTAGCGCACGGTACATTTCTTACAAAGCAGCTAGAAACTGGTATGCAAATTTAAAATTAGTTAAACCAACACCTCAAGATCCTCCATTTAAACATGTAGTCCAAATAGGGGATCCAACCTTGAGACAAGTTGCTGTAAAACTATATGAAGATGAAATAGGAACTCCAGAAATTCAGTTTCTTATAAAGCGACTTAAATACGTATTTAAAAAATATAATTGTGTTGGCCTTTCAGCTCCACAAATAGGAGCATCTTTTCAAATATTGCTTGCTGAATTTAATCATGATCACTTGAAAATTTATTCAAAAAAGGAAATTGAAAGTAAAGAAATAACTCTTCAACCAGAAACGGTGAGATTAAGTATTTGTAGAATGAATTGTTAGGAAACATTTAATGATTTCCATATTTGCTGTGTTTCTCGAGTCACTCAATTTTTAGTTTTAGGTTATTATAAATCCAGTTATGAAGGTTCTCGATTATAATAAGGTTATATTTTCTGAATCATGTGAAAGTGTCAAAGGTTTTTATGCCGATGTTCCTAGGTATAGAAAAATTGAACTTAAAGGTGAATAGACAACCCTATATTAAGCAGATGGGGTGTTTGATGTTTGACATATTATTTTTTTATTACCTAAGTAATACTTTAAAAACATTGCAATAATTTGAATTTAAATTTTATTAGGTTTAACAGAGGAAGGAAAGCCTATTTCACTAATAGCCCAAGGTTGGTGGGCAAGAATTCTTCAACATGAAATAGATCATCTTAATGGAAAATTATATACAGACATTATGGAGCCCAAAACGTTAACTTGCTCTTGTTGGAACATTGTAAATGAAAGAGGCGGACGTGTACAAATTCCATTTGGTCACCAGTGAAAATATTTTTTTATAGTACTATTTTTACAATAAAAACACAATACACAATCTAGTATCTCATTTATTCCTAAAATAATAAGAAGTGTCAAAATGAAGAAAATATATACAATTACTAGCATTGCTTCTTGTATTCTATCTGGTACATAATAAACTACATACTGTGTATATATTCTTTTTCTTATTTAAAATTACATACTTATGAAAAATTACACTACCAAATAACTTAAGCATTAGGTGCATGTACCCAGGCAGCTGTAGATGTTTGGGGTTCTCCCGCTCTTATTTCATTGGGGTACGTTACAAGAAACAGCTCATGGCCATTGATATACCTAAAAATATAAAAATATGTTACAATGTAATTTTCGCAATAATTAAAATATACTCACAAATTTCGATTTGTGGGCACCCTAACTGTTCTCTCATCATCGTCCAATTCTTCTTGAGTATACTCTGTCAATAGCTGCCCAGCAGCTTCTTCATCTTCAATATGCAGCTCACTACTCAACTCCTCTTCTTCCTCAACTATTTCCACTTTTTCAACTTTGGAGAGGGTGCGCACGGACTTGGCAGTGGCCGTCGGTCCCTTCGAATGAGTTTTCTGATGTCTTTTCATATCGGATCTTACACGGAACGGCTTTCCGCACACGCCGCACATGTGAGGCTTCTCGCCTGTGTGAATCTTGCGATGGTTCTGTAGGTAAGATGAGGCTCGAAAAGATTTTCCACAGAATTCGCATTTATAGTTACGCTCGCCTGGAAAAAATTTCACAGATATAAAATTCCACGGTATAAATTATGGCTACAATCTCTCACAAGAGTACTAAGAAACTTTAATAAATTTAATCACTTAATGTACCCATTTATTTTGATTTTTTGGTCAAAAAATGATCAATTTTTTTAAAGTAAAAATTTTGTGTTTATGCTTATTAAAATAAAAAAAATAATATTTTCAGTGGCGTAGTAACTGTACTTTACTTAGTGTTGAGGGGAGGGGGAATGAAATTGCAACTTGTATTTTCTTAAATATTATTTATGCATTACATATCCTTATATGGTGGAAGTATACCTATTATAAAAATGTATAATGAGCAGAAAATTATTTTACCTTATTAATAATTATCAGTGGCGTACTCAATTTTTTTATACTAGCAGGCATGTATGTTAAGTGGTTAATATTGATCCATATTCTATGTCTATAAAATCTTATTATGTGTAGTATGAATTTGTATTATCAGTTTTGATTACTGTTATTATACTCTTCACACAGTAGTCTGTCAACATTTTTATTTTATGGCTTAGGTGTATATTCCTAATAAGCCAGTAATACGCCATTTTAGTGATGATGTAATTATGGTTTCACTGACAATTAAAGTGACAGTAGTTTGAGAGCGTTTTGCTTACCTAAATTATATCGTTTTTTCACTTTTATAAATATATTCCTAAAGTAAGTAAATAACATGCATCAAATATATAATCGTTTCGTTAAGTTACCAATTACAAACCTTTAAACTATTTTTTATGACCTGCAAACAATATTTAGAAAAAAACTTAACACTAAAAATATATATGCCAAATTTATTGATGTTTTTGTTAAAAGTTTGGTTAAAATTAAATGTCAGTGGAACCAAAATAACATAACACTAAACTGGCGTATAAGCTCTATAAGGAGACAAAGTCTACTAATTTAGAAAAAAAATTGAATCTAAATGGAGGTTTAAGGGGTTAAAATTAAACAAGAAATCCTAAATCAAAAAGGAAAAGCAATAACATGAAATTTTTTTTGTAAAAATCAAGCTCTAAGATGAAGCCTATTAGTTATATTAACTTTATATTTTGAGCAAAAATGAAGCTCTATAAGAGGGGACAAAATCCATTAATTTAAAAAAAAAATGAATAAAATTGGGGTTGCAATAAAAAAATAGAAATCAAAAATCAAAAGCGATATTAACATGAAATGTTAGTAAAAATTGAGCTCTATAAGGGAATGAATAAATAAAAATGGGGAGATATCCCTAAATATTGAACAATTAAAAGAGTAATTTTTAAAAAACGACTACAAAATCGTGCAATGTCATCACCACATCTTGACCAAATTTATAGAGAACCACCCCTGAGGTACCCCCCTTTGGATCATAGAAATCAGACAAAGTGGTAAAGAATTACTGCTAAATGTACATAAAAAATGAAGAGTTTGAGGATTTTCTAATGGACCCAATTGTTAGATTTTGAACAAATTGATATGGGACCACCCTCTTTCTAACAAAAAAAGAATCATTGAAATCGGACACTATTAAGTACTGTAAAATATAAATAAATAAAATGGTTTTAACAATAATTATATAAATAAATCTTGGGAACTGAAGGGATATGAAATATTAAAATATCTAACAGTTTTATCATTATAGCCCGCTACCCCACTGCTGATGTCACCTTGGCATTAACGCTAAAAAAAAGTTTTTAACTAACAATTTTAATTTACCTGTATGAATTCTCCTATGAACAACCAAAGAATACTTTCTTGCAAATTCTTTGCCACAATACTCGCATTGGAAGTTCTTTTCTGCTGAATGTAAGGACGTTATATGATACTTGAGATCTCCCCACTGTCTGAACCTTTTACCACAATGTTCACAACTGTATGGCTTGTCACCAGAATGAAGCCGCAAATGGACCTAGAAGATTTCGACTTCAGTATCAAAATATCTTCTTGAGCTTAAAATAAACATATTCACACAAGTATTTTGTTACCTTTAGGGCGCTGGAAGCGAAGAAACTCTTTCCACATTGGTCACATTGGTGGGGACGTATTCCCGAGTGGCTTCGCATGTGATAAACTAAAGAATTTTTGTGAGTAAAAACTCTGTCACACTCGGTACATTCGTGTGATGCTTTTTTCTTGTTCTTTTTGTTAATTTTCTTAACAACCGCTAGTGGCGCAGATTCTGTATTTCCAGTTGTAGCCCTACAAGTGACCAAATGTTGAAGTAGAATGGCTCTGAGTGGAAACGGTTGATTGCAGAAATGACAAATATGGTCATTGCCACCAGATTCAAGTTCCTTTAAATCTTCTTCAGTCTGATGAATCTCTTCTTCACGGTACCAAGCTTTTGAGTCATCTTCATCTTCATGAGGTTCATTTGTGTCCACTACCATAGTAATGCCTAATTTGAAAATAAAAAAATACACCATAATTAACATAATAAATTAATTAAAACTATAAATTACCATCCATAAGATCCTCAGGTTCACTAAATTCATCCAGAGGTTCATTTTTACTAGTGTGGATATCTCTCATGTGAGCTTCAAACGTTTTTTGTCTTCTAAAGGTCTTGTTACACTCTATGCAAGTTAAATTAAGGAGACTAGAAAGCAAACTGTCTTGTCTCTCAGGTTCAACTGGTTCAGCTTTTTCCTGATGGATTGCTTTTTTGTCAGTAGGCTCCTTAGGAGGTGGTGCCGTAGGAAGGCCACCTCCACCAGGTTCATAATGTTTCTTCAAGTGTTCAAAAAACTTAAGCTGTTCAGTAAATGGTTCATTACAAATTTGACAGTGGAAAGAGTTAGCTTGATTAACAGGTGTGATGGTGGTTTGACACAGAAGCTCATGCTGGGCAAACTCATCGTTTGAGGTAAATGATTGTTCACACAAGTTGCAAACTATTTTTTTGGCAGCAGAAACGGAATTCTTTTTAAGTTTTCGGGAAATGCGCTTTTTATGGGGTAGACTCTTCTTTGAAGTTCTTGGTTCATTTCTACCAACAAAAAATCAAATATGTTTAGAATATTAGAAGGGCAGGGGTGACTGAATTATTTAATATTCCATTTCATACTTATTTATTTATAATAATTATACACAGGTAATACCCATTTAAAGTTTTACAATATATGAAAATTAAGTTATACAAAAAAATATATATGTATATAGTATATACAATAGTAGTAGTATTTATGCTGACTGCATTTTACATTTAATGGAATATAGGGACGTATTAAAGAAATCCACAGAATTTTTGTTTCCATTAAGCGGCAAATTGGAAAGAATCTTACATAATTAGTTTTGTGAAAAGGGATGGCAAATAATTCTGTGTTTCTCAAATTCAGGACATTTGACGAAATTATTAAGGGTTTTATATAAGAACTGTATATCAATTGCATATCTTCTTTTGCAATTTGCATAGATTGTTTTATTTGTGAAGCTGAAACATATTCTGATGGGATGTTATTTAGAAGAAATATGACTATTGACTGCCCAAAATGTGACCATTACAGACTTTTATTTTATTTTTTTATTTAGACTAACAAAAAAAAAAGAAATAAAAAATGTTCACTAGATTACTTACAAAAAGTAATAGTCCTGCAACTTTTCTGAAGTAAGGATTCAAGTGATTTTACAGCTATAGGTTTACTTTTCCGAGAATGATCATAGCTGATGAATAAGATAAGGACGAGGGGCAAATCACTCCCGCAATACGTGTACAAAATGTCCGCAATCCCATTGAAAATCGCCGCAGTCTCATCAAAATCAGTGACAATCGCTAAGAAATCGCCGCAGTCGTTCCGAATTCGCTCGCAGTCGTTCCGAATTCCCTTGCAGTCCCCCGAATTCTCTAGCAGTCACTGAGCAATCACTAGCAATCGTTAAAAATCGCGCGCAGTAAGGTGACATTAACCAATTAGCCATTGTTGATGTAGGGTGCTTTGATTAAGCCATCTAAACCATTTTGTGTAAAGAAATTGCAGTTTACATTTTGAGGCAAGAACTATTAAGTTAAATTTACATTTTGGAATTTGAAGGTTTTTTTAGGATAAATTTAGACACTAAATCTACTTGTATACAAAATTTTACAAGGTGGTCAAAAATTGTCCCTTTTCATCTAGTTTTTTTTTTTAATGTATAACAAAATTGTTGGTATTTTATGGGGGTTGGGGTGATACACGTTTTAATTAGGGTTTTAAATGTATTTTTACTTTCCTATCTCTTTACAGATAAGGAAAGTATAGGAATCATGATTTTTTTCGACCTCGAATTTTCGACGGTTTTTTATGTTTTGGGGTATCCTGAATCTGTTTTGATTATTTTCGCGATGATGTCTGTGTGTGTGTCTGTATCCTCGATAACTCATGAACGGATACAAAGAAAAACACCAAATTTTAAACTTAAGCTTTATTCCGGCGTCCAATTAGCTGATTAGATTTTGGACAGAGTCGGAACATTTGAAGGGTACTTTATAGTCATCATTTTTATATTTTATGGAATATATCTGTTATTTACGTTTGGAGAAGAAATTTTTTCAAATAAAAGTTACTTACAATATTATTATCTATAATTTGTTCTATACAAAATTTGGTCCGTATTCGAGAAATTTGACAAAATGTAAAAAAAAATATTTTTTTATAAAAATTGTTCAAATAAAAGTTGCTTGTAATATAATTCTCTATAATTTTTGCCCTATACATAATTTCTTTAAAATGGACCGTATTCGAGATATTTAAGAAAATGTGTAAATTTCGAATTTTAAAGAAAAATCAAAAACGGATAAAGTAAAAAACATTAAATTTTAAACTTAAGTTTCCATATATGATGTAGATAATGAAAAGAGCATTTTTTATGGATTGGAAGATATTAATATAAAGGATTTTCGAAATTACTACACAAAAAGTGATTCTGATACCTCATTTTTAAACATAATTGTGAACAACAAAAAAATGAAGGTAAAAAAATCAGTTCTTTGTTGGTTATTTTCCACTGAAGACGGGCGCTTGTCAACTGATAGATTATCTCGTGTAAAAGGAACATCCTCAGCAGTACTAAATAACAAAAAAAAAACAAGTCCAGAAAAAACACAGCTAAAATACCAAATAACTACAATGACAAAGATGTAACAGAAAGTGAAAAAACTACCGGTGAAAACACTTTGCTCCAGAAAAATATCAATGGCATTTTAATTAGGAACGAACAATATTTACGCAATTATTTACGAGTCGTGGTACATAGGTCGGATTTTTCAAATAATTGATGAAACTACTAGTAAAATAAAAATTTTAAAATCTGAACTTGAAGAATATTTATGGCCAAAAAAAGACGACATTCAAATTGTTAAAAATAAATTAATATTTTACGGACCCATCAATTCAATTGGATCTGGTCCATTTAAACTAGAAACAAACATCAATAAAATTTGTAAACGTCTAAAAAAAACACTTTTATGAAATTTTTAAATAAAAAACCTCCAATTACTTAATTACTTAACTTGTTTTATTTACCTGTACCTATTTGTTCATTTAGGCATATCAAAGATATCTAATAATGGAGGCATGTAGGTACCTCATAGAAGTTTATATTTCGGGTATCACATCAATTAAAACTGATCTTCTGAATGAATAAAAAACGTACCAAAAGTTGATTTATTGATAAATTTGTCGTACACACTTAGTTTTAAATCAATGCATTGTATTTAGCACCTATACATGCACTATACAAAATTTAGTTTTTCTGATGAAACACCTAGCTAATGCTTTTTTTACTGGAAACCAACTGGTAAGCCATACAATATCGTAGAAATCCTTCGGAATGCGTGCAATTTTGCAATAATACTGACAATCCATACGTACGAGTAAATCGCCGCAATCAATAGGGAAATTGCCGCAATCAATAGAGAAATCGTTGCAGTCAATACATAAATCACCGCAGTCACGGGAAATCTGTCGGAAGTCATGTGGAAATCACCGCAGTCATCCAGAAATCGCCGCAGTCATCTAGAAATCGCCGCAGTCATCCAGAAATCGCCATATGATTGCGGAAATCATATGAATTCGGCAATACATGTACATTTTTACAAAGAGTGATTTGCCCCTCGGATAAGGATGATACCCTAATAACTTTATTATCATCTTTGTATTTTATATTTTTGAATTTTATGTAGGAATTGATAGTAATTTGTAAAGTAATTTTATAAAGTACTACAATGAAAGATACATTAAAATGTTTAAAGTACCTTAGAGATTCTCTATCAGAATCTGCAGATTTTTCTTCTTCCTTCTTTAGAGATGATTTTTCAATTTCTTCTTCTTGAAATGTTTGGTTTACAGTTGTAAACCTAACAGTATCAACTAATTTTGGAAGGGGTTGCTGCTCTACATAAATATTATCAGAATTAACAATTCTTAAGAAGCTGGTTCCACCAGATTTTTCACTACTTATTATCAATTGGGGTTCTTCCAGAATCTTAGTTCCTGTAAAATTATGATTGGAATCTTCTATATCTATTGTACAACATTGTATGGTTAAATTGAACATATTATATTTTTAAGTCTTAAATATTTCAAATTTGTTTGACATCATCATCAAACCAATGAGAAACATTCATTTGATTTTATTGTTGCTAAAAAAATGCAGTAGTGGATCTACAATGTAAGTTACAGGATACCAAAAATTTTAAATAAATAAAACATTTGTAATAAGAAAAGTAGATACCTAAACTGGAAGCTGCAACAAGGGATGGCAAAGTAGCATCTTGCAATTGTTGTTGTTTTTGTTGCTGACTAAGCTGGACAGCTACCAATGCTGCTGCTAAATTTCTGTCTTCTTCAGTTAAATCTTGAGAAAGCAAATCTTCAGAAGAATAACTCACTGGTATAAAATCATTACCACCCAAGTCTACTACCAATCCATGTTGTTGTTGAAGCAAATCTGCTGAACTTAAAAGCTGTGCGTTCTCGGGAACCCTTTGTATCATATATTGTGGTGTTGTAGTACCATCTCCTATAACTATATTCTCCAAAGTTTCTCTTTGAGCCTTATTTTCCATTGTAAACAAATATTTACTTTAGTAGAAAGCAAACTATTCAAATGACCCGCCGCTGATTCTATTACTTATATTACGTTGACACGACGTTTCAAGGTCATAATTTTCCCAGAAAATAGGAAGTTTATAGGATGCAATTGAAGATTCCCAGTCACATAAAAATGTGCTTTATCGAATTATCAATAAAATACTAACTTAATTGCATGAAAATTTTGTAAATAACATATTAAATTGCTTCAAAACTCAAATATTGAAACTAAAATTGACAACAACGCACTAACACTGTACACAGACGCCATGCTGATTTAAGAAATGAGTTCGTTCCGAATTGACATCATTTTAGGCTTGGTCTGGTTTCTTCAAAATACTGTAAACCATAGAAACTGTAAACCGTCCGAGATTCAGTGAAACAGATCTTTTTTTTATTGAAATAAGCCTGTGACAAACCCATTTTTGTTTTTTATTGCAAAACAAAATTACTGGCTGGACTAAATACAGTTACAAAAGTCCAAACTCTGAAATACCCGACGCAAGTTTCGCAGAACAGTTAAACATGGTCAGGAAGCGACGACTGAAAACCTAATTGTTTCTGTGCCTTGAACATTTGTTTTAAATATAGCAAAAACTAAATATTTGTAAATTTATAATTCTACAATTTTTCAGTTATCTGTGAATCATAGCATTTGTTTAACAATGTAATTAAAATATTTTAAAAATCATAAACTACTGTTTACACCACAGTTATGTTGTTGTTTTGTGTACTTTAGAAAAACAGCTACATCTAGTGATTCCTTAATTCCAATGAACTTTGAATTTGTATAATTTTCAGTATATTTAAATATAAAGTTCACTGGTTATTTTTCAGATATTTTGAATACTTTGGAGGATCGGAACATACTTTTTGTTTAGAAAGGTGGAGCCATCTGGTTTATTACAACGAAGTTATAAATTGACACACTTCACACTTGACATTCCGACATTTCTTGATTTCTTATTTCTTCACAAAAGGAGTTTTGAATAAGCAGCAATGGTAAATCAAATTTTTTATTTTCTCTAGTAATCCGTTAATATTTTGCCTTTAAATTGATAAATTATTATACCCTAATAGTGCCTTTAATAAACTCAACTCTTATTTTTCGTTTTAGTCTGCCCACAAAACATTTATCATAAAGCGAAAGCTTGCCAAGAAATTAAAGCAAAATAGACCTATTCCCCAATGGGTTCGTATGAGAACAGGAAACACAATCAGGTAAGATTTATAATAAAATAATGGTTATATATTTTGATACTTAAAATTTATCTAAATAGCTAATTTTATAAATTTGGTTAGAAATTATATGCTATGAAGAACTGATGAAACTTAATAAATTGTAATTACAATGAGATTCACTTTTTTTACATCTATTGGCTGTGCTGGCCAAACAGTTATTCTCTAGTATATTTAAGAATAGATAAAATAATTTGTCACTTGGAGTTTTGATCAACAACCTACAATGTTTTTTTATGATTTTCATACTATAAGGTTTTAAATGCATTTTTATGAACTTTCCTGCAATTTGTTGATCACTTTAGAAACTAGTACAAAAATGAAACTCCAAAATATGAATCGATACATAGCAATCTTATCGTGAAACGAAAGTTAACGATTGAGATTACTATGTTTTATTGAAAGCAGCTATGGTGTGTACTTTTTATTTTGCAACAAAGAAAATGAAAAAAATTCTATATATTAACCACTATTTGCTTGTGAAAAAAACTAAACATGTATTTGTAGATATCATTGTTGTAAATAAAATCTTGGTTTTATATCTTTCACTTAATGATAATAAACTTTTTTTTTTTTTAATAAAATATTTCAAATTAAAGTTCAGAGATGCTACTTACTTTTACGCCTTACACTATTTCCAAGTCGCACAAAAAGTTTACTAACCTATGTTTTATTGTGAAATAGTATAGCAATTCATTTTTAAACTATTAATGTTTTAATAATCTTTATTTAAAAAAAAAGGTGGCAGATACAAAGTATTATTTATAACTAACATCTCAGAATGAAATGGAGTTCTACCACTTGCACCCTTTCATGTAAAATTGTCATGTTTAATTGAAAATGGTAAATTTTTATTTAAAAAAATTAATTGTGTCATTCGTTTCCACAAGATATAGAACTTAGGTTCTTTGTTACAAGTGTGTATGTTATGTTGGGACTAGGGTGTTAAAACACTTGTACCTAAAAGATCTATTGTATCCCTTCTGTCGCTAATGCAGCAAGGAAATATCTATTCCTATCTTCTCTTGTTTATAAGTATATATGCTTAGTTTCTGCATAATTGAAAAAAGGTCAAACTAGACTACAATAACTGTTAAATCATCAAAACAGTTTTTTTATATGTAAAACAATTTAACAATTACATTTTTTTACAGGTACAATGCCAAGAGGCGTCATTGGCGTAGAACCAAGCTAAAATTGTAATAAGTTTTTGTTATAATGACTTAGGATATAATTTAATAAAAACTATTACATAAAATCTTGTTTTATTATTTCTAATTTACATACTCATATTTTGCTATTTTTTTTCTCCATATTTTTCATTTTAAATTAATACACAATCATTTTAAAAAAATATTTATTATCAAATTTAAAAGGAAAATTACTGATTTAGAATATCTATTATTTCATTAAAATCTGTAACAAACCATTTGGCTTTAGCTTTTACTGCTGGTCTGATAACATTGCCTCCATATCCTAAAAATCGCAAAATTTATAGTTAAGAAAAGGGTATAGTATAATTTATAGAAAGCATTGGTCCCACCAAAAAGTAGATTGAACTGTAGGCAGACTGGGGACAACCTAGCACACACTTTCGTAATTTTTATCAATACAATAAATTAATGAGTAATACTGTTTAATACCTATAAATGCATCAGCAGGTGGGGAAGCTTCAAGATCAGTAGCTCCATCGCCTATTAAAACAATTTTGTTTAAATTGTAGGTATTTTTTAAGTGATTTATAACAAGTGCTTTCCCACCACTTTTGGATGTTGGTTCATTTTCGTCAAAACCCGCAAATTCGCCTTGAAAAGATAGAAGTGTCAGAATGTTATAACCTTTTTCTTTTTTATGACTAATCTATTAAAATATGGAACATATTTACAGATAGACAATAAAAACTCCCAGGCCGGATATTTTGGTAAGAAATAGAGATATTTTAATTATGTTTCATGGAGTACTAAGAGCTTCAGTTTTAGATATAAATTAATTTTAAATAGGTCAATATGTAGATGGCGCTGCGCTCAAAATTTTTTTTGTTGGGATGATCTTACGTAGCGCATCTTGTAGAAAATGCATTTCGATAAATTAGCCAATTTCGATATACAGAGTGGACCACTCAAAACAGTTTAATCCTGTTTTTTGGCATTATTCATTACATTTTAAGAAAATGCTCATTACATTTTAAGAAAATGCTAACACAGGTCGATTTTTATTCACACATTTTTACAATATAGACATCAGTCATGTGTTAATTCCCTCCCATCCACTTCTCCAACCCCTTAATTTTAAATGGGTAATGTACCATTGAAAAGGTAATTTAATGGGGGATTCAGAAAGAAAGACCCTCCCATCAAAAAAAAAAAGATATTGTGCGCAGCGCCGTCTACATATTGACCTATTTAAAATTAATGTATATCTAAAACTCTCTTAGTGCTCTGTGAACTGGCTTTTCCAGAATTAAAATATCTTACCAAATTATCCTCTCTAGTAGTTTTTATTGGTACACCCTGTATACACTGAATAAATTTCAAAATGATTTGTAATGATCACATTTTTTGTTTAATTCTCACCTGAAAAATAGAATTTTAATTTGTTAGCAAAAATATGTTCATAGGGAATTTGTAACTGAGATGCGATTGGAGCAATTATACATTTAAATCCACCCGAAACTAAAAAAACTGGTATTTTTCTGCTGTGTAATAAATCTACCAATTTTCTAAAACAAAATAAACAAAAATATTAAAGAAAATTATCCATAAAATATTAAAATTATGGTTCTTTTTATATAACATTCTTAAGATAATTATGAAAAAGAAGTTCAGATTTCATGTTATTTGTGTAAGGTGGTTTAGCTAGTAAGCCAGTTCCAACTAGTAGTCGGCCACTTGTGTCTTTTTTTATAATAACTTGAGTTTACAGAAAACTTCTAGAATTCCTGGTAAAATGATCTATAATGATGAACGGTATGATAATCCTGATTCGATAGTGAATGCTTTCAGTACATTCTTCGAAAGTGTATTCTTTGCAAGAAGATAGTGATGACTTAAATTTGCAACTTAACTACGATCCTAATATCCTATTAAATATTAGTAATGAAGCAATAATGGAAAAAGAAATCCTAGATGCTGGTAAAAAATTAAAAGAGTTCAGACAAAATACCTTGTCTCTTAAAAGATTGCTTAATAGTATTAATCTATTCGCTACAAACTCAACTTCAGTCTTTGGAGATGTTTGGAAAGTAGGTAAAATATGTCCCATATATAAATCTCAAGATCCCGCTGCTATAAACAATTGTAGGCCAATATCCATTCTTAATAATGCTGCAAAACTTTTAGAGGTCATCTTGTATAACCCTATCTATCTGCTAAAAATCATATCTGTATATCGACATGGATTTATTCATGACTTCTCGTTCAACTATTAGTAATTTGAAAGTTTTTAGTCAATATCTCTGTGAGTCATTAGATAGTAGAGGACAGGTTAATGCAGTGTATACCAATTTCTCTAAGGCCTTCAATAAAATCAGTCACAAACTAATTCTACAAAAGATTTCTAGTTTAGGTTTTGATATCCTTATGTACATCTTCTCAAATCATATTTAACTAAGCACAAACAATGTTTGTTATAATGGATTTATTTCTAATTACTTTACTTCAACTAGTGGAGTTCCTCAAGGGTCCAATTTAGGGCCGCTATTGTTCTTAATATTTGTTAATGACTTGTGTGACTCGCTTGAATGCAATAGATTAATGTTTGCAGATGACTTGAATCAAATTAACCTATAGCAGGAATGGTGTCACAGAAATTCTCTTTTTAAATATTTCTAAATATAAAATTGTGACTTATAGCTGCAAACATATTTCTCTGAATTTTCCTTATTCCATTAATATTATTTTGGACAGAACTGACACTATCAAAGACTTGGGTGTTCACTTTGATTATCGAGTTACTTTTAACTACCACATTAACTCTATTCTGAATTCAACAAATCAAGAGCTTATCTTTGAATTCATATTAATTTTCTATTTTTTTACTTTTATTATAATTTTTTATATTGTTAAATTTGTCTTTTAAATGGGAAACTGTTGGACAATAAATGCTTTTATTATTATATATAAGAAAACATATGCTACTCATTAGTAGCCCAATATTCATATTCCAATGGTTTACAACAATAATTACCTTATTCCTGGTGTTAATGTTGGTGGCCTAATTTTTAAAAACTCTTTAACTTCTGTTAAACTAGGTTTTAATATATTCAGACGTAATTTCAAAGATTCTTGAAATGTCATGTTGCCACCCATGGCTTTAGCTGTTCTAAAAACTCGAGACTATAATAAAAAAAAATTAAAGTATGATTTCTAACTACTCACAGATTGGATACTTCATCACCTTTGTTTAAAAATTTTGCAAGTTCGTCTATTCCTTCCTCTTGAATAACAGTAGAATCTACATCAAAACAAAAAGCATCTGCACTTCTTACAATTTGGTGGATATTAGAGACCATGATGATTCTTGCTTCAGAACCTTATAACAGATCTTTATAGTTATTTTTTTTATAAAATAATTTACCTTTTTAACATTAATGTTGAGCATATATTTCTTAAATGATATCAATTCAGGTTTTGTAACTTAACCTTTTACGTGACCCATTTTTGAGTATTTGTTTATAACGCGTTTATTGATAATTTCATTTTGATATGAAAATATTTTGAACTTGGAACCCTTAAAATTATTACCAATACCAACTTTTTAACTAAAACATTTTTTATGGTCCGTATTTATAAACAGAACTCAGCTGAGTCGGACTTGGCTGAGTTCCAGGTGGTTCCGGTCCTTCCTCCATGGTTCCGGCCCAGTATAAAGAACAATAGGTCTTTTCCTTTGCATCGAAAGTGTAGCACTGAGCTACACCACTTCTGAAAATATCGTTCCATTTATACAAATTGTTCTTTTTTCCTTATTCATATTTATAAGAAAAGCGTCTAGTAAGATCTATTTTCTTAGTTGGCCTCGTACGGAACTATTTAGGTTCCGCGGGAAAACTAAATTTAAAAAGTTAGACAATGAGAAGAATACTATTTAAATAAGGATAGAACATACCGCAAATTAGAACCGACTCGCGAGGCTGGTTCAAAAATGTTAACCAAATGGTTATAAGTGACGTCATTGTTTATGAAAGGAATATGGTTGGTTCTAATTTGGTTAACTAGAACCGGAACCAAACCCCAAAGGAAAATGCATTATATTTCAAATTTAGGTTGATTTGTAGTTTCAAAAGTCAAATTATAAGTATAAACTTCTAACATGTCATTGACATTTTATCACGTGACCAAATAAAGTCTAGAGCGTTTGTTTATTACATCTACATTCAGATCTAATTCTCTATCACGTGATAAAAAATTCGCAACATCTCAGATGCATCCGATGTGGATTCTCAAACGCGGCAATTGTATTATCTGAGTTGCACAGTGTATTGCTGCGTTTGAGAATCCACATCGGATGCATTTTTTACATCTCGAGCGTTTTTTTATCCACATCGGACACATCTGTCCCATTACATTTACGTATACTGAATCACGTGATCAAAGATTTTTTACATCTCAGATGCATCCGATGTGGATTCTCAAACGCAGCATATAAACTGAAACATTGAGATCCAAAGTGCCGACGCAGAGTGAGCAATCTGATTCTTTAGCTGTAAACTGTGTCACAGGGTTCAAAATGGCCGCGACCTATGTTGGGCGTGTCGGACCTCTCTCTTGCCTCGTATAGTAATCAAAAAAAGGCGAGTTCGGATAGTCAGGGGCTGGAGCGGGACAAATTTTAGGGTGCTTTTAAATGACATTTAAGCGTGTTAAACTGTCACTAATCGGACTAAACCGAACGCTAAAAGGGTCGTTTGGAGTTAAAAGTGTTAAAGGAGTTAAAGGAACGTGGCAGACCGAACGCAATGTATGTATGTGATTTATAAATTGTATGGATGGAACGAAATTTTCAGAAGTAACTTAGCTCCACAATATATCCCCTATAGTAGTGCATCTCACTTGTTAAAGAGTTGGCACTAAGTTTGCAGCGCAAGAATGCGTGTGTGTCTGGCCGCTCAACTAACTCGATATGGCGGTAAATTCAAATATAATTTAAAGGCGAAATTTAAATTTCCCGCCAAAATTGTAAATTTTCAGCCGCGGAATGGCGGGAATTTTTAAATATATTCATTCGGCAATAATTATTGAGAAGTATATTGCATGTTCGATTAAACGAGCTGTAAATCCAGGCGCTATTTTTATTTTGATAGCTAAAAATAATACTAATTCTTTTATTATTAGCTATTACACTAAGAGCAGCATTTGGATTAACAACACATTTAAAAGAACATGTAATATACTTTTCAATTTTACCTAAATCACTTATTTTTTACCTATAGAGGTTAGATCTGAAAAAAAATTGGCTCTGGTAAAAAAACAAAAAATTGTATAAAGTATTTTATTTGAAAAATTATAAAACTTATTTAATATATTTTAAAGACGAAGATAACTCTAGCCATATCCATTTTACTGAAAAAAAAAAAGAAACTATTAAATGAAATCATTTAGTTATTAAGAGATGTTTGTGATAATACAGTGGCAGCTATCGAATGTTGTACAATACGTTTTGCTAATGTCCAAGTAAAAACTACAAAGAGTTAGCATTAGTGGGAGAAGGAATATAATACTATGAACGTAGCCAGCCGGCTACGTGGGGATGCATCACACCGTGTGCCTGTTCATATTACACAGCACACAAGGCAACATTCATATTATTCGTTTCCTGATCGAACTAATGCGCTAACTCTTTAGTTTTATTTTCGATTCTAGCCAAGCGTATTGGAAAGTGTTCATTAGCCGATACTGTATATAAATGCTAACATCAATAAGTGAAATAAAAAAATTTAGTTTAAATGGACATCTACTTCGAAAAAAGTAAATTATTATACTTGAATTTTAAAGGCTGTTGCCACTGGAAAACTATTATCTAGGGCTTGGATGACAGCCATAGGACTCCCTCCTTGAATCGTGTCCATAGGAAAGCATAAGTTAGTTAAAGTTAAATTATAATATTAAGAGGGTAGGTATTAACTGAAAAATTATTACAAACTTACCTCAAAATTGGCACCTACATTAAAAGAAGGGAAAACGGAAACATAAAATTGTTATACTTGAATTTTAAAGGCTTTTTCCACTGGAAAAGTATTATCTAGGGCGCAGACCCTTGGATGACAGCCATAGATAGCAATCCCTCCTCGATTCCTCTTTTTCTGAGTTTGTTGTACGTTTTGTTTCCCATATTAAATAAGAAAGCACTTAATACAACAACACAAATCACAATAAATATCGCTGAAACAAAATTAATATTAAATTTCGTAGAAAAAAAAATCAAAAAATTATCACTTGTCAACACTGACACTTCACGCTTCACTTATAAAAACTCAACGCTAAAGAATGAAAGATGATTCGAAATAGAAATTATTAACTGGTATCTCTTTCTTTTATAAGTATCTAAACAAAGAGAAGGAGTGGGAGTGAGTAACGCTCCGATCAGATTGTTTTGAATTCGTCGTCAACCAATGAACGTGCCGAAGTCAAAAATCAATAACGATACTAGCGCCATGAGACCTGTGTCTGGCCGCAGCGTAACTCAAAGCCATTTCTTGAATCCCAGTTACATTACTATAGGGGATATATTGTGCTTAGCTCAGTGCTACACTGTCGATGCAAAGGAAAAGACCTAAAGTAATGTGGTTCTACCCCCATCTAGTTCGAAAATGGCCTTTTTCTATCTCCTCCATTTTATCTGTAGATTTTAAACTAGCTTTGCAGCATGCAGGAAGAAGAAAATTCTAACCTAACCTTATTTGTTGACAACAGAAATGAAAACATTGAAGCAAACCTAAATTTTTCTAAAATTATTCTCCACAATTTCGAATATGTAAAATCCTTAATCAAATATTTTTTGGGTTGTGAATGATCATTAATTTGATTAAATAAATCACATGTGAAAATGCCCCAAATAAAATTATCAACCACAGCAAACTCAACCTTAGGAGATATGAGTGATAATGAAGTCTCCGGAAATGAATCTGAACATTCAAATTCTAGCCGTGAAAATGATGTTGCTCATGAATCTACAGAAGATGAGCCCGATTCTGATGATAGTTCGGAAATGGATGAAGGTGAATGTGAAACAAGAAGAACTACTTTGTTACAGCATGTTCAAGATCTAGAGAATCAATTTGGACATCTTCGTGAACAGTTATACAGAGAAAGGCTTACACAGGTTGGTATTTTAAGTACACTATAAAGCTGTAAGTACCCACCTTCCTATTTTTTCGACTCCTTACACTGTAATGTTTATGAGGTACATAGTATGAATACCTAATTTACTTCTATTAAAATAAATTCATAGTTTTTATGGTAGTGATCCCTTGATTGATTTTAGGTCGAAATGCAATTAGCAGAAGTGAAAACTGGCAAATCTCCTGATTATTTAATATCTTTGCATGAACTGCAAGATAACATGAGAATAAGAACGGAAGTAGCAGGTGTTTTAAGGCAGTTACGGCTTCAAAATATTGGGAATCAGTATGAAGCTGAAGAGCAAGCTGCTCGACAGAACTTTGAGAGTGAAAAAAGTCTTGCTTGTGATTATTATTATAGTGAATTAATGGAAACTATAAGAAGATTGGAAGAGGACAGACATAACAGTGAGATAAGCTGGGGAGAAGGTGGGGAATGGGGTTCTAGGTCCAGGTCTAGATCTAGAAGAAAGGCAGTGACAGTATCTGGGCCCTACATTGTCTATATGTTGAAGCCTCAGGATATTTTAGAAGACTGGACAGTCATCAGAAAAGCCCTTAAGAGGACATCCTGACATTTGGATCTGAAATTATCAAGTTTATTTAAAAATAATGCATTCGATATTAAATAAAATTTTAAAATTAGTAATTGTCTTAACTACATTCAATTTTATAGTTTAGTCTTGTTTTTTTCATTTAGAGAATTTAAGTAATTTTTTGCCTCCTTGTACTGTATTTTATTAATTAATAATATTCATAACTAATCAAATTTTTTCATCTGTTTTTAAAATAATAATTAAAGCATTTTTATATTAAGAAACTCAAAAGTAATATTATTTTTAATATAAATGAAAAGTTCCTTGGTTTAATCGGCCAATAGTTTTATTTTTTTATAATTTAAGCACTACATATATTTCGGATTTTTCCATCTTTCTGTTTCACAGCATGTGGAGATGGACAAATTCAAAATATATGTAGTGCTTAAATTACAAAAAATAAAAACTATTGAACGATTAAACCAAAGAACTTTTTAGTTAAATTCTACTAGGGTCAGGCAATTATCTTTATTATTTTTAAATTAACTTAATCTATCAGGATTTATTTTGTTTACCTTGCAATTAATAAACAAGAGAATAATAGTCAGATGGGATATTAAAAAATATTATACACATTTTATTTCGTTTATAACTACAAACTTTTAATGTTAATTACTCTTGGATTAGGAATATAAAAAAATTAAACTAGTGTAGTTCCCATTACTAAAATTTAAGTAAAGTCAGAATAAATTATTTGTAACAAAAATATAGAATAAAAAGTTCTGTACTGCATACTGGATATGAAAATAAATTATTGAAAATAAACATAATTATTACTTTTCCATGTACATGTTGGTGTTATTACAAAATATTATTGGAATGCAATATCTTGACTACAAAATAATAAATGCATTTGTAATTTATTATAAAGGGAAGGAGCTTTGAGAAATTTTTTCACATAAACAGGGTTGGGGCAAAGTTGAAACCAAGCAAATATAGTTGAAATTATATTAAGAAAACTTTTTAGGTTACTGTAATGATTTAATGCAATTTTTTGTTGTTACTGTACTTCCAATTTAACCGGAAGTAGCCTCAACTTATATTATTTAAATGGAACACCTTGTATTTTTCTGCAAATTATATAGGTTTGTTCTGGTTCTCAAAATGAAAACTGTTTTGAAACTGCGCCGGACCGTATGCGTAAAGGCAAAAAATCCCCGACTGTTTGAAATTCTTGGAAAACCAGAACACGTCATGAAGGTGTTTTGTTTATTGTTTATTATAATAATGAAGTTCCTTTTGAAAGCTCAGCTTCAAATAACATTTGCATGTATATGTTTATTATTATCATCACATTTCAATGGAATAAATAAAAACAGAATATTAAAAAATTAATAATTCTAAAATTGCTTTAATTTACAAATAAAACAAGAACAAGAGACATTCGTCCACATATAAATAAACAATTTGGGATTGTATACGTTTCGTATGGTCTAAAAAGCCAATACAATATTCATAACACTTCAAAAACGCATGCGCGGTCAAAACAGTCCGAGTCGATCCACACTCCCAAGCATGAACACTTTTTGACTGTTTACAACAATCACGGATTATTTCGGATACGAAACCAGAACACTGGACTGAGAGATTCGAAGTAGTCCCAGAAAAACCAGAACACTTTTTATCTACTGCGCATGAGCCCGACAGTTGTGGATCGTTATTTCTCAAAACCAGAACAGGGGTAGTATTCTCGAATCACGAATACCGACATTCGCATACGTGTTTTACAATGTGTCTCACTCTGTTGAACGAAAACCAAGTGAGACAAATCATAAATCTCGCATGCGAATCTATATTCGTGACTCGAGAATACTACCCCAGACCTTTTTAATAGACTCATCAATATAGTTTCCGTTGTGTATAAAGTGAGAGAACTGGCAAAAGCATTTCCAACACATACTAGAGGCGAGTTCGGATAGTCAGGGGCTGGAGCGGGACAAAAGCGGAGTTTTTTTTAGGGTGCTTTTAAATGACATTTAAGCGTGTTAAACTGTCACTAATCGGACTAAACCGAACGCTAAAAGGGTTGTTTGGAGTAAAAAGTGTTAAAGGAGTTAAAAGAACGTGGCAAACCGAACGCAATGTAGGTCTTTTCCTTTGCATCGAAAGTGTAGCACTGAGATACATCCATAGCCCTCAGAAAGTCTAGATACCGCTTGGCGTATTCTAGGCGAGTTCGGTCAGTCAGGGGCTGGAGCGGGACAAATTTTTAAATGACATTTAAGCGTGTTAAACTGTCACTAATCGGACTAAACCTAACGCTAAAAGGGTCGTTTGGAGTTAAAAAGTGTTAAAGGAGTTAAAGGAACTTGGCAGACCGAACGCAATGACTGTCAATACAAAAAAATGACCCCATTCAAGCTTGTCGCCATGTTAGGTAAATTTATGTTTTGGCTACACTGATTTTTAGTTTGTGTGTTCTGTAATACGTGAACACCGATATACTGCACTTTGTTATTAGTTATAAGTGAGTGAGACGCACAATTTCTAATTTCAAATTAAGAACAAAACTTTGACAAACCTATTTGATTTTCCTAGATCTGTTCAGACAGGACCGGTTTTATAAAATTTCTCGTTCTTGAAATGTTATTTTTACATGGTTATATATTATTGGATAAGTGGTTTGTGTACATATTGCTATGAGAATTATAGAGAAATTCAGTGAGATTTATGTAATATAATTCAAATTACAAGTAAACCATCTGTTTCTGTTTGGCAATATGGAGAAAATACCTACTTCAATGTCAAATGTACTATTTAAAAGAATGTGATTGTTAACCGGTCATTTATTTATATTATATTATGAAAATAAAAACTCGAATTTTTTAACTAGGGAAAGATATACTTACATCGGTAACAAGGTATTTTAGAAAAACTAATAGATTACTCCTATTCCTATAGTTTATTTGAAAATGAATAATAGCAAAAATATATAAAAATATGGACCTTTGCCATAAAAACTGTGCTACCAAGCATTTTCAAATAAACTATAATGATAATTTGATTTAATAGAGCGAGTATAAGATCTCACCTGTTAGAGAAATTGGGGCATAGGGAAGAGATTATGAAGCAGGTAAGCAAAGTCATTGCAAAAGATAAATATATAGAAGTTATTTTAAAAATTTGATAAAAAACTAGTGGAACAACAAATGGAGTTGTCGCTATCGGAGATCCAATCAGCAGAAAGTTAAAAAAAAACTTTGGGAATGTTGGAAAAGGGCCCAGCAATAGGCCCAAAACAATTCCTTGGTTTTTTAATAAATATAATCTGAGATGCAAAAAATACTGCTAGAGTGGAGAAGCAGTATTGTTCTAATGTAGAAAACCCAGGGACATACAGTAGTGCACTAACCATAGGCGAATAGTCACTAAATTATACAAGAGTCCCATCTCGATTTTATTTTTAAATATTTTTGAGAATACCTATTATTATTTGTTACATTGAGTTTAATAAAACCACAGATTTCGAATGTATTGAAAGTTATTTAAAAAGTACCTCTATAAATATATAGAAAATGTGTATATGACTAACTGGTTTTATTAATCTTTTTTTGGGGTAGGTAAATATATTTTGAAAAATTTACAAACTTCTTTTGAATAAAAGACAAAATGTTTCTGTTTTTATTAACTGAACAATATTTTATACGAACATAATATATACCTATTTAAAAGAAAATATTACATTTTACAAGTATCGCATATTTATATGAAATAACTTACTCAATAAGAAAGAATTAAATGAAACAAATTAATAAACAATAGATATGAAAAATTGCTTTAACAATTTAATCCTTAGATAAACTTATTCTTACATATTGCTTTAATCAATTTATTTACTATAAAAGTATATTTCCTATCATTTATTACATATAATAAAATAAAGCATAAAACATACAAACTATAATATGTACCTACTTAGAACGGAACTAATATTATTGTATCAAGGTAGTAATAGTGGACATTTTCCGAATAAAAAAAAGTAAAAAAGAAGTAACGGTCGACACGTTTTTCTGACTATTGGTCTTCATCAGTACGGTGCAGCCAAGTTCAAAGGATCATGGAACTTGTGTTGGAAAAATTGTACAATAGGTCACTAACAAGGAGCCAATAACACATTTGCCGTTTCAGCTAGTATCCCCAAATTTTCTGGGCTTATACTAAAGTCACAAAATGTCCCAATGGGTAAAATTTGAATATACACAAAACTTTTATATTTTCACAAAAATGTATTTTTACACTTTTAGACACCAAGAATAACATATACTTATCGAAATTTGTTGGCGGAAACCTAAAGAAATCCTATTTTTTTTAAATTTTAATAATGATATTTTAGGCTATTTTATTAATTCAATAAATTTATTTTGGTTGTCATTTGACATTGAAGGATGCAATATAAGAAGCACATGGTTGCCAAGTTGTGTATTATTTCTTAAATAAAAGGACTATGTTTTGGATATATTCAAAATTAAATATAAGTTGGAATTTCAATAAAATTATCAATACCTAAGCCTTGCTTATATACGCCGACATCCGAACGGCGGATATTACTATTGAAATTTTACAATTTTACTAAAAGTTGAAACACTTTGAAACATTATACACATATCAATTCTGGGTAAATACCTATTGGGAAAACGGTATTTCCTAAAAGTTCAATTTGTTTTTACAAAAATTAAATTTTTGGCTTTAGGAAGGAGAGTACTTTTTAAATATACCACCGGTAACCCCATAAATGAATTAATTTTTTTAATTTACATATTAATTACTTAAAAGGATTATTTATGTTAACTTGTTCATATGAATTATATCTGTCATTACAAATCGCAGTGTTACTAAGTGGCCAATTAAAATCAACGAAAAATAAATATAAAAACTACCTTATTCTTAACATAACATTTCCAAACACTTTTATTAACTTTTATTAATTTATTTCCAGTCATATCCGACGATTTATTTATTTTGATTGAATTGTTGTAGTA